TTATTTTGCGGTTGTTATAATTGTAGCGATTTGAAGTTTTGTTCTAACCCTATTTTTAATTTCTGTTGACTCGTTGACGGGATATTATACTTTCGAGTTTGGGTAAGGAAATTTCAGCATATAAATGTTGGCTCGATGAAAGACAAAATTGGAGCCGCCGCGTCCTCGCACATCCTTGACACTAACACAATATATATATATATATATATATATATATATGTATCTATTTACAAAATATCGTTCTCCTGTCATAACTTTATAGGATGTGTAAGAGACTAAAAGCAATGGTGTAACTGGATGGAAATCTAAGGGCGCAAAATAACTTATCCACCGTAATAAAAATCCTGAGACCCCCCCCTCGATTTAAATATATTTTAGATTCTGAATGGAGTGAAGAACTTGTTGGTTTTACAATAATGTTTATTTTTTATCCCGTTTTTTCTTTTCATTTTTTTTTTTTGTGTGTGAATAACTTTTCTACCAGACATTTCGCTTTGATTTTCAAGTGTAGCATTTTTTCTGAAAGGAAATTTGGCTGGAGTAGCACTTAAGCGAGGTAATGCGTTGGTTTTCCCAGGGGTTAACATAAAAAATGGGAAAACCGAGAAAAAACGTAGGAAAAACAGGAAAATTTACGAAATTTATTATTATTAAATTGTGAGTATTACGGCCTTTCAAAATATGTACAGCCGAACGCCACTCAGAATCGTTCTCCATTAGCAATTATTAACCGTTATCTACAAATAAACATTCAATTTCCTCTCTACCTTCAAACTTCTTACTTCAATGGCTCACCCATCGTGCGAAGTATGTTCGTTTGTTTTTATTGTATGCGTTGTATACGGTACATTTAATTGTTTTTACACAAATGTTTAAACTAATTTTGTGGTTTAGAAATAAATTGTAGGTAGCAGCTACTAAGTACCAATATCGTTAAATAATATTAAGTAGGAACCTATACGAGAGTTTATTAATAAAAAGATGCTATATAAGTAGTTTAAAAATGTAACTAATTTTAATATAATTATTATTAAATTTATAATTTGTGAATGTATTGCATTCTTTTTTAACTTAAGAAGATTCAAAGATTTGAACTGTAACTGTTGAATTATTTGTGGCGGAGATGGATAAAATGGTACCTTGGCCTCCCAAAAAAATATCAGAGGTGGTAACTACTCCCTCGTCGTAATTACGCGCAATTGTGTTTAAGGCGTGTTTAAGACTAAAAAACATCTCTCTTCCGTAATAACATACTGATATTCATATTGAAACCTAACACGACCTTTATCGCTTTAGTTCTTTTTTGCGAGTTTGATCATATTTGGTCCAGACATGAGTCACTAAGTGTATAAAAGTAGAGAGGAAAAATGTAAAAAAAAAAAAACTGGATTTTAGAAATATATTTATATCTTTACAATAAAAAATTAAATGAGAAAACATCACGTATAAAATGTATAAGAAGTCGACAAATATCGAAAAATAATGCTTGTTGAAACTTGAAAGTTTTAATTAGGTAAAATATCTCAAAAAGATAAAACATAATATTTTGGAAACTTTACCATAATTTTATACGTGCTTTACTGTTGATTAACATCACTTTACCATCACTGAACTTTTTTGAGAAATTTAAGTTTAATGTTATCTGAAGAATGTAAAAAAGAAGTGCTATTGTATAATGTAATGTTTCAATTATTTTTCCGGATATTATTGTATTATAATGGCTTCGGCTCGTTAAATCTAATAAATGAATAAATAAACAATATCTAAAAATGTTCAATACAAGTAGTATTGAAATTTTTCCGAATAATTTCCCCCTCCCCCTTAATATAAAGATCACTTCTATAATAACAATATTATATGCACCGCTAGTTACGAACTAAATTTACTACCAAAAACCGTATCCCCGACGACGATGATGATCATTTTATGGACCGAGTATTCTGGACGAAACTATAAGCTGTTCACAGACGAACAGAAAAAAAATGCGTTTGTAGTAAAACCGATACATTCTTCGGATTCCGGTGTGACACTAAAAAAAAAGGCGAAATTACACGGAGAGACCGAGAGAGACGGATGTGTACACGTGTCGTCGTACCTTATATTATTATGGAAGCTATAGGTCGTACGGAAAATTCGATTTCCACAGTAAATCGGTCATACGTGTTCAATGTTCGACGATAACAAGGTACACGCGTCTGCAGTATTACCGAAAATTGTTTCTCGTTTGGTAATACCCCGTGGTGTATTGTCAGGAAATTGCTTCGGCATATGCAAATACACGAGTGCGCCATAAAAACGGTATACGTTTACAATAATAATTGTATACGCGCAACAGGGGCGGCTCGAAACTCTTAAATGAACACAAAGCTCTCAAAAAAAAAAAATTTTAAAAAAATGTATTTTAATATCATACATTATAGAAGTGTGTACTATGGTTTTTAATGAAATTATTTTAGCTTATAGTCTACATTTGACATTTATACAATATACACCTCAATATCTCTTAACTACCTATTAACCTATTAACTAACTTATTATTGGTTTTTTGATATGTGGAATTTTGGAATCCATAACCTTAAATCGTAAATCGATTTTTTAAAGAATCGGACATCGCTAGCTCGAAGGAGGTATATTAATTGAATCACACGATTCACTAAAAAACGGATGGATGGGCGTTTGAGAAATATAACAAAAATTATTGTTTTTTTTTTCAAAACAAAAATCATTAAAAGAATTTCGGACTATGGAAATCTGATAAATTGACGAATTTTATTGAAATTTAATACATTTAAGGTGGAGTGGTGGTTTTTTCGGGTTAGGTTGGGTAGGTGGTGAATGGAAAATTAAATCGGTAATTCAAGGTAAAAATACATCACGCCATCACTGCCACGTATAGGATCACGAAAAATTCGATATTAATAATAAAAATGTGAATTTATAGGAAAGTGTATTTTTTTTAGATGTTTGTGAAACGTATCTTTCTAAGTACATAATTTGAATTACGTAACAACAGATTTATTTTTAGGAATTTTTATTTTGTATTTTTGACGTTTATAATTGTTTAGGTCATTTTTTGGACATTTAAGACATATTTTTCTTTTTAGTTCATTCGATATTTTTAATCAAATTTCGTCAATTAACATCTTTACACGAATATTTTTTGTTTTACACATAGTAACGGATTTTTATTTTATTTTTTATTCCTCGATCGCGCAAATTCGGCTTTGTGAATCTGCAGTAAAAACCGGCTGACCGAAATCCTCTATCTGTATACTGCCTTCCTAGTGAAACAAGCAATATATGTTAAATTTTCAAAATTGTGGTCATTTCAAATTCGATGTATTAAGATAATTCAGCGATTTTTTTTCCTTAGGAAAAACACAATAACTCCACTAAAAATGCTTTTAAAACGCATTATAAAATGTATCAACCAAAACATTGTCAAATACTTGGGGGAAATACAGTATGTACATTTTTGTAGCATGTCCTAGAGAATAAAGCAGTATGTACAATGGATATATCGCTTATTTTTCTATACTCTATTCCAAATTTTACTGAGAAGGCAAGGGAGGCAGTGCCTCACTTGAAAATAAAAAAAAACATTGTTAATATTATTTAAATTATAAAATATTGTTTTTTCATATTTTTTTATATTTTCAAATTAAACACTATTATGAAAGGGAAATAAATAAAATTTATATTTAATTTTTGTATAAAAGTAGCTATGGAGTGTACCGTGTCTACTGCTAGATCTCGATCTTTAAACAAGACCGTACGACATGAGGTGCAAAGATAAGAATACCTGACCCTTCCCACTAACCCGCAACGATAAAAATAACTTAAATACGCACCACAAGCTGGTCGTCGTCATTGGAAGATTTTCGTATAATATTTTGTTTGTTTAGTCGCGGATAGCATAAAGTGCGGAAAACCGTGTAGGTACTCGCATCGTTTATTGTGTTCTCCGCACGTCCGAGTATAAAATAACAGAATAATGTTCACCAAAAACGTGTCCTCCGGGGCCTGTGTACACAAATGTACTTCGGCGCACGCACTTATATTACGATACATAATATTACACTCGACGGCGACATTCGGTGTGTATTTTTTGTTATTTTGTTTTCGTTAATCTCGTGGTATTTATTTGAACACGCGGATGCTTTTTGCGCGAAAACAAAATACAGCCGATAATAATAAACACGCGTCCGTCACTTTAAATGTATTCGGTTTTTTCGTTTGTTTTTCCGAAATATCCATGTACTATAATATAGGTGTAGGTGTACGCGTTGTGGTCACGAAAACGGTACAAAATAAACTACCGCGGTTTACCTGATAATGGTGACCCGCGAGATAAATGATACCCGCGCGGGATAATAGTATACATTATTATATTATTAGACAATGCGTACTATTTTGAACGTTTCGCCTCAACCACACGTTTATACATACTTGCATAATATGTAATGCATATATTTGTAAATACGAAAAAAAATGTCCGGTAGGTCGATTACTGTGTGACCAAACGAAATCGATTTCCCGCATACCCACCTCGACGACCAATGCGGACATTTTCGTTCGCTTGGATGCGTGCGTTACTCGTGCAGTCTTATAGGCCGGACGACGTAAAAAGGAGAGGAAACGAGAAATGGGAAGGTGGCAGGAAAGTAGACAATAGACCTCATTTATTATACGCCGTCTTTGGAAAGTCGTTCTTTTTTTTTTTCTTTCTTTTTCGCAGACATTTTGTAGGAATATCGTACCATATTCACTTCAATCTCTCGCGGTGTACCGCGGTATTCGACCCGGCCGGCAATACGTGCATTCCTTTTTCCCCACTTCAGTGATCTGTACTCGGGCCAAAAAAAACGAGAGAGAATTATACAGTCTGAAATGATATAACATACATGCCGAGAGGAGAAGATGCGAACATACGATGAGAAGTCAAGAAGATACAAACGATATTCGTGTAGATGGAAACCAAGGAATCAAAGAAAAAAGCTAGAGATTATACTAGTGGAGATATGGGGACATATAGAGTATATAGATGAAATTATGGTGATGGATATATGATAGAGAGATGAGGAGTGCGAGAGAGAAAATATATGGCTGATCTAACACATACGAAGACGAAGGTTTGCGCTTATCAAATTTCCAGTTCTTTCGGATGGATAATAATATTATGGTAGCAACACTGCACAACTTATCCTGTCATACGTATCAAAATCTGACGAATGAGAAATGTCTAATCGAATATTATTATTATTCGTACTTAATTTCAGATTCAAAACTGTACAAGTATATATTATTATACATAGATACGCATGGTTTATAAAGTTTCGTACGTCACGTAACTGAATAGACGTGCAAACTTTTGCGGGATTCCGTAATGAAATCGAAAAATATCCCTATATATGCATATTAATTTATATACATTATTGCGCGAGTTAATGTAACGGGAATTATTAATAAAGTTCCGCGGTATGTACGGTTGATTTTATAATATTTAGTCCGCTTTTCACTCATACATTCGTACATTTTGTCAAGCCACACAATCTTACTATAATATAAATAGGAACTCTGTAGAAAATGTTTGTTTGTAGGACGTCAAAAATATTAAAAACTACTAGACCGACTTTGAAAAAAATTTTATTTTTATCGTGTCACGAGTCACCGTTAATCGTCACTGAAACTTTATCTATAAAATTGTTTTTTTTTTTTTTTTATAAATCAAAATCGGCTTAGTAGTTTTAGATATGTTCGCTACTAAAATAACAACACATGATGAAGTAATACATACAAGTGCTAGTAAATGTGATAATTGTATTGATGGTCAGAAGAATTGCATGATGATACGAGGATGTAGAGGGAGTGATTTGGTGGTTGCCTGTGAGATAAGAGTAAGGGAAGGGGTAGATAATTATATACACAGTTTTTTAATTTGTCACAGACCACGCCGTGCAAGACAACTGATATTCAATAAACAAAAAAATGGTCTTCGAAAAATGTGTGCCACTACTGTACGATTGGAAGTTGGAAAGATAGAAGATATTATAATTATTTTGTATCTGTACGAAAAGATAAATAATTGCTAACGGAAAATTATTCTGAAGTTCGATTGAAATGTTTTGAAATTTCGCGATTACTATGATTTTCATTCAAATTTGAACTTATAAAAAAGCTTATAAAAAAAAGACTTGGTACCTACTGTATTACGCTAAATTTGTTTAATTTACCCCTAAGTTCAACTTGTGATGACAAACCTCACGTGATATTTTCAAACATTTTAGCCGAATCGACAAATTTAATCTACCTACATAAAACCAAAAAAAAAAAAAAAAACCTAAAACATTTCAAACGCTCTTGCATAAATAACTTAGAAATCGCAAACATATTTTGATTGTTTACCATGCCTAGATAAAAATTCGGTAAAATGTCAGGTCTCTACGATATTATTTTTAACGGTGGATTTAACGTAAAAATAATTGTGTATACGCCACGTCCGCGTATTCGCATAATCCTCGATGCCGACGAAGTTCTTAACCGCGTGTATTTTGTATTGTACACGTTGGGATGTGATTTTTGAAATTTCATTTCCAAACTCGGTTACGCGAATAACATGTCCGTAGAACTTATAGCTCGTCGAGTGAGGTTTATGAAAAAGCACGGAAATGCTATATATATATATATAATTTACAAGTTATTCCGATGTCAAATTCAAAACAATTAACACTCGGTTGGGTTCGTATTATTTCTCCAAGACAAATGCAATTTCTTAGCAGCCGAAGACCGCAGTTGTTAATATTGAAAAATAACGTCAAACCGCTATTGCATCAGAATGAAAAAAAAAATACCCATATATATCTATCTATATTATGTCGTGCATACTCTGCTATAGACATTTTTGTGAAAAAAAGTTTTCAATTTAAAAGTTTTCTTTTGACATTTGCGCATGTTAGATCATTGTAAATACGGGTTTTTATTATTATTATTATCATTTGTTTTTTATTTACAAGATTGCGATTAGTATCTAATTTATCGCTATTATTTTTTTCTTTATATTTACAGGTATATAAATCAGTTTTCACTGCGGATGTGTTTATTGTGTTATTCAAAAAAAAAAAATACCGGACAATATAATATATCGATAAAATCAAACTAGGTTACAGGTTAGGTTAGAGTGAAACGCATTTATAAACAGTATTGAGACTCGTCTTGATAAATTGTTTAACTATATCGTTTATCTTATCCTGCAGATACACGGACGGTTTTTGAGAGAAAGAATCAGTTTTGGCTATAGTGAAATTTCCAATCGTGTTTTAGATAAGTACAAGTACTAAAAGTGTACCAGTGTAATTTGTTAGAAGTCATTAGATTTGTCATCAAAATATTTTAATTTTTTTTTTTTTGTTAGTAATTAATTTTTGTCATTTAATGTTTATATTATAATAAGTCGAAATGAGAAAAATAATAATACTAATAATATTCTGTTCAGCATTATTTTTCATTAGCAATGGTTTATCGTTGCATACAGATATAAATTAAATTACTCTATAATATATCCTTCCATCCAACTTTCCTCCTAAATCGGTGATACACCTATGTAAAATAAACATTCAAATATTAATGGTATATTTAGTTCAATAGGTATGCTTTTTATTTCTGCTTTGTTGTCGATTAGAATATAGCAGCCCGCATTTTTAAACTCAGATTCTAAGAGAGAATATAGGTACTTTTCTAATAATGTTGATACGTATAATACTAATATCATGGATGCTATATAGTTTGTGAGTCAGTAGTTTAAAATGTATGCTTGAAGAGTATACAGAAGGGTTATCTAAACATGTGAATTCAATTTATTACTTTTCCCTTTCCTCTTGTCAACATTTTAAACTGTTATAACTTATAAACAGTATTAGGTATACGTCCCATAAAATTATAGTCTGAAGTATTCTCTTTTCAGATGTGAGTATAATATTAATTTGAATAAAGTCGGACATCCTTCGTATCATAAACGACTATCGCTGTAGATGGAAAGTTTTAAAAAGTATTGGACATAATTAAATATAAATTATTTTAATCAAAAACTTATTATGAGCAAAGCTCAGCAGTTTGTTAAGGTTAGTACAATTTTCTTACAATTAATACAATAGTGTTTTTTTTATAGTTTTATTTTGTTATCATGTTTCTAGGTTTCGGAACATAAATTTAAAATACCTTACCCATTATCCTTGTTGTGTTCATTTGTTCGTCCATTACTAGTAAATGATTACGGTTGTTGATTTGATTTACAAGGAGGTACATGTTATAAATAAAATACTCATTAATTTAATTTGTAACATTATTTTTATTATATATTATCATTATAATTATTAATTTAAATATGAGTATGAAATATAAATTTATACCAGCCATATTTATAAAATAAATACCAAAATATAATTCCTTCAAGAATTTTATAAATGTCCTGTGGATTACTTATCTACAAATATTTAGATACTTAATAATAAGTGTGGAAAACTATAAATAAATAATTTGTTTATTAATAAATTGTTAGTTAAATTGTTAGTTAAATTGTTATTAATATTGATAAATAATTTATTTATAGATTTCTACACATAAAATGTATAGATTAATGTATATTTAATATACTATTGTATTAGGGTAACAAACTCATTCAAAATTGTACATGGAATTATAGTTTACTGTTTAAAATATAGAGAGTAGGTTTTCTTAACTTTTTACTTAGATTCTTTAAAAATCTGTTGAGAACCTCGAAAAGTGTTTAACATAAAGTATCCCTGGGCGAACAATCCGCATATTTTAAGGGACGAAATCAGAATATTTTTACAAAAAACTATTCTTTATTTTTTTGTTTAATACTTTTTAATAAAACGTATACAGTTTCATCGCTAACCCAGAATCTTAATTTATTAATATTGTACCCACGCATTTAATTTTTGACAGAACATTTTGGTTAAAACGACACGATCATTATGTGCATATACATTAGTACAAAATATAATTTTGAAACAATCGGCTGAACGCATATATTATAATTATTATTATAATTTTGTTTTCTCAAGTCACTTTGTCGTATGACTATTATTATTTGTTTAGTTGTTATGCAAAAGTGCATGCTAAAGTTAAATCGTTTATAATTAAAATATAATCCCCACGCAGTCGTAGCAAAGTCGTTTCTGTAAAATATAGTAAACGTAAGCGATGGTTAAACGTGTTCCTTAAAACAACAACAATAAAAAAAACTTGAAAATCACTATAATGTTTTGGAATCTTTGAAAAAGAATCTAAAAAAGTATAATTTACAACAACAAATTAAAACCAAAAATAATGAAACTTCGATTGCCGTAAATGAGCCCGTTTTTCTTACACGCGTTTTTTTCCCAATCATTATGAAAATTGCAATTATAATCAAAAATTAACCTCATCAATGCACCAGCTAGATCCAAAATGTTACAAAAAGTTTTCTTGTCGTTTTTTTTAATTGGAGCAATATGTCAAATTTAAACGTTGATTGCAAAATACAAAACGCATCACAACATTATTATCTATAGTGAAACCAATATACTACTAGCCACACTCAGAATCTATAATCGCATTTATATTTTCCGTTGGAATTCGTTAAATTATTATTTTTTTCGATTCGTCCTAAATAAATTCCCGGTCGTTTTCGTCTAAAACGAATATTACAAACAATACTTAACGTCTAACAGATAACGCGCGCATACGAGTATAATATTGACACAGTTGTCGACAAATGTATAAATCCAAATCGAATGAGTCTATAGCTGTTTTTAAGATTATCGTCGTATTTCGTGTAGATAATGCGGTGCGCCTAATAGGTATTCCGACTGAAATGCCGGTTTTAATAATAGTAATAATAATACGTATGAAGTACGAATAATTTTGAAATTCAAGTCGAACCATTATACCGGAACGCGTTGTCATTATCATATTTTGTTTGTAACGAACGAATAATAATATAATATTTTGCGCGTTTGAGATAAAAGTATACATAATAATATCGTATCAATATATACGTATATAATAAACTCTAGTATATAAAGGCGAATTTTATGTTAATATCTGACGTAAAAATGTTGAATTTAAAAGTATAATACTACATTGGCTATAGTATATTTCGAAAGCTTGGTCGAAGGACGTTGATTTTCCATGTATATCGAAAACAAATCGCGTAGGTACAATAATGCTTTACATTCGAATAAAATTTATACAAAAGACGATGCAATAATTCTTTGTTCTCAGGGGCACAATCCATTTGTTGACATTTTTTATTTCCTTTAATTTTGTCTATTATTTTTTCCCTTTATTGTTTGGTCTAAATTGAATAAGTACACGTATTTTAAAAATAAATTTATTAATTCATGTAAAAAGTTTACGTATTTTCAGAATTGAATTAGCTTGTATTGAAAATTATACAAAATTGATTTAAAACCTTCTCTGGAACCAAAGAACCAATAAAATAAATAATATATACATAAGTCTAAATATTGATGTTAGATTAAATACGTGGCAGAATTATTTATCTATATTAATACGTGAAACATAAATTTGAAAAAAAAAAAAATTAAAAATGATTCGCAGGAGAGAACTGCAGGTAACATAAATATCATATAATAATACTCTCTTATACTTTTAAAACGGAATACGTATTTCTCTGTATATTTTATGGTATTTATGTCATCTGCAGTTACTGATAACCATATCGAAAATGAAATATAGAGTAAATATAGAGCATTGCCGCACTACATGTGCGTTTTGTATTATGTTTGACGGTTTTGGCAGATATAAACCTAATGTATGTGTATAATAGTGTGTTTAATTCATAGATATAAATAATAATAATACTAGAAAGCGGATAATGATACTATGGTTGCACGACGACGTATATTGGATCACAGGCGTTAAGTGGCACCGAATTTTCTAATCAAGTTTGACAAAAAATCCCCTCTTGCTAGAGCCCTCTACAGTCATTATTATAGAACTCGTATATCATTATACATAATAAGTAATAACCAGTCCACCGGAGTTTAGATATTTAATTCGAAGCCAGTTGTCTTTATCGTATACTATTATATTATATACTATTATTTTATATTGTAATAAGTTATCAATGATTTACTATTGCTACCGCGGTGACCAATATCGTGTTTTAAATAATATTACACAGATATAACAGTTATTACAATATAACTTTGAATGATGAGGCCTACGGGCCTTGAATTATATGGCGGATTCAAACAATACTTCTTATCATCAGTGAGCAATGTAGTATAAACCTATGATTTAATGATCGCACGAGGTGGCAATTTTTTAGATTTTAAGCGGAGCGAAGAATGTATTGGTTTTACAATGATTATGTGGTATTTCGAGTTTAATAAATGACTGTAATTCTATATTATCGGAATATACCCTTATAATAGACCCTTTATATTTAATCCCTATCACCATATCCTTATTAAATCCAGGTTTAAAGTGGTTAAACATTATTTTCCCTACGAGTTCGTCAATTATTAATTTTAGAAAAAAAAACCCAACCAAAATTTTAATAATTTAATATATATTTCAAACGAACCTTTAACCTAACTTTGTTAATGAAATAATTGACTAATAAAGTGTATGTCAACTTTTAGATTCTGAGCAAAGGGAGGAATTTATTGGTTTTACAATAATATTTATTTTTTAATTTTTTAACTGTAAACATTTTTACTACTAGACATTTTGTTTCGACTTTCAAGTATAGCACTTCTTCTGAAAGTAAATCTAACTGAATAGGTTTCTTTGAGGAGACAATATTTTGATTTTCCCAGGAGTTTTTACAATGGAAAAAAACATAGAAAACACGGGAAAATATACTACATTATGTATTATTTACAAAATAATCATAAATATTATGGATTTTTAAAATATGTACAATCGAACTCCGCTCAGATCCGTTTTTTGTTAGATTAATCGTAGGGTATAGATATACAATATATTATCCTTCTACCTTCCCAACTCCTCACCTACAACAGTGACTTCCCTCATCATGCTAATTATGTTCGTTTGTTTTTTGTATCTTATTTTCTGTCTGTAAACGAATCATCATCCAAGCATAAATGACAATTGAGCTCTCTTGTAGCATTTCTGATCTATTTGGTGTATTCAATATCTAAGTATTTCTTTAATTTCCTTGCAAGTCATCTATATCACTCGCTAATCTCTGTACTGTGAATAACTGTTGCGTATGCACTATAAGTCACAAGACATTTTGTTGTATAAAAGTGATTTTATTTTAGAGTAGGAGCAGCACAATTAAATCAGCAAAAGGGTGGGAAATATTTTTAAATTCAGTCTTGAATTACATTTTATATACATCATGTCATAATTTATGGAACAAACAAAATATATTTCATGATTCAATAAACTTATCGATATTTTGTTCTCACATATTATAATATTTTGATCCTATTATTTTATGTGATCTGTAGTAGGTAATTAATGTTACGCGTAGGTAGTCGTATTCACTTTAAACTTGTTTTAACATTTTACAAAATCTAATAATATCATTTATTACTACGATTTTCCTAGAATTAATTAAATTATTATTCATTCATGTAGAAAACAACGTATAGGGCATAGGTATTTGTGTGGGTAGTGAATGAATATCGTACTTTATTAAACTCTTTTGACAGACTATACGGGTGAATCGATAAATTATAATTAATCTATATTTTAATTATATTTGTTCTCATTGAAAGACATGACATTTTTATTTTTATTTTATTTAGTAAACTGTCTAAAGTAAAAAAAAAAATAAATAGTATCAGAGAATCGTAAGTTTGAAAATTAGTTGAATGAAAAAATATTTAATTTGTGTGGGTACGTACATATTAGAATCTCTTTGATTAACACGACGGTGGTGGGGAATTATTGGATCAAGACGCGGCGCGATTTACTAATTTTAAAATAGTTGGATGTGTACCGCTATATAATGAATAATAATTCAGTTTTGGGCAAAATAAATTGTCAAAAATATTAAATAGACTGTAGTATGGTGGCGTGTCCGGGAATTTCCAATGCGAGGGGATGTGGTAAATAATAATCATGAATCGCGAATAAATCATAGAAACTTTTTCTGTTATACCTAACCCGGCAATGAATCGGACCCAGAAAAGGCAAATTTTCATTTCATAAATCAAAGCTTTTTCCTCGAAACTTGACTAAAATATATAATTTCAAAATAAAATTACCAAATAAATACTTATAGTTATTATATTTTTAAGCTAATAGGGGGGGGGGGGATAATAATCTCTAATCTCCCTTCTTTCGTATATAACTGACTAAGATAATTATTATCAGTATATGATGACTGACGACATTGTGAAACAAAACATATTATTAAATGTATTTAATTTATGAACCACTAATAGCGTTCGGGTTCGCGAAGACAATAGTGTTTCTTGTATCATACCGTCGCTCGTTGTGCCCATATACCTATCTAATACGGTTAGTAAATTATAATATTGTGTAATTTGATAGATACATTTAAATAACTTTTGGTGCTAATAATGACTAAGAACTTGTGAACAAGCATTATAGTTACAAAACTCGAACGAGTTGATGACCAATAATTATTATTAATGGGACACCGAAATAGACATATACCATCTTAGGAACTATTAAAGCGAGAGAGACCTAAGCGAACATAATTGTAACTCTATATGCTTAACGTTAGCTTCTAAGGATATCAGAAGAGTTGATTGGTATTTGGAAGTCAGTATATTGAAGTATATTAAAGTTTGGCCTGTTTTGAAAAAAATACAAAAACAAATAAAGAAAATACAAAAAAATACAAAATTAAAAATCGCAATTTAATCTAAATTACAACACACTAATTGATTATTATTTAGAAATGTATTAGCACGGATACCTGGTATTGTATTTTCTTTTTTTAAAAATCAGAAAACATAGAAATCGGAACAACGGTAAATGGACTCATTTTAAATTTTCAACATAGATTGCTGCCTACATAATTCATTGTACAATATAAAATTAAAGATAATTTGAATACAATAGTATTTTTAATTGTACACATATTGCAAATTATTCAGTACCTAGTAATTTCAATAACACTACAATATTTTTAAACTATTATTAAGCATACATACACGACGGGTGTTTTCTGCGAGAAAACTGAATTTATTAGGATGGAAATATTATTTGTTTAGCATTTGCTGTGCACGCAACGATGATCTTTTGACTAGTTAATATACAAAAAATTGTAAGATGAAGGGAATCAGCTTTCTTTTTGTCAGGGCTGGCAGTAAGACTCACAAACCAACGACCAACGGTTTTGAGAGGAATCGGTTAAGATTAATTTTAAGTCAAATATAACAATAATAGGTCTCTACGATTATTTTTAACTGAATAACAACCAAAAAATTAAATTAAAAATTTGAGTGTTGAATTTTTAGATTCCCATCAACTCGTTGACGAGATATCCACTTTCAAGTTCAGGTAGGTGGAGAATAGTGGATCACTATTCAAATGTCGCGTGCTACACCGCCACACAACCACTACTCTCCTCCTAATACTGTATATGAAACTCATATCGGTGAAGTATAAAATATTGTTTATCAATTATTCGTGTTATTTTTCTTTGCAGTACCTACCTGATAATATTAATCAACTGATAAATTTACATATTTGATTAAAAAAAGTTTCACTTAAGAATTTGGGAAATTCGTTTTTAAATTATACGTCTAATATGCAAATGATACACGCGATACATTTCGCAATTTTTCAAAATTATAGATTAGAACTGCTTGTCAGACAAGACAAATTTTGCTATAGAAGTGTTGCACACACCGAAATCGGCATTGATGACTGTTTATCCTTACATTGTACAAGCAATGCAAAAGAACACATATGATGTGTGAATCCAACAAGAGGCGCTTACGAAAAAAAAATATAAATCCGAAGGAAAAGTCTATAACATACTTTTTATGCTGAAAAATGAGTTAAATATAAAAAATGTTTGATTAGGGTTAAATGCAATTATTACCATTATATGTATTTACAGATTAATACAAAAGTACGTATATTATGTATAAAGCTTTAACTTAACATTAACAACAAAAAGTTAAACTTGTCTGCCAAAAGATATATTCGTATTTGTTTTCTGGATGATTAATAATCGTCCTCATGCCCATCATCATTTGACAAAGGATAATATTATCATATTTTGTTTTAGCCACGCTTTTGATATTCCTTCCTATGTATATAATATAATATAATATCTTAACACCCCTATCAATTTCTCAATGTTCCCCCCCACGCATAATGATGCAAAATAAATGTAGAATTATTATGTTATCCAAATAAATTACCATAATATTATCTTAGATTTTTGCATATTTATTAGAAAAATAACCACAATATATTTAAATTACAATTGAATATAAAACAACTTTTTAAACAATATAACGTTAGACAATCGTCTCACGTCGTTATCTGCAATAGTGTCTCAGTGGCGATATCACGGGGCATATCTGAATGTCAATCCCCCTCCCCCCTTGGTATTTTTCTTCTAAAGAAAAGGTTTAAAATAACTTGAAACTAAATAAACTTAAATATAATTACAAATTTAAATGCTTTTTTATTTAATTTAAACCAAAATTATAATTGATAACTAATGTTAAACCGTTAAAAATTATTTGCGGAACACTATGTTAGAGATACATTTGTAATATTTGTAGTTAAAAACTAAGATATTAAACAAACGTTATGTACTCAATATGAATAACTAAGAATTGATTAAAAATGGATTGATTATGTTGGCAGTCCATAGAAATATACCGATAGATACAAAGGCAGACATGCATGGTTCCTAACCATGATTTTGAAAGCAAAAATAGTAGATTTTTTTATTACAAATTGTATAATTCGTTTGTTATTAATATCTATAATTCTACCTAACAATTATATATTAATTTTCATGTTTTATTATGAGATAATATTAAACTTGTAAACCTTTTTTTATTTATAGGCCCTACGCCTCCCCAGAAAAAGGGGATTAGCTAACAACTTCGTAGTCCCCTTTCATACAATTTTTTAAATATTGCCCTCCTCTTCCCGCGGCCAAAGTCCAAATTACGCCAGTAGGTATATAATTATTCGGTAGGTAATTATTATTATAGTGTTCAGAATTTTATTGGTGTGGTGTCAATTCTCCATGGTGACATTAATATCACCGTATTTCGCTATTTGTAGGGAGTGCTCCGAACTGAAAAATTCGTGAAAAAAAAAACTTTAAAGTACCACCTGCGTTCAATTGTCTATCTATAATAACGCTGCATAAAACTTTTCGAGCATGTTTACTATTGCAGCAGCAATCCCCAAAAGCGTTGACCGAAAATAAGGGAAGAAAAAAATACTATACGCACCAACAACAGTAACTGAGAATTGCGAAAGAAATATACGACGAGAAATTGTTTTTATCCCACACCGAGCATTAAACGAAAACGCGCGAGTGTGAAAATTGTTATTATTATTTTTTTTTCTGCTTAAGAATTTCTATCGACTCAATTTACTTTTCTATATACTTGCCATAATCCATTTCTAATTGATTAAAATCCATCTGTTTGCCCTTATTGTAGTGATATTCCTTTAGGTTTTTGGTTTATCCAATGTATATGAGAGTTATCTACCTACATTTACTATCGCAACACCGACGGGAACCGCTGATTGAGATGATGGTAAAACGTTTTGCTCTTTTATCGATTTATATAATAAAACTATAGTAGTTTTCGTGAATAACGCGTGAGTCAATTCAATATTCAAGTACGGGAAATCGTTGGTTATTTTTATTGTTTTCTTTAAACCGTAGGAATTCAGTAAAAACATGCGAAACAATAAAACAAATTTACAACTACAATCGACTATTATTTTTCGGTAATATTATTACCTATTATTGTTCTTGAGTTAAAAGTTTTTCATTGTGACTTTATCTTTTTGTTTGACAAATCAAATGTTCACAAATCAACACTATCAACCGAACTCCATTCAGAATCATTTTTTCATGAAAAAAAAAGAAAATATATTCGTCATATACTATTCGAAATTGTTTAGCAAAAGGAAAATACCGTAGATATATATTTTATAATCTATGGGACTTATCATCTTTTTGCCCAAAATTTGGTTTAACCAAACAATCCCATATCATTATTCTCTCCGTATCTAATAGACGATCTTGCATTGTTGTTGTACCGATCCCCTCGACTATCTTTTATCTTCATCTGGGTTCACTGAAGAAACCATGAAAATAACGCACTTCGCTCGGAAAAAGTAGATTTTCGTCCCGGTAATGAAAACTAATAAGTACAAATCCTGCAATGAAGTAATTTTAGGATACATACGTACATTCCTACACTGTTACATTAATTACCAATATCATATTGTCATTCGGTAAAATGATATGATATTTAATTGAAAACAAACAGTGCACGTATGTATTAAATTAACACACTTTTATCAGACACAAAATACAAAATTCGCTAAAATGTTTAACATGTGTACATCGTAATATATTTTAAATTAAAAGAGGTGATATTGGGTATGGGAGCGGCCGCTGTTGTAGGTGAGAAGTTGGGAAAGTAGGATACATAAGTTTATTCAATTTATATCTGTAGGCAACGATAAACCATTGCTTGACGAAAGACGATTCTGAGCACAGTTCGGTAATACATAATTTGAATTGCCATAATCTTTTTTGCGATTTTTGTATAAATTTGATTTCAAAACGTTTATAAAAAAAAATTCGTCCGATAATTTTGGAAATTTTACGATGTCTAGGTTAATCCAATAAAAGTATTATTACCAAGTTTCAAGTCTCTACGTGTATTTATATCCGAATTACAACAAAAAACTCCCATAAATTTAAATTCCTTAAAAGCTCAAAAGTGGCTCAAAATTTTTGGCTATGATACCGTAAGAAAGTTAATCAAAAAGGCAATAAAGAAGGTACCTTATGATTTTTCGATTAAATCAATTTTTCTGGTAAAAAACGTTGTCTGTGTTTTTATAAAACAATGAAATCATGAAAAAATACATTTTCCTACGTTTTTTCCCACTTAAATGTGTTTATTTAAAAAATGGCGTCGAAAATAAAAAAATTGACTTCTTTAAAAGACCATATAGACAACTTGAGCTTTCAAAAAAGTCTATCTTGATTTGATGACGATCTTAGGTAAGGTTTGATTAGTTTTTATTTACTAAAATTTCCATCACAGTAAGCTGAAGTTATAAATATTCTCTAACTTTTTATTTCATGTACAAATTTAATTTTATTTAAATCTTTTTCATACTTATTACATAAATCAATTCAATGATTTTTATATAATTTAGCGACACCTTGTATAGGTATGTGTCTGGATCTGATCATTTTAACAAAGATCTGTGGTGAAATCAACCCCCACTGCATTAAAAGTCATTATTCCTGAATAAACGACTGGAGTATATTTTTTTTCTCCATATTTCATCTAAACCTAATCTTATTCTCGCTCGCCACATTTTTCTATATTTAACAGTCCATCTCTGATGTTTTTATATACTCCTCATGCCTCGAGCGTGTAAGGAAGTATCTACACTCCAATTAATAATCTTCTTAGATATTTCCTGCCATAGTAGTCTAATTTAAACAACAGAATGCATAACGCTACATTATGTATACCTCCATTAATTTATGGAATTTTTACTACTGCCGATTGCTGTTTGAAAATTGACCGCCAAACATAAGGAAAATGGACAATTTTATAACACTATTCGAGATGACAAGTGTCTATTAGGGGGAAAATATTACCCTGTATACAGCGACGGCGGAAAGGAATTTACGGTTTTCGGTCGGCTTTAGATTTTCGCGGGATTTTTGTGCGCGTGAAAAATAATATATTGTTTGGGCAAAATAGCAACTGTCTCTCATTCCCTCGTTCTTTCGCATGCGTGGCACTATTTATTATTGTCGTATATGGGAATAGAACGGGTACCCACATTGAACGCACACAGTTTTTTTCCTTCGTAATCGACTGAAAATATTAATCGGCGCGAAATCGTACACATATACCACGCGCGTGTTACACCCGGAGAAAGGTTTATTTTAATAGACTTGCCTTTATTATTTATCAGTACCTATACCTATATTTATACCTGAACGAACCGTTTCGTCATTTTTTGAAATACCAAAGTCCATACACGATCAAAAAATTAAGTATTATTGTTGGTTAGAAAGTGTACGCGAAAAGTGATAATTAATATGATATTTATTATAAGCATTGTTGAAAAATCGCCATAATTTATAACATAACTAGGGCTGTGTATTGAAGGCCATAAAAACCTTTTAAAAAGCATTTAATTCCTATAAAAGGAATTGAAACTTACAAAAGACACCCTTGAGCAACATTACATTAAAGTTTCGAGGATGAGCATACGCAAAAATAAGGGAAGGGGGTTTTAAAAACTAGGCCCTTCAAAAATTTCGATTTCCTCACCAAAGCCTTCCCAAGTTTTTTCTACTTATTGAATTTTTTAATAGTTTATGATACAGGGTAACTCATTTTTTTGTAATAAAAATAAATTATAACCAATAAATTTACTGTTAGTGAAAAGTGAATGGCGAAAATTGAAATAAATAGTCACGGTTTTACTACAATCAAATAATATGCAGGTGGAATATCTTACTGTGTATTCGTTTACGTATTTTTAAGGACAGCGTAATAAATTAATGATTGAATACATTTTATTTATCATGGTATTTATAAATTATAATATTATTGTAATATTTTACGTTGTAATTTGTAGCTTAGAATATATTATAGTTTGCCTGTCTCAATAATGGGTTTCCACCGCAGTCTCGCTGAATATTGAGTGAGCCGTAGATTTATTGAAAATTAAAGTCACCATCGTTAAATAAAAACAAATATCCGTGGAATCCAAATTAATTGGCATCCAATTGCGTTCATTTCATTTTTTGAGAGGGGGGCAAAAGTTTTAACCGGTTCACAATAAAACTGAATAAAAAATCGCTCGCTAACTTATTGATCACAATTATATTTTTATCACAAAGAAATACCCTTCTTACATAATTTTATACTTACCATCATAGTATAAATAACCTATTTTTTTGAGGGACAACAATCACTAAATAATAAATATATATGTAGATGGATATCTAAATATATTACCTATTAGCTACTATATGAAGGCTTAGTTTGAGGATAATTTTACCCCAATTTATGTCCTATTTTTACCAATATATGCATGGAGTATAAATGTATCACAAAATCATAAAACATAATTACGTGAATCGCGTTTGCGAGCTTACGACCCAAAACTAGCCCAACAATAGCCCACACCCGGTGACCAGAATGGGGGATACCTCCTCTGCCCTCTTCTCGAATTCATTAGGTGTTTATCTCTTCCGCAATGGCTTCATTGAGTAGCTTCGCTTCGCCCCCCCCCCAAATCTCAAACCCTATTCGTGCCTATGAGGCTGAGCTTTTCGGGAGTTTCGACTTTCGATCCCCTTCTATATTATTACTGTGTTCAAATGTCACCGTTTGTTTGTTTACGCTATTTACTAAGCGAAAATGTGTAGTTTTTCCGAGGGGATCTTAGTAGGTGTTATTATATTTTAAGATACCTATTAGACCGTCTTAGTGAAATACTTATAATATCAGGTACAAATAAATTCCTCGCTCTGCACTCAGAATCCAAAATAACGTATACACTTAAAATATTCACAAACAATAATTTCGTTAATCTCGTATTTGGTGTGCGGTTATATTATAGTTTTCCGGACAATGTATTCGCGGGATTTTCCCCGTCCGCGTCTGCGCGCTACACTGCGCGGTTAATATTATACTCTGGTATATACAACGAATGATGCAACGCGTCATGTAATAAATTGCGAATAAAACCGCGTATATGCACATAGATATTATGTATATATATATATATATGTATATAAACTTTCCGGAATGATATGGAGGATGTGTGGCTCCGCCGTGCGGTGTTAATTTATGATTGTACGCGTCGAAACTTTTCGCGGGCGCACCGAGTACACTCGCTTGTGTGTGTGTGTATTGTGTATACAAACGATATATAGTTAATAAGTCATTTCGAAATTAAAAATTCCGCCGTAAAGAGGCGTCTATGAGCATTTTTTTTTTTTTTTCAACGTTTTTATTTGCGGTTTATCCCAATCGGAACTGTGACGGAATATTAATATCATTACCAAAAATAATTCATTTCCTTCACCAATGTCCGATTATGCGTTTGATTTCATTATTTGATAATAACGAAACGTCTTAGATCTATGCCGTCGCATCGCGTTTAAAAATCTCTTTTAATAGAATTGGTAAAAAACACAAATCGGTAAGTTTTAGATTTTGAGAGGAACGAGGAATGTATTGGTTTTACAATGATGTTTGTTTATTTATTTTTTTTTTTCTTCACGTAAACAGTTTTTCTACCAAAAAGCTTACTCCGATTATCAAGTATAGCACCTTTTCTGAAAGGAAATTCTCTCTGGGTGGTACTATAAGGAGGTCGTTATATAAAATTCTCATTAATATTTGAGATAATGAGGAAAATCTCGGTCTTTAGGTTAATAAAGATTGAAAGATTAAAAAAAAGGTTGTCATTGGCAACCGTTTTTGTTTGTTTTTTGTTATTATTAAGTTCTTATTATTTTAATATTTTCCAAACAATTATTGTTGTCATGGAAATGCACATTGTTTTAATCATTTTACCACAATATGACATAATACCATATATTGTATTGTTGATAAAGCAACATTATTTCGGCTCAGAATAGTCTTTTCGTTAGCAATGGTTTATCGTTGCTTACACATATATATTTTTAAATTTCCGTCTGCAGCCTACTTTCCCAACTTTCCATCTACAACAGTGGCTGCACCCACGTGCGAAGTATGTCAGTCCTTTTTTTTTTTCTATGTATTCCTCATTTGATTTGATCTCCAGTCGAGTATTGTTTTTCGCCATTGTTGTTCTATATTAGCTGATGACAACTTTTATAATACTATTATACAGATTTTATTTTGTTCATTTTCCAATAACTTATAATTTATTACAATCCATTTTTATGTAGCGTTAATTTTGTTAATTAATTTTCGTTTACATTGTGTAGATATTTTGATATTTATTCGTCTGTTTAAATTATGGAATTTCGCGTCGTATTTTACCTACACTAACATCGACAAAATTGTATACATTTATATATCCTTAAAATATTAAATATCAATTATGTACCACATTTCTGAACACCTCCATAAAGTTCCTTAAAGTTTACTGTGGTATGGGTGTGATGACCACAAGCTACGCCTGCCCGCTCTGCTGGCCAGTTCGATTAACGCTACGTGCCACTTTTCGCTTTTAGAATTACAATCTGCGGTTTCAGACTTAATTCTGGTGTAAAGAAGTTAGTACCCCAAGATGTGGAATTAAACGTCACTGAACGAGATCGGTTACGTCCATTCATTTGTAAAATGCCGGAATTTTTATCGAGAATTTACCTTGAATTTTTAATAACAATATTTTTTAAAATTCGAAGTTTTTCGTCGAAAAGAAGTTGCAATTTCTTTATCAATATAAAATTTCATAGACGAAACCTTAAATACGGATCTGAATACTGTAGATAACAACATATAACAGATAATACAAACGAATCGTTGCGGTAGATACGTTATTCCGTGAATAAATTACATGTAACTATGTAAGTATACGCCAAGTTATAATGCTAAAATATTACAGTTGTATTATCTTCTGTTGAAGTTCTGTTCATCTTCAACTTATATTTTAATACATTACACTGATAGTGGACTTATGTATATCCAATAGCAATAGCATATAATAATCGTCTAAATTCACTCACCTGAAACAAAAAAAAAAAAAAAAACACGTTTTAGAATAAATAATCAATTTATAATGTATTATAACTAAATGAATAAATTTACTATAAGAAAACTATAAGATGAACTTTTATAAGTCAATACAAAATCATTTTTAACAAAAATGTGTATTTTTTTTTTTACTTTATCGCCAAAAATGTAAAGTTCTTTAAGCTATATGGATCGATTCGTTGTACTATTGTATTGTATATTATAATCTCGCGTTATATTGGTACACCGTTGTTTTTGTTTTTGACCGTAGCCCGCACAAGTGTCTATAAAAGTACTTATACTATCCTCCTTAGTCCTCTTCTTCACTCGTTCCCTCCCATCCACGAAAGGTAGATAATTATTTTTCTTATAACTGTTCGTTTTCAGATTCAGCTTATCGAAGCCAAAGAACCATAAGTTTCGCTATAATGGCGTGGTTTTTTTTTCAACCCGCCTCTTTGCAAGTATATAGTGAACACGCGCTCAAAATGTCTTGTATAGCAGTTTTTCGATCGGTTAATCGGACACACAGATGGTGTATAATATAATATACTTAGTTATACCCTCTTCGGTCGAGAGGTTATTTTCGAGTTTCTACCACGACATAATTGAGAGAAAACGCAAGCAAGCAAACAATATTTCGTTTTTATTAAATCTACTACAATCTCGTAATATAGGTTGATCGATTTCTATCGCATTTATTAGTTATTATAAAAATCGGGACAGTCATGATACAGAATAACATTATAGCGGTTCGGATAAATTCGGATTTGGAATTTTAGATAAAGAACTTCGAATTTCAGATTCCACAATAATTCGGATTTCCGTTTTTAATCTGAAAATCAATTTTGTCTGCTATTATTAAATAAACTTTTAATTGTGATTCGTTTTTCAATGCCAGTGTAAATATATTTGATTTATTTAAAAAGATTTTAGTGATTCGTTATAAAACGTGCGTACAAATGAATTTATAATTCATAATTATACAATTTTAACCATTTCGATTTTTTATCGAATAAAACTGTGCTTTTTTATTATGACACCATCAAATATTCTATCGACATTAAAAATGTATTATTTTCTCACTTCCAAACGAGTTAAAGTCAAAACGCTCTGAAATAGCTCCCCCCCTTCTTAATTTGGTCTATGAAATCACAATCTCGGTCACAGTTTTGGTTTTCCCGGACAGGATTACCGGGATCACTCGGCCCAGAGTTCAGGTGAAAATAGGCGTTTCGAATCGACATACTCGGCACGTGGCCGTGGATAAAGAGATATAGTAGTGAGTAAATGTAATATATAATGGACACGCCATGTACGTGGTGTATACTGTGTGTATGTGTGTGTGTGTGTATACAGTATGTCCGGTGAGTGGAGGAAATGGGAGACCATGGTGCGATAGGTGTGCGTATACATGCGGAAGAATTGCATAATGCAGTAGATGGGCAGGAGATGAGACACGAGACGGAAAGTACATAAATTCCCGTCCGGCGAACGAGAAGTTTTCATATTTCTTCGTAACCCGCGAATCGTACCTGCTTACGCGAAAAAAAATACCGACAAATACCGAACGAGAGATCCTGCTGACGCCGATTCGGTTTACCGTCGTTCGTTGTAGGTTACAGAGAGAACCAAAAATCGTACTGCATTAGGAAATAAATAATATTATTTCAAATTTGAATACGCAATACCTAGTTTATTTTTTTTCTTGCCGTTGCCTTCTACCAATGTTTATTCGTATACAAAACGAACAATAAGAGTCTATGAAATGTATATAATAATTACTTTCATATACGAGTAGAAAAATGCAATATTATTATGCAAACGAGCGCTGAAAAAAAATCGGTCAGGCCCTCAGAAGCTCAGAGGTTTCCCGTTCTGTACGTCTTACTGTAATGTTATACACGTCCTATTGACGGATCCTCGGGGGTCCTCCGGAAAGAGACTCTTTGTGCACACATACGCAAACATAATTTTATTGGTTTTTTTTGTGTCCGAAGGGAAATAAAAAGTAACCCAATCGAACGGTCGTCGCGTCGTGTAAATATCGTGTGGTTTTCTCTCTCTCTCTTTCTCTCATGCATACTCTGGAAAAAGGCGTCCGACGTGTTCGCTGACAAAGGGACGATCCATTTAAAAGCCAAACGCATGTATACCGTGGGGACACGCAACGGAATAATGAATATTTTTCAAAATTAACAGGGGTATTATGTGTTGTATCAATTGGGTTGCAAGCAACTGACCTGGCCACGACGACAGTTCGAATTACGAAAGATTTTAAAACCGAAACACCCGATTTGTTATAAATACAAAAAAACGACAATCGCAATGACGGTACGTTAAGATAACGTGGTTTTCTGTGGTAAAAACGTTTACTTTTGATCGTTAAAACTCTTATTATGAAATTTATATTTGTAAAAACAATATCACTTCGTCGGTGTTTTTTTTTCAACATTTTAATTAATTTAAAAAAGTTATAGTTATTTCAGTAGAAAAAAAATGTAAAATATACAGGTTCTTGTATATCTTCTAGATAAAAAAAACACGAGTCGATTACACTAGTGAATTATCATAAAAAGGGCACCGATGAAATTGTCTCCAAAATGAAATTATCGTCAGTTTAGTATCGTTACCAACAGGGTAAATATGTTTCGTCAACTCTCAAGTCTATTTTTATATTGCCTATGCAATGAATATTAGCTATGCTATTATAATACTTTTATGAGTTCCAAAATTATACATATATTAAATAAAAACCTGGATGGGACATTACCAAGTGAAACAGTTTGGCCACTATATATTCACGGTCCTGACTGGTCAATAACCAATAATGGTTTTGTTAAAATGTTTGTATGTTATGATTTCTGTAGTGGAAAAAAAGACGCGTTAGATACCATATCGTAACCTATACTACCTAAATATGGTCTTCATGTTAAAGTCAAATTTTCCAAGAAACACTTATTCTAAACTGATATGCACCATTCATATTCTTATTATCAGCTATATACTTTCAAACCTGCAAAATATTGGTTTTTTGGACGTTTATTTTCATTTCTTTGATCTTTTGATAGATATGATTTCTTTTTCAATCGGTGGACCCTACACGTCGTCTACGAACCGTAGTAATAATTTCATTGGAAAATCAATCCAAAATCAATTCGAATACCTGCAGCCGAACACTATATCCTATACCGATTATTACATTACCAGTTTTTCTTTAATCCCCGCCACACGGAGTTTACTCAAAAACAATATAAGACGTTACCTATGTAATATTAATATTATTATTATTAACATTACAATAGTGCCGACCGCCGGGGTTATCAAAATTCATATAACACAGTCGGTACTTTATATACGCCTGCGGAGTGTATATACTCGGGCGGAAAACGGAAACAATAATTTATCTTGTTTGCGTTAAGTAAACTATCCCAACTCATCCGCTGACAAAAGGACTACGTTATTAGTATATAAGTAGGTATACATATATATGTGTATATTATATACGGGAGCGCTGGGTTCATTATCGTTATTGTTATAAATCTTTATAAAAGCTGATATTATATATTATTATATGGTTGATAATATATGCGAAAATGGGTTTTATATTCGTATATGCGAGGTTAGGTATACGATTCAACCACTAGGTACTTTTTTTTTAAATTTAATTACATTTTTTTAATAAAAGTAGACATAAAAAAGTCGTATAGGTTGGGAGGTAGATAGGTATAGTTAAACAGAGAAATAAATATGCGTGCAATGTACAAAATATTATAATGTATAAAAAAAAAAAAAAACAAAATCATTAATTTTGCGTAATAATAATATTGATATAAAGTTATTAATATTAAAATTTAAAAGATACGAATAGAAACGATTTATTAAAAATATCACTGTGATGAAAAATTAAATATATTTTGATTTAGAATGTTTAGGTAAACAATTCTACAGGTAATATATCAAGTTAAAAAGTTTAAAGTTAAATTAACATTAACTTTAGATTTTATCCTACCCATTGTTTTTATCAAGTTAATAAGTAATGTATAATTAATATTAATTTTGTATTATCTATTGACATTATGTTAAGTCAATTTCAATTTCTTTTTTTTTTATTTAATATTTTGTTAGACATTACGAGTTTGTTAAATAACTATAATTCGATACAATCCAAATAGACCTTTTGTGTTGAACGTATTCATGATCCTTATTAAAACAAAATCGGGAAAATGTACAATAATATGTATTATTTACAAATCATAAATATTACATGACCGAACTCCGCTTAGAATCGTTTTTCATTAGCAATGATTAATCGTTGAGTACAGATATATATTCAATTTATCATCTACCTTCCCAACTTCTCACCTACAACAGTAGCCTACCCATCGTGCGAAGTATGTCCGTTTGTTTTTTGTCTATTGATTCTACTTAGTCGAGTTGATATTTACATCAACTTGCAAAACTATAAATAATAAAATGCGTATATTTTGGTATAAAACATCATTAGGAAACATTTTCACACAGTTGGTAAATTATTATTTTAAATGCGTTGTACATATTTAATTTTAACCATTACCAAGATTGTATTTATTTTTTTTAAAAAAACCAAAATTATTTTATATAAAGTTAAATGTATAATTAGTATAAAATGTATAGTTACTTTGATGATAGCATTTCAGTTTATTTTGTTTATAGTAAGTTTCGTTTAACGTGGGATTATTTTGCTTTAAAAAAAAAAACTGCAGTATTAAACTGTACAAACAAAAGTGTTGAGTTACAGTTACTGTACAAACTTTATGTGATTATTTTAAACAATTTGCGTAGACATAATAAACAAAATAGTTTATTCAGTTAAACTGACGAACAGACTGACGAACGTACCTAACAACATTTACAAATTAAATACAGTAATAATATCAAAAGACTTCATTATATCAAGTCGTGTATGAACAAATATTTTAAAACTAATTCGAACCTTAGTTGATTACAGTAGTATTTGTACTTATATAATAATATTACTGTGAAAATATTTGTGTTTGTGATGTTTATTATACAGCCCGATACATTTTAAAAGACTGCAGTCGACTAGCTAAATAATTTGTCTGAAATCGCATAAAAATGATTGAAAAGCAATCAAATAACTGCAGTCTGATAAAAAATGATACCCAAGGCACAGTACACTTTCTCTGTTGATTTCAGTATAGTTTAATAATAAAGACAATGGGTGTCGAATATTTTTATTTTTATGATAGGATTTTTAATTTCACAAAAATTTCGTTAACAGATTGTTCACATTTTTTGAATGCTATAAACACAGCAGGGTTGTGAATAATTTAAACCGTTAAAAGCCATTAAAAAAGTATATATTAAATCACAAAAAAAACATCTCACAATGGACCTGAATCACTAAAAAAAAGCAATATAGTAGTGCAATCAATTATATAATTTATTCACTATTAAAAAATTACAAAAAAAAAAAAATTAATAATAATAATAATAAATTATAAAAATAGTTTTTATTTTCTGAAAAAAATTTGGTCTGTTTTTGTAAGTATACTAAAAAATATATTAATAATGTTAAAAAAAGAAAAGAATAAAGTATTTTAATTAAATACCTATACGTATATAAACAGACTGTACAATTTAAAAACAAATAATGTTGAAAATAACTATAAAATTACCTAACTAAAAAAAAAAAAGCTGATGCTTCTAATGGGTTCGTCAAAGTTTTAGGAAAGACGTTGAAAGGGAAGATACATATAGAATAATTTAATTTGTATCTGTGCACAACGATAAACCATTGCTAACGAAAAACGATCTGGGCTTCAGTATATTATTAGTCTTATTTTGTCCTTATTGCGAAGGTCATTCAGAAATCAAAAAAAATTATACCAATAATTCCCAGTTTTTTCGATTTATTAGGGAAACTTCAAGAAAATTCAATAAATGGTATCCCCAATCAAATCAACAACTCTACATTAAGTTTCAATACAATTTATAATCGAAGCAAAAATTCTGGTAAAAAAAGGTTATTTACATACACATTACGCTTTGTTCAGAATCTAAAAAAAATGAATTTGTTTTAAATTCATAATAACGTTATCAAGCTACTATTATTTGCAAAAAAAAAAAAACCACTATATTTATACCTGAAAAATAAATAAGTACCTATTTTTGATCGGCTTTCAAAATTAATTACTTGTTACCTTTGCCTCGGACGCGTAAGACGGTGACTTGAAGCGAACGGATTGCTTAAACATTGTAGCCACATATAATTTAATCATGAAAAAAAAGTGAATTTTTCGTTTTATTTTCAAAACCAAACAAATTTTAAATAAAACACGGACATAGACGCAATGACGGCGATAATAATTAATAGACACGTATTTTTTGCAATAGCCGTCTTGTATATTTTAAATGCGTGCAACATATTGATCATTATATTGTATTTGTACGAAACGTTTTTTTTTTTTTCTACTTATCGCTAGTTCAAACGGAAATTCTATGTACACATGTGGATCGTTATGTGAAAAAAAAAACCAACAACAAACAATCAAACAAATATAATAATAACAATATGTTATACGGCTTCTGAAAAAAAAAAAATGATTAAACTCTATATTAAAAAGAAAATTAAACAAATAAAACGCAGTGCGCAAGTCCCTTGGAAAACCCGTCATATAATAATAATATGGCGTGTTACGTAGATTGATTAAAAGTGTGGTATTTCCTAAGATAATTTAAGAGTGAACTTAAGATTCAAAGCAAATCTATTGGTTTTACTATGATGTGTTTTTTTTTTTTTTTTATGTGTCTATCAACAACTTTTCGGAAAATTGCTCCAAAGTATCAAGTGTAGCACCTTATCCGAAGGGTAATTTTATCTGGTTGGCGCATTAAACAGATTATTTTTTTTTGATTTTCCGAAGGGGGTTTCAAAATGATTGGAAAAAACCAGAAAGAACATTATAGGTAAAACGGCAAATATTTACGGCACACCGCGGCATTGCCGATTTCATTATTTTTAATTTTTGCAAATTATGTTTTCTACCAGAAATATTGTTCCAATCGAAAAATGAAAAGTGGTCGATTTTGTTGTTTTAAATAATATATAAGCACTGACAAAGAAATTCGTTTTTTGATATCTAAAATAATTTTCATAATAATTCGGAAATCCAAAAAAAAAATAAAAATTTTTTTATATAACGGCACAACGATATCATTATTTAAAATTTTAAAATTATATTTTTCTACAGGAAATTTTTGTTGTTTGATTTTTCGTATAGTTTTTCTAATAATAACGCAAAACCGGGAAAAAAAACGTAGGAAATACGTACAATAAAGTGTACGATATTGGGTTTTATGTTCTCGTGTTCGTGTTCAATTAAAAAATATTGTAGAGACCAGCAGTTTTCACAAAATACTCATACAATAAAACGCCGACTATCCAGAGTGATTAATGTCAAGGGTGATCCGGATGATTGACATATGACACATCAAGAGTTTTATAATTGTACAAATATATTTTAAATATTTATTATTTGTACGTAATATAATTTGAAATTTGTAACAATAAACAAATAGTTTTATTATAATATTTGTAGACGCCATGGCAATAGCCGACAATAATCAGCGTTTGATAAATATAAGAAATCATTTTTATCTATACATAATTATACATATACATATACATATATATATATATATATGTATGCAATATAATAAAACGGCGGATAACTAACCTACGATTTGAAAATACGATTACGATTCACAATTAATTTATTAAAAGACCAATTTTTTTCTGGTTTGATTCTAATTCGGATAATTGAACGTCCGGTTGATTGACTTTCGGATAATCGGCGTTTCACTGATTAATCTTACGTTGACGTGGTCAAATTTTTAAAACGTTCTAAATATTTCCAGGCTATTTATAGGTATTTGATATTTTTGTGTTTTCATAAGAATTGTTATTTAGTCTGTTATTAAAATGAGAGAAATTCTTGAAAATTGAACACAAGGTGCATTATAAGTTGTAGTACGTGGGCTAATAAACAAATTTGAGTTTAAAATGCGAAAACAACCAAAATAATAAACTAGTTTATTTGTTTTTTATTTTGCAACCACGCGACCGATTTCTTGTTACTATCTCCATGGATTTATTTTTTTATTTAACTTTTTTGTTTGTGTTTTGGTTACCAAGTAATTTACGTAGTGAGATCTGTTTCAAAATATTATTTCCATAACAAAAATGATGAATACTGTCGACCCGGATGCTAAAAATCTGCTGCGACGAAACCTTCGTCATGGTCACCAGTGTACGGTGAGTTTGATATCAGTAGCGGCTATAATAATTATTCTATTAATGTACAGATTTTGAATAACTTCAATTATTGAAGTAAGGGAGGAGTCAAAATTAGTTAAATTTCCAAAATAAAACAACAAAAAGTCCAAAATTTCATGCTATTTGATCAACAATGTTTTTTTTTTTCTTTGTCTGTAAATTACTTTTTAACCAGGAGTCTTGCAACGATTTCAAGTGTTTTTTTTTCTAAAAATAAATGTAGTCTAGTAAAACGATTTTAAAGATTATTTTTTAATTTCCCTTGCACCTTTCCTAATAATTTGGAAAAATCAAGAAAAACTTAGTTTCCTAGTTTTCTTTAGGAAAAACGGAAAAATTGACAGGTAAGGTTAATATAACCGTTTTATTATTATTGATTTTTATTTTTGTTTTGATTCAGTTAAAAATAATTTTAGAGACTTGTAAATTTCAAAAAATACTTATATTAGTGATGTTTAAGATAAAGTAAAATGTTCAAAACATTCAGGCGATTTTTGAGTTATTTATAAACTTTTGATTTTTTTCTAGTTGTTTAGTTTTATTTGGTTTTATATGGATAGAACTATTTTGGCTAAGTAGAAATATTTGAAAATTATAAATGAGATACACCATAAGTTGTTCTTATGGGCGTTTATGACCCCTAATCTTTAGCGTTATTTAATAGCTTTATGATATGTGGTTTTTAAGTTGAAATTTCGACAAAATCTTAACGACATTTCAAAATACTTTAAATCATACTTCGCTCAAAATCGTTTTTCGTTAAGAATTATTACTAAAATATTATTCTACTTTTTCAACTCCCCACCTGAAACATTCGTCAATAGTATCAGCTCTTTTATTTTTTTGTCTATACTTGAAGAAAATTAACATTTAATTAATTAATTTATACCATATTTAATCCAATCCAATTAGTATCAATGTTTTTATTATATTCACTTTTTTTTATAAACGTATTTACTTTTATCGTATTTTGTATGTATGAAATAAAAATCATATTTTAAGGTTAGGTTAGACCCACGACTTAAGGGGATGGGGGTTCTTCTCATATTGATCCCCACCATATAAAACCACCATTGTGTGCTGTATTATGGTATAATACAGTATATTATAGGTACAGTGCGTGTATTATTATTATTATTATTATTATTATTATTATTAGAGTGACGAAGTGATAACGTATTTTCGTCCCGAGGGTGAAACGACGAAATGGGTTTGCAATTGGAATCAAAAATCAAAATAAAAAAATCCTTCTTGAGCAATTCGGTTTATTTTTTGTGTGCGTACTATATATGTACGGTCTTTAACGTTTCGAAAAAACCGTTAACACAAATAACACAATACACAATGTTCCAAACAGCTGCAGTAATTTAACATCGAAATGCATCATTTTTATTTTTGTTTGTTTGTTTGACCAACATCTCGCATCGCTAACTATGTACGTAAAACAATGTACCTATACCCAACCGTTACTATGACGAATCTACATCGACATCGAAAACAATTTTACATAAAATATAAAAGAACTTTGGTGGTATATTTTTGAATATTTCACTAGAATTTTGATAAAAAATTATAAACGTTGAGGCCAATCTTCGATAATTTCACGGAGTCGGCTATCTTATTTTATTATACATCTTTTTGAGTGCAATAGGTACCTTGTCTACAATAGGAGTTTTAGATTATAGCCAAACAAATATACAATATTTCTATGAATTGATTAATCATACATGTTCGACAATACTATTTGCGGTAAATCTTAAAGGAAACACGATCCATGAAATATTTTCAATAGAAGGCGTAAAGAGTTTTATATTGGTGATAGATTTCATTATTTTTAAGGAATTGACAAAGTGATATGTTTTTTTTTTTGTTTTATGTTACAACGGGTGTTTATGTTGGTTAAAAATATTTAATAATTATTATTTTCCAACCTACACAAGTAAACAAGATGGTATTTAGAATGTTTGATACTCGGTATCATAAAGTCAGTAAAGTATATCGTTTTATTTTATTTGGACCAAAGATGAAAAAAAAAACCTTTCGCTCTAATAACGTCTCGTATATCTATAGTAAGATTATAGTTACGATTTCTGATTCAATATTATCTCGTGATTGGTAATAATATCAAGGGTCAGCTCAACTGGGGATCGCGGTCCATTGCTACTTTCGATTGATACAATACTGCGGTGACATTGTGAATTGTTTTGTGTTGTCTATTTAAATCGTTTTTTTTTCCTAATGTGTAAAATAACAAAATTTAACTTTATTTAAATAGCTAAAAAGTTTTTTAAAAAATACTACTTGCATGCAACATATATAGTTTATAGTTTGCACAGGGGTAGCGAAAATAAATTAATGAGCGTAGCTATAAGGGATATTTTTAAGAGGAACGTTATTTATAAGTGTGCAAAATGTATTGATAACGGGTAAACCTATTTGTACAAGAGAGAAAAGTAGATAGTTTGATAGGTTGGAAACCGATTGAAATATTGTTAATTGACACACATATACGTTTTATGATTATGTCGATTTCGTTATTATTAAAACAATAATGGCTATAAAATATATTTTGTCCGACTTTTCTGGGCAGAGTGGTTTACATCATCGTTGTTGAAATATTATAATATGCCGTTTACTTTGTTCTCGATATTTTAAACGTTTTTATTGTTATTATTATTATTATTTTTTTTTTTTTTAAGTATAAAAGCTGAAAAATTTCCGAGAGATAATAATAATAATAATAAAAAAATAATATGACGTGTTTTTATAGTGGCTCGAGTATACCTATTGTGCCTATACGTAGTAAAAAATATAAAATTAACATTATAAAGATATTTAAAGTTTTTCACACAGCCTATAAAAGAATCTTGTGAAAAATATGTATACTTACAATGATGCGGATTCAAACCTCTCCACATATTGTGTTATAACATGTATGAATCAATTTTCCTCCGTCGATAAATAGTAATAAAAAAAAAATAGGTTTTACAGTTTAAATTTAGAAGATTGAAAATCGATTGCTGTAAGTTTGGATGAAATTTTATTTTATATTTTTCCGGCTTAAATTGGCTACCACGCTGTCGGTGACATATCCAACAAAAAACTATTGATGTTTACTTTTTTATTATAAACTGCAGGTACCTGCAGTATAATTTGTTAATAAATTTTGGTTTTTAATTTTTCACATTATAACATATAATTAGGTACATAAAAAAGTAACTTAAAAAGTTTCTGACCAAACAGTTTGTACCAATAAACATTTTTGAGACCTCGTAAGTCGTTTTTGGGTACATTTATCTAAAAATTAAAACGTCAAATTTTCCGAAAATTTAAAACAGTTAAATTTCTACATCAAAAAATTTAAACAATATATATATTTTTTTTTAAATAATATTATATTTAAGTCGTAAATTTGTATTTTTGATACATTATTTCGCCGTTCCTGCAGTTTTATAATAGATTTTTAAGATTTACGACTCACGGAGCCGATGCTATCAATATATAATATTGAATTATTATTAAGAAGGATAATGAAATGAGAGTATTCAATGCAGTTCAATCAAAAATAAATTGAAACGACGAATAAAATGATGTAGATTTTATGTAATTATTTTATACTATTCCCCCTCCCTTCTCACTACTAGCATGCTTAAAGAGAGGGGTAATAAACTCGTGCATTATATCGTACTCATGTCTGTATCTTATTAGCTATTACCTTTGTTGAGTTGAAATAAATAAATAAATAAACAAATAAGTATTTGTTTAGATTCTGAGTGAACCACGGGAGTGTATTATTTTTACTATGTGGTCCGTACTAATGGTGGCTCCAGGGGGCGATAGAGATGATTACCCCTCCCCCCCGTTCACTCTCCAATAAACTCTTAGCTTAATTCATCATTAAGTCTTTTTTAAATGTGTGACTTAAATGCATTTTCAAAATCCCCCCCCCCTGATAAAATCTTGTCCTGGAACCACTACTGGTGCGTGCCTATTTTAAATTTTCGTCAAATGTAAATAAGTTATCTATCAGAAAATAAGCATAGCCGGGGAGAGTTCGAGTATTATATCCCCTCGCCCCTTATTTACTACAAATTTTACGTAAAACAGTATAGTTTCATAATTTTGTTTGCGATTGTTTTATAGATATTACCTTGTAACTTTAAATACGTGTACCTCGTTCATTTTACCTAATCAATAATTTATTATTCCATAATAGCTACTCAGAAATTCGTTTTAAATAGGTTAGGTTAGGTCAGTTTTATCCCCAACCTCTTCCAAAATAAATCCTGGTTGCATCATTGCTATTGATACAATAATATTTTCTGTCTCGTAAAATATTCATCATGATATGATATTATTTATACAAATATAATATTATATTGTATACTTAAATTGTTAACTATAATATATATATTGCTTTTACAGGGTTTCTCACGAACCCATTGTCATGTAACAAAAAATATAAACTTTTTTTCGATATTTTTTGTTCAAAATTTAAGAAACAATCAGCTCTAAAACGTTGCATTACCATTATTTTTTATCACCTTTATTTTTGGGGTTGAAATGACTTCCTATATTTGATTTTCAAACGGTAAACTATACTTCAAATTCCATTAATAGATGGAATATTAGAATAAAATACTTGTATACATTTTTGATTTCTATCAACCCGTTGACGAGATTTTCCATTTTTAATTTTGGATAATAGATGAGCTGTAGTGTAACATCATTTGTGTGTATCATTACGCGCGATATTTGAATAGCGTTCCACTATACTCTCCTCCCTCCACCTAAACTAAAAAATACTAAAAAGTGTAATATCTCGTTAATGGATTGACGGAAATCGAACATTTCTTCACCAAAATGTGCTTAAACTCTATCCGTTACTGAGATTTTTAATATAAATTGTCATTTGAAAATTAAAAATAAGTAGTGGTTTCACACCCAAAAATAAAAGTGACAAAAAATAACAGTTAATGTAACATAATGTTAGAGCTGAATTTCTTAAATTGCCCGAAAAAAGTATATACCTACTTTCCGAAATATCGCATTGGGGGGGGAGATATCTTCGTGAAACACCCTGTATAAATATGTTTAAATTTATTTGTAGATTCAATTTAAATAAATATTATGAACAAATATATAATTTTTATTACGCGAATAATAGGGGTACGGTATTCGAAATAAAACGAAATCGTTTTTTTTATTACTATGATTTTATAATACATAAATAAATAGGAGTTGAGAAACACGCTATTTTGCAGTTACGGTATTATCGTGTTCAGGGTTGGCTCGAATATAATGTAAAACCATATTCGATGGTGCTTAAACGCTGTAAGCGTGTTGACGGTGTACACCCTATATAATTTATAATATTATTACGCGGCAACGAATGGAATTATTGAAATTTAATTAAACGATCGTATGTATAATATAATATAATAGGTATACCCCTGATGAAAATGCATTTATCATATCATTCGCAACGGGATAGGTATTTCGAAAATAAAACGTTAATCGTGTTTATCAGAAATTATCCGTTGTTTTTTTTTTTTTTTGTCTTAAGAATATAATATAACGATGGTAGTTTTACAAAGACGTGTTGTGATTTTTTTTTCAAAGAAAACATATTTTAGGTACAAATAAAAATGTTCCGATTTTTTCACGTAACATCTCCAAAAATACGTTATACGAATAATAATTTTTCGAAATGCTCAAAACTGAAACAGACGGACATACTTCGCATGTGGGTGGGCCATTGTTGTAGGTGAAAAATTGGGAAGGTAGTAGAGGGGAAATTTAATGTGTATCTGTACGCAACGGTTAACCATTGCAAACGAAAAGAATGATTCTAAGCGGAGTTCGGTTGATAGTATTGATTTGCCAACAATATATATGTCATATATGGTAAAATAATTACATAATTAATTCGTATGCATTATAAATTTTATTATTTTTTGTAATAATATTTGTTTAATATCGTACCTATTTTCCAGTTTTTCCTATGATTTTTCTCCGGTTTTTCTCATTCATCGGGAAAACTCATTAAAAAATCAAAAAATGATCACCTTAAAGTACCTCCCCAATAAGATCTCCTTTTATATAAAGTGCTATTATTGTAAATCGGAGCGAAATTACTGGTAAAAAAGTTGTTCACAAATTATTGTAAAACCAATACATGCCTGGCTTCACTCAGAATCTAAAATTAAAAACCGGCAACAAATCACAAAATATACCTTACTAGTTTTTACCGAGTTCCACTCGGAATCTTTATTTGACTGCGATGATTTATCGTTGCTTTCAGTGTACCTACCTATTATATAAACTCATGTGCCCTACATCATATACCTTTCAAACTGCCCATCTAGTTTTAATACAATAGCGGTCTACCCACGGTACGGGCATTTTAATAATAGACTTTGAATATTGTCGCTGTCTTCGTTGAAAATTAAAAAATAATATTAAATTATAGAATTTTAGATTTCATATTGATAAGGCAATAGATTTTCCGTTTATAAATTGTTTTTAAACATTTATAATCATATTTCCTTCCCTCCAAAAGCAATATTTGTGCCCAGGATGAGCGAGTTCGAAAAGTCGATACAGATTTCTAAATTAATCATAATAGAGCTCTTAGTAACAAATTCAACGAATTCCGTTTTAAAACTTTTGTCGTGATACTTTTAGTGGCTCCCTATTGGAACTTTACTTTTCATAAGTGTTTTTAATTTACGTTCATATTATTATTATTCTTTTTTTTTCGTAAACTTTCAATAAGAAGTGATTACGAAAATTTGATTATTATCACTGTTATTCAGTATAATAAGATAAGTTACAAGTTTTTAATGTTTTACAATTTTCCAAGTACCGTGTATTCAACTGTATTTTAATGCTTTAAATTTGAAATGGATTTTTTCTTTTTTTTAATTTTCAAGTGCATTTGGTTTGATTATTTTAGGGATTTAAAATAATTTTTTGAGTGTTTTTTTTTTTTTTTTTTTTTTTTTTAATGAATTAAATTCGCAAAACTACACTATTTATAGACAAATTTCGGGTGGGTTTTTGCAACACGGTGCATAATATATAATAGGTGCATATATCCTTTACAAGTATAGACTGCAGTAGGTAGGTCATAGAGGTATATACTCGCATGTTTGAATAATCAGATAGCTAGTCTAGAGGGTTCGTGGTAGTGTTTGCCAGACATAAAGTAAACATATAATATATAATATAACCGCGCGGTATACGCAATCGATATTCATTTCTATGTATACCTATTTAAGTGCTCTAAGTGTTCAAAACTTATCCGTCCGCGTGGGGTGCGACCGATACTCACATTGTCGTATAATGTATTGTAATATTATTCGAAATGATCAATTACCTATATTATTGCTGCAATCGTCGGAACCGATTTCGCCGGTCCGTTTACGGCTACGAAGGACGATATCAAAAATAATTACTCTTCGGTGCCCAATTCTGTGTGAAGTGTGAATAACGCGACGGGTTGAGTTTTATCCCGTACGCCTGTTAAGGAAAAATACTACAGAACATAATCTCAAATATTCCAATATTTTTCTCTGTCCAGGAACTTCGGTCACCTCCGTTCGCCCACGGCGGAACAAAAACCTCGATTCGTTACGCAAAACTACTTCGGGTAGGTCAGAACGCGGGGAAATATTTTATTCACTTCCGTGGATTTTCGATTTTTTGTAATCGAAAGAAGGTAACCACCGGGAACCGGATATCGGAGATACATGACTATATTTTAATATTTTTATCGAATTTAAAAGTAGTTGGTTCTTTATATATTTTTACTATCAGAGCCTAATTTAATTTAAAAGGAGACACATATGGTGAAACGCGCGAGTTTACACATTTTAAAGACCGATGACTTTTGATATTTTATACATTTTTGAGTAAAACATAAAAATTAAAATTTCATATTTCAATACATTTAATACACGGCCAAACTATTTTATTTTGAGAAAACCGCCAACGACATGGCACGTAACATTGCTAGTGATGGGCAGTTTCAAATATTTTATAGTATTGACCGTTATTGATAGTTTTAAGTTCGAATGTTTCATTTGAATATTTTTTTCCATAACGTAGTCTTCCTCATAACCCAATAAAAAGTATTCAAACAGATTTTTTTTTATAACCAAATAGTTTTTTAATCTGTCTAATCGTTCGACAGTAACTATTTGGTTATGTTCATCACTATTCGCAGCTACAGACAGATGCATAAGTACCTACAGAATATTTATCGAGAGGGGGGAGGCGGGTTTTACTATCACTTAATTGATAAGAGTAAATTGGGAGTTCAAAAACGAATTGTACTCCTGTAGTAATTTCCATATAGGAGGTAAACTCCCAAAACACCTTCTTACCTACGCCCCTGGATTCAGCTATTAAACAATTAATAGTTTTCGCATAAACTATAGTATTGTGTTTATTTTATTTTTTTTTTTTTTTTTTGACAATATTTATCTAAATAAAAAAAAAATATAATTTTAACACTCGTGCGATGATAGGACGTGTCCTACGCATATACGCATGACGTCCCACGAAAATTCACTGTTTTATCATATATATATATACTCGCAGAGTGCAGTAAACGTCATTTATATTACGCCACTACTTTAAAAAATTAAATTCTTATAGGACAGAAGAGTGCGGTGAGCAAATTTATGTCGGCTACATTTACTTAAATATTTATTACTTATATTTTGTCGTTCCGAAATTATATTATGTACCAGGTCGTCTGTGAAATATATTATTCACAGTGACTTAGGCTTATTATTTCAGATCACGTCATATTTCTAATGTCGAGACCGGTAAATTAGTTTTGTAAATTGTTAATTTAATTTTAATCTGCGCGTCATCACATCGTGCTCTCGAGCTGCAACTATTATTTTCAATTTACGCGCTTACCCCGTTGTAACAAGTGTTCAAAATGTTGTCTACGTTAAAATTATAATATTATAATGCTATTATGACGTATTCAATTCCACGATAAAAACGTTTTAATTCGATTTTTATAACCGTAGGTCTATGTTATTCATTTTGTCGATGCGTTTTGAATTTCCGAAATTTTTTCCGATTAAACATTCAATAACACCGAGAATGTACTATATTGTATCGACGACGTCCACAATCCACATTTCACCCGATTCAATAAGTGACTAAAAGTGGCGAATAACTTGTCTGTACAGTCATTTTTATATTGCGCGTAGGTGCACATAACGGTATTGTGTTTTATCGAGACAATTACAGTTGATTAGATAGAAATATAATTATTTATCATACTTTATATATATATTAATCACACAACTTTTACGAAATCTAGACGCGTGGCAAATCTGATACACTTTCAATACGTTTATGATGTTGTTTTATCGTAGGTAGTGAACAAAGTGATCGTTTGTTTTATCTAGATAATAAAAAAATTCCCGATTGTTTATATTTATAATATCAATTATCTAGGCATTATCTTTATACAACGCTGATAAGTAGTCCGAAATATAGAACAGGATCGATCGATTGAATATCCCTGCGACTAGCTCTAAAATATTAAGGCATTTGAATGTCGTGGTGCACACACGCCAGTATCCGACCTGATCAAACATGCTTCTATATTAACTCGCGCTATGTATGAACGTTTTTTTTTTTACACCCGGATTTATGGACGTGTGCTACGCAGGACTCGGGCACATGCTTGATCACCGAAACTCGCGATGGCCGGTCACGAGCGGAACAGTACGCGGCCGAAAAACGCCGTCATAAGGCGGACAACGCTGGCCACTGGTATCCGCGGATCGTGTCCTCTTACGGGCTTACCGAAAATTCGCCCTGGACTCGCCGCTTGAATGCCGATCACGAAATCGGGGCCACCGGCATTCGGTGTCCGGTAAGAGCGGCCGACGAGGACTTTTACGGGTATGAGGACGCGGACGCGGCGGCCCTGGCCCGGAAACCGGTTTCATTCGTAATATTCGGCAAACCGGGTACTCCGGACGAACAGCTAGCTGACATATTAGCCGCGTATTGGGGATGCGTCCACGTGTCTCCGGCCTTGGGGCTGGTGTCCGGCCGTGCGGACGCCCGAACCAAGTGGAAGCTGCACCGTGGCGATGCGGTGAACGCGGCCGATTCCTTGGCAATGCTCGTCGCACTTTTGGGCCTCGACAGCCCGGAAATACGGGAACGGGGATACGTGCTTACCGGATTGCCCAGGTAACAAGCGCTGTCCGGCTTTTTTCAGTTTTAGATTTTAACTACAGATTAATTTTTTTAAGTATTGAGATGTGTTTTGTTTTTTCACGGATAACACTTTTTTTCTGCTCGTAGAAATTTTCCAAAGTCTGGAAAACACGGGAGTTTTCGTCCGGCGGTATATTAACCGAACCATTTTTCTAGATTCGAAAACAGCTTTTTTTGAAAAATTTTATAACTGACAATAATTAAGGGTAGATACAGTGTTTTGACGAAATTTAAGAGATCCCACTGTTGAACGTAAGAAATTGTCTATCGAACAATATCTTATCGGAGAAATGCGTGCGATAGATTCGGATGTTGATCACGTGTAGACAAAGAAACAGACATGCAGATATATTCTTTTATTAGTATATAAAATATATTATATAATTTGTGTGCAGGGTCGGGCCGTATCACAGATACAATATATGTATTAAATATACAAGTATATGTTGTCTCTTGTTATTTTGTATCGGGAAGTTGTATTTATTGAGTATCGAGTATCTTTTTGTGCTACTACTTAACTGATTGTTTGGCATGCCAAACAAATAAACTAAAATAATGAAAAACGCCGTTCGTGTAAATTGCTTTATAACAAACAATTATATCGATAGTTCTAATAGTATTTTGTGGAAATTTGTAGTATACATAGTAGATTGAAAAATTAACAAATACAAATGTAGGTAAGCAGGCTCCTGTTAAAGCGTTTATTTTCTTTTGCTCGATTTGTATTCATTCACCGTGTAGAGCCAATTAGTCGATTTTTTTTTAATGCTTTTCTGTTTTCCACCTATTTCGGGGTTTCCCGATTATTAAAAAAAACTTTTTGAAAAATAAACATGACTACTTTACTCACCAACTAGACTAGACAATAGGTTTTCTTTAAAAAAATAATGCGGTTTTTAAAATTTCGAAAAAGATTTCTGGTAGAAAACAACATTTTTTAAAATTGAAAATAATACAATGTTAACTCCGTAAATATTCGTCTGATTTTCGTTTCCTGAAATTTTTTTCGTTTTTTCCCAAATATTATGAAAACTATTTTTAAAATTAAAAAAAAATAATCTCCTTATCGATACACTAACTAGGTCCAAAATTCAACAAATAAGGACTTCAGCCATGTTTTTCGTTGGATCTAGATCTCTGGTAAAAAAAAAAGTTGCTCATAGACAGAAGCAAAAAATAAGTAATAAATAATAATAATATAAAACGCTTGCCTTTATCTATTTTATATTCAGTTATTATTAGTACAATTCATTTTGGACTTTTGTAAAAATGGTTGGTTGCTACGGTTACAATTGTAATTATTTGATTTATTTGTAAATTAGAATTTTATAAGCCTTACAGGTAATAATAAAATATTCACGAAATAATTGATGTTAAATTATGAAAATGAACTAATTTAACGTATTTTATATCTTAAATGTATCATTGATGGGCACTTGTATCGTGTACCAAGCTACTCTTTTAATCTTGCCCCACTCTGTATATGAGGGGTCTCAGCGGTCACATTTGACTTTTAAACGGTTCGTATTTGTTTTCCCGCGTCGAATTCCGGGTTTTATTATATATTATATATATATATACTATACACAGGGGAGGAAATCCGAATTTAATAGCTGTCTATGCTAACTGGTTGCGTATTTCCAGACGTTATCCGAGTTTGGCCCGAGCGGTATGTAAATACGTAACCCGTTGCGATTTTTTATTCACTAGGAGACTAGATTTTAGGTTTATACATAAGCATACACTGTCTGCAAAACTTTCTCCAAACATTATCAGGTTAGGACCGACCGGGTTAGGTAGGTCAAAGTTTTCCATTTCTTCTCTGCTTGATCGAAATCCGCGGTGGTTTTTCACCATCGAACAGAGTAGGTAGATAGCATACATTTTAGGATTATACTCAGGAAACTGACTTCCTTGAAGTTGTTTTAAGTTTTCGCACCAACTAGCAGGTTGTGTTTCGTGAAACCCCTAAAACTAACTAGATTACGTTTCGAGTTTGGCCAAAACTCGTATAGGAACTGTAAACGCGCTGACCGCGGTTCGCAGGTTCGTATCTTTCGCCGTGTCATCGTGACTGTAATTGTACACGTCGCTCGCGGATTATTGTCATATGATGTACGTGCATATAAGTTATACTCCCCGCACCGACCATTCAGACGTCATAATATTATTTATTATAATGTTATGTGGGCGGTATTTTCGTGCGTTGTCCGATATTGTATACCGTGAGAAGATAAAAAAAAAAATGTAACAAAACCGTAGAAAGTATACGGCGAAGCGCATAAAAATATATCTTCGATTCGATCTGAAAACAGATATTAAACGGGCGGCGGCCTCTATTATATTATGTTAAAGTTGCCACGGTAACGGCGTGTTATATCGACGCGAATTTACTGTAGGTGTTCAATGTGCCAGAAAGAAAAAAAAACACAGATAAGTATATAAGGTATAAGGAAAACGGTACGTCACGTGCATCCGTACCGTAGACCGGTACATCACGTGACTGGTGACTAGTATCACGCGGTGAGTATATTTTTAAAAGCTCTAAGTTATTGTTTTTTTTTTTTTATGATCAACATTTGTGGTGTGCACCACGACATAACAGTGACGGGAAAAAGTTAATCGATCGAAATCTGCGAATACAGATGGTGTCGTGCTGGAGATCGGGCAAACACAATAACTTTTTTTTTTCTATTCATTCTAGAACCTATGCGCCATGATTATTGTGTTTTGTATATATTTTTTTTTTTACAAAATTAAAGGTACCTCGTGCTTCTGTATACAATTATTTTTGAAACGACAAATGCCAATTGTATTGCAAATGTACAAATGTTTACTAATGAAGAGGCGTTTATGGTTTTTAAATGTTTATCATTTCACTGTTATGATATGTGTTTTCATTTTTGTGTCTGTGAACCACGTTTATACCAGAAATCTTACTCCGATTTTTAAAATGCCTACCTAATATTTTTTCTGAAAACAAATTTTGTTTAGCAATGAGACGGTAATTTTTTTTTCCTTGCAGTTTTCTTAATAATTGGGAGACAAAAACATAGAAAAAACGAGAATGCTTGTTATAAGTTTATGACAACGGTTTAATTATTTTCATTTTTTTTTCTGCTTTTTTTCGGTTAAAAATAACCAAAGACTGGTATTTTCACAAAATACTAATATTAGCCTCTTTTAGACGTGCTGATTTTTGGACGAAAACTCCATCCAAACGGTTATTATCGTATAACATACAACATTGACATTTTGTCCGCCTGTTTGTCCATTAAACAAATGTACAGTAATTTTATTCCGATGTTGATGAAGTTTTGTAAAATTGAAATTCAAAATAAGAGGATGACCGCTGTCTACTTTTTATTTCGTAATTTAACATCTAAAGGGCGATTGACACAAAGTTAATTTATATTTTTGATTTATGGATTACCTTGGCGATACGGATGGAAAAAACAGTTATTATTATTTAATTTAGTCTTCTACACAGACAAAATATACCCATTTTAAAAGATAAATAACAGCGGGTAACAGCACTTGATCGTTATAAGGATAAGAATGGAAACGCGGAGAGTTTATTTTATTGAATTATGTTTTTGAAAGGATCGAACCCGGAAAATAACGAGTAATTTAGCTATATTTATAAATACATATAGGATGTTGATGACCTAAAAAATGAACTAAAAATGTCAAAAAAATAAATACTTTAATAGACCAATGACTAAGAATATAAAACATACATAATTGAGGGGGGGGGGAAATGCAATAGTTATCAACGTCATATATGATATTTACCTAACTTACCTATTAACAATAATGGAAACATGACTATGCGCCTGTAACTAAAAGGCTTAGATTATAATACCGTTATAGATCATAGACAGGCGCATTAAACACACAATTTTTAAACACGTGATTGTCAGGTAAAACAGATTCTCAAACGTTGCTTTTATTGATTTTATTGAAAGCTCCTCAGTTTGCCACTCGTTCCGAAATAACTTTTAGCACTCATTTTAGCAACATTTGAAAAAAAGCCTTTTAGATGTTTGTTAACTGTTGCTAAAATACATACATTATTTCTTTTGTCTTTTAGTCCTTTAGTCTTTAGTTTTTTATACTGAATATGTTAACAATTATGTAAAAATTAATAGTGAAAGTTGTCTAATCTGTTATTGGTTATAAGTAAAAATAATATAATAAATACCAATTAATATATATATAATTTTGTGCATATTGTAGACACGGTACGGTTGTGAGTTCGAACGCACAAATCCACGCGGTATTCGCCAAGAATCCGCCGGATGTACTGATTTACTTAAGTTTATCAAATCGGGAGCTGTACAAATACCGCGACGGGCTGATACTGGAGTCCATGGACCACAAACATCTGACGCAAAAGCTTCACATACAACAAAACGATTTTGAGCAACTTAACCACAGACACGTGAAGTGGTACAAGTCTTTGAGGAACACGATCATGAACGAATTCGATCTGAACGACTACGAGAAACATTCGTTAGCGGCGGTGGACGAAACGTTCAAACGGTTCGGCGCCGATCGGACGATAACCGTCGACTGTAGAAGACCGGTCGTGGAGCTGTTTCAGATGATCAAAGCCAAACTTAAGACGATGCCTCTGAAACCTACGTTACTGCCGGAAATCATAAATCGGGGATATGGATCATCCACGTTGTATCAAACCAAATCGTATCGCATTGCAGAGGACGGCGAAATGGAAGAAATGGAAGACGAATCGCTCTATGTAGATGACGAACACGAGGGGGAAACGAACGGAGAATATGAATCGACGGACAACGGAAACGGGACGAGCGCGAAATACCAGCGTGAGGATCGGATACGATTAATTTCTGAATTCGGTCAATTATGTCCGGTGAACTTTTATTACGGTCTGTTCAAAATGGGCACCGACCGTTATTCGGTAAAATTCATGGGGAAATTGTATTTATTCGCCGGTCCCGACGAGATGAAATTGTTCAGTAAATTTCCCAGGCAATTCGTGTTCGTTCCCAGGCTCGGGATGCCTATAAGGGCAATATTCTATGGCCCAGAAGCGATGTCGGGTCCGGCCGCCAAAGCCGTCAGCAATTTCTTCGGCTGCAATTTGATAGACGCGAAGCACATTAGACAGAGACACGAGGAAAAAGACAAACAATCGTTTGCGTCCACGATCTTCAATTCCGTGTTGAACACCGTGCGCGAAATAACCACATTACAAGAAGAAACTAACAAAGAAACTAACGCCATTAGCATCATGAGAAATGCTATCGGTGATTGGATACGGTTAAATTCCGTTAATTTATCGCATGAGGATATTACTGCCGAATTGGATATTCGCAGTTCGGCGGGCGGTGGCGGCGAGGACGAAGTCGACGAAAATTACATGTACCTCCAAACTTATTCCGATCAAAGTAACTAAAGTAACTAAGTATTATGATATAGTGTCACATACGCCAACTGTGTATTGATACTTCTCACATAGATTAAACTGGTCAGAATATTTTTATTATTATTTTTTAAGCCAACTGGACATTTTAGTCCTTGAGAATTTCTATAGAGTGGAATCGGTACAAACCATTTTTATCAACGGTTCGATTTCTAAAATATATAGGTATCGTTTTATTTTGGGTTTTTTTTTCTCTCGTAAAATCTTTCGTTGTATAGTATTTTGATTAAAATTTTCCCCGAAAATGAAACTATTGCCACTATTGTAATACCTAACTTACCGTGACGCCATATACAGAGTGATAATATAACGAAATAAAACACCCGGTATAATGGATTTTTTTTAAAAAAAAATTTAATTTTAATTTAAAAAACCGAGTCCCTTTAAAATGTTACAATACCCTTAAATTTGTCCTCCTTATGTTTTGGGATGAACCCCTAAGACATTCTAAATTTCAAATGACATCTTGTATGAAATTCAATGGTGTTGCAGTTTAAATACTTTTCGGTGTTGTAATTAAGTCTAATTATACAGTAAACTCGTCTCAGTGTCTCAGTAAATAAGACAAAATAGGCTGATAATTAACACAAGAATGCTTTTAACGTGTTTTATGAATATTAAATATTATTACTATGATTACATTATTATCGTTTACATTTTAGATTCTGAGTGGACCGAGGAATGAACTAGTTTTACAATGATGTTCATTTATTTATTTTATTTGTTTCCTGTGAACAACTTTTCTACCAGCAATTTTGCTTTGATTTACATTGATAGCAATTTTCTTAAAAGTCAATCTGACTAGGGAGGCACTTTAGTGGGTAATCTTTCGATATCCTCAATAAATGAGAAAAGCTTCAAAAAAAACGATATAATAGATACAATATAAACAAATATTATTAAAGAAAATATATAATGCATATCTAATTTTTTTACAATAATGTGACATATATATTGTTGACAAAGCAACACTAATAATCGAATTCCGCCCAGAATCGTTTATTGTTTACAATTATTAATCGATGCGTACATTGCATTTTCCCTCTACCTACCCAACTTCTCAACTATATCAGTGGCACATCTAAATGCGAAGTATGTCTGTATATTTTTTCCACTACTTTTGTGCACTTTTTAAGCGGCTCGATCTGAACGAAATTAACTTAAACTCAGAAATAGAAGGTTTTTATAGATATATTGAAGTGATGCAAGGGTTCAATTTCAATATGAATTTTTCTATGTTGTAGCGGGAGAGGATGATTTTTAGCTCTGATCTTCCATGTAGGACCCCCCCTAAAATAAAATCGAGGAGATTAAATGTTGTTTATTAGGTATTTTATTAATATTAAGAGTGTACCCTTCAGAGTTATTGACTTGTAATTTCTTCGCCTACTATTTTTATGCTCAAATTTTCACCTTTTTCTCTGAAAGTAGTAAGTTGATGGGGGAAATTTGACTCTATATTGACCTCAATAGTGACGAAGCTCATAGGAAAGTAGCATATTTTTCGAAAAAAATTTTGTTCAGCGTGTACGAAAGTGGTTTTTTAATTTAGCAATGCAGTCTTCATAAATTATTATAATTAGGGAATAACAAAGGAAAGCTTACGGCATTATCAGTTTAGTTTTTTCGATTTCGATATTTGTTGTAGTTCAGGTAAAAATAAGCATGTAAATCTGACATTTATATTATTCTTTTCTTGAAGTGCTAATATTTTCAAATCATTTTTGAGTTATTTATATTTTTTTTTTGGTTTAATATTATGTGGTTATAATCATTTGAGTAAACAGACATTTTTTAAATTTAAGATGAATTTCATTATATGTGCTTAATGATAAAAAAGAAAAGAAAAAAAGTTTAGCCTAATTTGGTAAGCGTGTTTTAAAATCGAATTTTGACGAAAATTGGACAAATTACAACATTTTAAAATATGTATAATCGAACTTCGCTCATGATCGGTTTCGTTAGCAATAGTTTACATTGCCTACAGATGTAAATTAAATAATTATTTTAAACCTTCTCAACTTTTCTCCTAAAACAGAGCTACTACTCATTTTCAGTATCAGTTTTTTTTTTTTTTTTTTTTAACATGTTTCTTAAAAAATATTTACAGATTACTAATATTAATGATCAGTTGAAATGCCCTAAACAATTTAAATTGATTATATAATAAAAATTATTATAATACGTAACTGAATATAAAAAATTATTTCTAGATACTAAAGATTTAGCCAAAAATGAGCAATTGAAAAAACTCCGAAACCGTTTAGAATCGTATTTCATAGATTTTGTGGACAATTTAGACGAGTGTATTCGGGCTTACAACGATCCGATGGTTTTGATAAAATATTTAAGATTGCGTTTTTTAAGAGAAAACAAAATCGCTCAAACAGACTTCATCGACGTTATTGTTGACGAAGTGCAGGCGAGAAATAAGCAATATAAAAATTGGATCATAGCGAACGCGCCTCTGGATTTTCAATTAGTGAAAAAGTTAATCGATTCGGACTTAAATCCAATCCAAATGGTCTTTTTTCATGACGCCGATCCGGCGCACAAGATATTATTGAACGACGAAACGTTGACCAGAAATTGGTACAAAACGATAAGGAAAACTTTCGAAAACGTAAAAAACGGAACGAGGCACGGGACGCTCACAGAACGAGAAACATATCCCGAATTTATCAGCGGAATGAAAAATAGTATCGATAACGATGCTCAATATGACGTTTACGACGATTTGCCCGAAGAGGAACTCGAAGATTACGAAAGCCGTTTGGATATTATTATCGACAATAATACACATTTAAGTCACAATTACATAATGGAAATTATACTTCCGGAAATAGTCAAACGGTTAAATCAATACACGGAAGATCTTTTCCAGCAATGGACCGTCTTGAAACAACAATCCCTTAAAATAATGGACCAGTATGTGGATTTCAACGTTATAGAATGCAAACCCGATCCATCGACGAATATACTTAGCGTTTTAATCGAGGATACTTTATACTACATAAAAAAGTAAGTTTCTTTCGATTTCAGATGGGTCACTTTAAAATTCAGATATCCGTCAAGTAATTTCACCTCATTTTGGACCACCACAAGGGTCCCACTCCCAAACATTATAATACTTTCACATGGAAATAAGATCTCTACATTTTACCTGTTATCCACTCTCCACTAGTTTCATAATAATTATGACTTTTAAAGCATCTAGAATCTTGGTAGTAGTATACTATTTTATGTTAATTTATACGCAGGTTTTTATCAGAGAGGGTGTATTCCAAGTTTTCCGACGACAATAATGTGCCCACGGTAAGCATACACAACGGCAACACTTCCGTTTATTGTCCCGTCAGTTTTAAAAACGGTAAACTATTGGTAGGATCCAAGCAGTACGCGGCGGTCTATCAAAATAGATATTATTACATGAGCTCTTCGAAACACTTCAAAGCGTTCATTTCCAATCCAGTCAAATATGCATTGTTCACCAGCAATCCGAAATCGTACCCAAAACCTAAAATATCTTTATTGTCTTCGTTCGGCCTTGATGCAACGGATTTCAACAAAAAGCTATTGGATACTTTCGACGATTTTACTCTGGTGGATTCGTATAAGATTTTCAAACAAAACGTTTTACCAAAAAACACTCCGATGTTGGGAAAAATGCACGAGGAACCGACACTCAAAAAAATAATGGACGAACATTTCGTAACGGTAAATCATAATCAAAAATATATTAACAATTTGAGAAAATACGTGAACAGAGAAAGCGCTTACTTGTCCGACGAAAATTGGATGAAATTGAATTCGGTATTTTGCCAAGCCGACGGAAGCGTGTTCTATCAAAATTATCCACGGAACTTGGTCGAACTGAAGTATTTAAAACACAACGGAATCAATCCCGACGTAATAGTTGAAGTGGTGGCTGCCGACGAAGAAAAAAAACAAAATGACGCGAAACACGCGGCTATTAAAAACTGGTTGACTTATCAATACGCTCTGATCGAAAATGTCATTAAGCACGACGACGCGACCAGGCGGATTACCGCGAGTAGACGATCCGCACTGTTCAAGAGCAAACTGGCAGAATTGGTCAACCGGAAAATACACGACAGAATAAAATCGCGTTTACATGTAATCATAGACATGATCGTCGTAGAAACAGAGTACGGGCCTGATAATGCAATGATCGAGCAAAGTTGCCAAAACCAACAGCCGTTATTGTCCGGCGTGGATTCGACGGTGTCCACCTTGTCGAAATTACGGTCCCGATATTCCGAAATGACATTAAAACATAAAAAAATCGTCATAGATTACGGACTGGCCGTCGAGGATTTCGTGGGCATGGACGATTTCGAGACATTGGAAAAAATCGACAAGGCCGTAGATGACGAAATTCCGGAGCCCGAGCTTCTGATTACGAAATGTTTTTCGGATAAATTAAAATTTCCGTCTGACGCTATGATAGCGGCCCAATTGAACACCGAAAAAACTGTTTTGGATGGTATGCGAAAGTTTGCCCGGTCATCCGGTATACCATGGATTACCACAGTGCTGTCCGCGGACGATCAGGATTCCCGTTCGGCAACCCTTTGCAATGACATCGCTAGAGCGTTGCCGAGCGTCGATCACTGTGACAGTCTTTTCGAGACGACGTTTAAGGTAAACTTGGACGAGGCTGAGAGAATGCTACGTTTCGGTGAAGTGTACCTGAGCAAGTACGGCCACTGGTGTCCTGTCCACATGTGGAACGAAAATCCCGAAACGGCGGTCCAGCGGTTCTACGCGGACAGCGTGGAAGGGCGTGCGTTCGCTGTTGTACACCGCAAGTACGTATACTTCCTGAGTGGCCCCGAGCACCGGGACGAGTTCGCCCAGCGGCCTTTGCATTACGCGTACCGGTCATTCGCTGCACCGGCCAACATAGCACTGAGGTTAGCAGTGGTCGGGCCGCCGGTCTCCGGAAAATCTCGGACAGTCCGAGTGCTGTGTGACCGGTATGGCCTCGAACTGGTCCGCATCGAACAAGCCGTCGAATCGTACCTGAATGCTAACGGCTGGACCGACGACGCGCAGTCAGCGGTGCAAAGGCTGAACCGTGGCTGCGCGCTGATGGACGTCACGTTAGTAGAGGCGGTGAAAATGGCAGTGCAAACGACCCGAGCGGCCGTGTGCGGTTATGTACTGGACGGGTTCCCAATCACCGAAAATCAGTTCAAGCTGTTGGACGATTCAGGCATCATACTACACAGGGTGTTTGTGATCCAAAACGACACTCTGTTCGTCGGCGAAGGTCGCGATGATGGCCATATGCCTTACGCTCTGCTTAACGACGCTCTGTTCGTCGGCGAAGGTCGCGATGATGTTCATATGCCTTACGCTCTGTTGCTGCATAGGCTGCACGCCTGGAACGTTGCGTTCGTGGGTCTGGAATGGATATCGGACAGGTACGGCAACGCGACCGCAATTGTGGCGGGACCGGAAGACGACAACGACGATGACGGTTGGATGACGGTGGTGGACGAAGCGGTGCGGGCGTTCCTCGGGTCGGCCCGTGAATACGACAAGGCGATGCGCGAAGGTCGGCCCGTCCGTCTGGCTGGTCTCGCGGTAACGGTCCACGAACGCCAGGCCATGATGAGCACTTTTCTGAACCAGTGTCCGGTGTGTCGGGTGGACGAAAATTGTCTGAACAACGGGCCGGATAACGACCCGACGCGGAATTTGGTTCAGCATCTGTCCTTCGTCTATCGCGTGTGCCCGGTACACTGGGATGCATTCGCCGCGAACCCGGACCGGTACGCAAACCTGGCACCCCGGGAGCCCGAAAAGGAGCCGGTGCACGTGACCGACGAGGAACTATACGTGAACCCATACGTGCACCGCGATAACGTCTCGGTGTACTGCGCGGTGTGCGCACTCCGCCGTCTCTGGGACCCGGTGTACAGCCGTGGCGACAGCGAGCACTTGGTCAAGTACGGGAAACGCGTGTACGCGCTGTGCTCGGCCGAATGTATGGGCGAGTTCATGCGTCAGCCGTTCGCGTACGCAGAGTACGTGATGTGCGTCCGGGGGCCGGCCGGCGACGAGCCACTGTACGACGTCGACCGCTGCGGCCACCTGGACGTGGACAATTTACCGGTCCTGGGTTATTTGGAGCAAACGATCGCGGGGCACGTCAGCGACGCTCTGACCCTATTGTCCGCAATGAAGCCCGTGTATCCGGGGCTGACGGCCGAGGCCACGGCCATGGTGTGCTTGGGCCTGTACGTGGGTATGCACGGGACTGACGACACCGTGAACGCGCATTACCGCGACACCTTTGCACGGTTCGTCGACACGTGTCACAGATTCAAAACCGAAGTGTTCAAGTTAAAACTGGTGATGTGAATTGGTCACTTTTTTCGTCGACACCGACGAAGAGACGTAGCAACGGACGTTATTTGTGTAGTCAGCAGCGTTTAACGTTTCTTATAAATACATTTTTCGAATCGAAATCGAATGTTAATCGATGCGACCAGTAAATTGCGGGGGCGGGCATCATGTAGGCGAAATAGACACTCGACATCGTATTTCTGTTTTATTATTTACGGCCGACGGCAGTTTTACAAAGAAGCAAGTGCCTATACGGTGAAATTCACAACACTATACGATGGTAAAAAATTACCATGTGGTCCGAATCTAAAATTTTACTTGCGCGGTTTTTCGCTTTTACTCTAAGCACTCTAACCGCGTGAGCTATGGATTTATTAGACGCATTGCTCTTTTTATAGGTTCGGTACACCGACAGTTTATTAGTTTTTTTCTACGGTTGCCGATCACGAACGCGCGTCTGTTCCGGCACCCAGTCCTTGGTACATGAATCGTACCTAGCATTGCATTTTGCCGGTTGTGCAGGCGCCTCAGTTGATTAGTAGAAAAATGTAAACACTAATACAAAAAAACAAAAAAAAAAACCCACCCTCGTGAAACTAAATGCGATGCAAATAAAAAAAATGTCACTCGTTCCCCCGGCACCGTTCAAGGGGTCTGTATGAGTGTTCTCAACTAAATACAAAAAAAAAAAAAAACCACTCTGTAACAACGCGGATGAAATTCCTATTAAAATTCCAATACGCCTGCAAGAGAACTCAGATTCCCGCGTTAGTGCTCATTTGGTCCGGGACGAACCGCTAGAAACGTCCAAAAGTAGCGAAAAAATATGTACGTGCATTACAACACGGTGCGCAACAATAGTCGTTATTTTTAGGGACAAAATCGACACAATGCTAATCAACATGACTAATATTGTGTATTATACAGGCGGCGTTAAAAGTTTAAATCCCCAAAATGTCCATAAATTGAGAGAAATCATTTCCCAAAAGGCAGCTCCCCCGTCTCGAAAACGTGTATTACCTTCAAACGCGGTCGGGAATAATAATGCGCCTTTACCGCTTTAAATTAGTAAATAATTTTCCACGCGATTAATAGAATGGTGTACGATAAAAAAAAAAAAAAAAACTTTTATGATCGTTGATTTTTAATATTCACGACGCGTCGAAAAATAAACGCGCGCGAGTCCTTAACGAAATCAATGAGACGTCGGAAGGTTTAAGGCACTTTTGCGTTTTCGAGCACGTAATTTTTTTTTTTTTCCACTTCAGATCTCCGGACGCGAATTTTTAATAATATATTAATATTATGACACGGACCGGTGGTGCGGTGGTGGCAGAGGTATTACGATTCCGGTGGTCTCTCCGATAATACGGATACGTGAATAGCATTCGAATAGAGGAAACTAGGATACCTTTACAATATGTTCGCGTTGATCGGAAACGTATTCGCGCGAATAATTACGAGAACAAAAAAAAAGAACCCAATCGAAATTCCGTGATTTAAAAATGATTCTGTATAGTAGGCTCGCGTGTACATAAATAACCTTAATTTAATAATATTACATTCTGAATGCAGCGAAGAAGTTATTACAGTTTTATTAAAAACGTGTCCTGCCCGCCGCCCTCAAAAAAAAAAAAAAAAACATTTTGGTAAAAATGATTTGATGTGCAGTCTAACACAAAAAAATGAAGCATTTTTCAGAGACGGTATTTGAATTTTAAATTTTCAACATTTCACTCCAGGTTCTTTACTAGTTTTTTTTTTTTTTTAGATGATATTTTTTTGATTACAAATCGTTCGCGTCGATCTTGAAATATGCTGATTTTCCACTCGGCGGTAATCTATTTTTAAAAAAATTTTCAGATTTCCAACAGTTGTTTCCATTAAAATTAAAAGTCCGACAACAAATGTCAATATATCGGATTTATTTTGATTGATTTTGAATTTCCTTGGCTACAAGGGGGAAAACACGACTAATACTACTCTGTTCAAAATCGTTTATTGATAGCAATGATTTGTCGTCGCTTTCAGTATGTAAACTAAATCATCCTACATCTTATACTTTTGAAAAGTCCCACCTATTACAGCGACCTACCCATGATAGGAAGTACGTTCACTTTTTTAAATTAGCATTTTAAGGTAATGTGTAACATTTTCAAATTGTAAATAGTAACAAAAGGATCCAAAGGGGGAATTGGATGAATGCCCTGGAGTTCATAGAAAATTTAAATATAAGTAAATAGGTGTTTAATAATTGTGGTCATTAAATATAAAAGTGATTGTAAATAAAATGTGCAGTTTGAAATGCGTGTATAATTTTTTTTAATCAATATTATGAGAGGGTTTAGTTAAGCACCTTCAATCAGAACAGGTATGCTGTTTGTTGTGTTTTTTAATCGAACAAAAAATAAAAAAAAGTAAAATTACTGAAATTTGATAACTTGCACCGAAACGGTAACAACGCAGACAGAGACGGACGATTTTTAACAAAAACCGGACGTAGAAATAATAACTATATATTATAACGATGGCATTTTTCTCCGCGGGGGACAAACGACAGCAATTAATATTGTACATGGCGATTTTACGTCGTTAAAGTACCTAACGCACTAACGACGAATTTTAAACGACACGTGACAAATGGTTTTTTGAGCCGGGAGAAACGAGACGTATTTTCGCAACTAATTCCGTCATACTCGTAATAATCAGTTTTGGGAAAGATAACCGATATCTTTTTCTTCAGACAAAAGATCATTTTCGGTAATTTAGATGACTGCATAGTAATAATAATAACGATAATGACAATATATTGAGAAAATAAATAAAATTAATATTATAAGAAGGTTGGGTAAAATATTCAGATTAAAAGATTTTACAGTAAGTCTGTGAATAATATATTATAACATTATAGCGTGAAACAAACGCAAAGGCTTTAAAAATTCGTATTAGAGATAAAAGAAAAACGATAATACAACCTTGTAGACGACAACGTTTCGAAGACAAAAATACAAAGCCTGTTGTAGGCGAGAAATTAGGAAGGTAGGATGCATAAAGTAATGTTTACATAATTTATAACTGTTCTTCGTGTACAGATCTTGTTAACGAAAAACGACTCTTAGCGAAATTCGGTTAATCACATTTTGTTTTAATGTTTTATAATTTGAATTTTAAACGTTTAAAAAAATAAGTTTCTAAATGACACTCCACTTTTTTTTTCCAAATTAAACTTACCAACGAACCTCGTGTTAAATTTTCAAGCAATTTTGTTTGTTCGAACAATTTTACCCTCATAATATTTACTATCAAATAAAAAATATTTAAAAAAACTCGAAAATGCCAAATGACTATGAATAACTCAAAAATCGTCAGAATGGACGCGCCTAGAAAAGGCTAATATAAGTATTCTATGAAAATTGCATATTTCTACGAATATTTTTTAACCGAGTACAACTAAACAAAATAACAAAATTGAAAATAATGAAACTTTTGCCGTCGTAAATTTGTCCGTTTTTCCCGTACGGTTTTTTCACAAATGTCCCCGATGAAAACCGCTTGGGAATTTATCGACGAATCAACGAAATAACCGCGTTCATTTTCCGATTGGAGCACAAGTTGTTTAGGTAGAAAAAAGAAAAAAAACTAAAAATCACCACTCTTGTGGAGTCATTGTAGGTAGTACGCTCCTTTCCGCGCTCAGAATCTAACGCGGGCCGAAATGCGACCTACGCGCGCACAGCTCGCCTTCACTCGGAATCCAAAAAAAAAAAAAAATTAAAAAAAAATGAGAGCGTCACGCCATCGACGAACCGACGAGACCGCGTTGTTCAAGCCGCCCCGAGGTGCGAACAACCGCACCACCTCTCCCGCCCCCCGCCCGCGTATTATCGCGTCTCTTACCTCTTGCAAGACGCCTCGGCAGCCGCCGCCGCCGCCGCCGCTGCCGCCGCCGCCGCTGTCACGGAGGGGAACAAATACGCGTTGGACGCGGATTCGTACGGAGGTTCTAGGTCTTCGCATTCCACCACCCTGATCACCGGCAACATTTGTACGGTCGCTGCAAAAAAAAAAAAACCCAACGGTAACGAAAACGCGTCGCGCGGTATTTTCTCCCGCGGCACCGCGGCTTGTGTATCGTGGGCGTGTCACGCAACGTGTTATCATGCACGGGTACGTGCGCTGTGGCACGTTCGACGGCCGTTTTCGTTTTCGTTTTTTTTTTTTTTCCCCGGGCTGGAAACTTACGCGCGGAAAAGCGTAAAAGCGCCTGGCCACACCACGTGTCGTACAGAACGCGCCTGCAGTACGTACACGCTCGCGACGCACGCAGACCGCACGCGAGTCTCGGCGAACAATGGCCCGGCGAACGGAGACCGCGCGGCGAACGTACGATGAGTACGGTGAACGGGAAGAAAAAAAAAAAAATGAAAAGAAAACGTTAAATACAACTGAAAAAAACACACACGCGCGCGCGCGCTCACGCAGCACACAAGCGTGATAAAATAACAAACGCACATGCCATCGTCCTAATCTCGAATGCGCCGCGTCAACCACGCCGGCCCGGCCGTTCCGTGTGTGTGATTAGAAAGCGTCGCGAACACGATACGTCATATTATTATTATTATTATTATTATTATTATCATTATCATTATCGCTGTTATTGTTATTGTTGTTCGGTACGGCGGTCCCGCGGTCGTGGCGAACGGACGGGCGCGCGCCGCAACGTGGTTCGTATTTCATTATCAGTGGACGCGGCGCGCGGCGCGACCGCGGTCGCCGTTGTACCCGTTGCCGCGCGCTAACGGCTGCCGATAAAGACGTTGTTGCAGTACACCGACAAGGTGTACGGGGTGTTCCGGATTTCACGTCACCGCGGTCGTAGTTCTCGCGTGAAATCTCGAAAAAAAAAAAAATTTAAATACTCGTATTAAGAAACTTTCCGAAATTCACAGTCTACGTTGAAAAATGTGTAAACGGACAGAGTATTTTGTTTGCACGCGTTTTGGCGTTGCAACTGCGCGTTAATTGTGTTTTTGAAACTGAGGGATCGAGTAACGGAGTCCCCGTTATTCAACCCCGCGAGCTGTGCCGCCCACAAATAATGTTCCGCCACTCTCTCCGACCTACCTAAACTTAAAAGTTAAATATCTCGTCAACGGGTTCGCAGGAAATCGAAATCAAAATGTATTTATGTACTACAGTATTCAGTCTATTTATGAACATTTTTAATATGAAAATCAAAAGCAGGCAATCGATTCGCCCTCGAAAAATACAAGGGCGACAAAAAATTAATAATAATGTAACATTTTAGGAGTGCTTGTTTCGCAAGTTGTTAAAAAAAAAATTACGAAAAAAGTCAATACTTTCGAATGTGATAACGTAGATACATAAACGTATTTATCATCTATCTCGTATGTTTAAAATATAGGTACCTCTTAAAAATAAAATAATAATCCTATTTTTATCCTCAAAATCCTCGTTTAATACATTTCTTCTTGATAATATCAAGTAATCGATTCATTTACATTTTACTATTTATATGAATCACACGCAACGATGATTCATAATCTATTGTGATTACCGAATTCCGGAGCGACTAACATTTGAAACTTTGATAACGGAGAAATTCACCGTGTCCGTTTATCGAAACGGCATACAACCTGTCCACGTCGCCACTTCCGACCCAATATCGCACTGATTTCCGAGGTCTTTGTATTTTTCATCTTTGAAAAAATACTCCGGAAAACTTCGGTGTGTCAGGCGAACACTGAGTATCTACCTACATAGTTATAGCCACGTGTATAGGTATAAATAAAACCGTACGTGGTATTGCTTTTTAACTTTGCTACAACGTTCCGCAGTTGCAATATAAGCGCGTAGGAGTTCGAATTTAGTTTATTTCGTGTTTTTATTTTACGCTGTCCGCCGACTCTGCAGAACAAATCACTCGACTGGCGCTCGACGATAATAAATATTATTAGGTACGATACTTTACTCCTCGACTTTTACAATAATAATAATTTACCGATCGCCTAATGTGCAGCGCAGACTGTCACACGGGAATGCATTCCAACCAGTTGGAAACAACGGCGGGAATTATTCTTATGGCTCTAATAATTCAGAACTCGAAACCTCGGAAAATAATAATTGCCAGAAATATCATGTTTTTGGAAATAAATCCTCTTGAAAACTGTAAATTAAAATATAATACAAATAATTTTGAATGAAAAATATAGTGTTGGAACGCTAATTCGGAAAAATATTCTAACTGAAAGTCAATTTTTTATTGGAAAACGTAATAACCGCGGCTGCAGTAGATCACGTAGACATTGGACATTTACATTTTATAGTTGCGACTTTCCTAGAATACACAATATATACTTTTTGCTGCAATCCTATTAGAGGATTCTATGGCATTTTGCCGTAATTACATTTTCCAAAAAATTAACGTTCCGACATTTTATCTGTCAGTAAAATCATATTGCATTACAATTTATATTCAAACATGTTGTACTTCCGTCTAGTTATTTTCAAGGCTGTTAGAATTCCCATATTTTATTTGCCATTCGTTAAGATTATTTTCAGTTACATCCCATCAAACCGAAGCGTTTAGTGCGAAATCATAATATTATATGATAACCGACAATAATACTTTTTAAATACGATTGGTTCCAAACGGACACAAATATACGTACAAAATGTTATGTAAAGTAACTTTAAAGCTTGTATAATATTCTAGATTTTAAATACTTAGATATTTATTTTATTTTTAAAAACCTTATTTGAACAACTTCTATTTAACAATAGTTAAATATTAGTTTTTAAGTGGGTACTCGTATTTTAATACAATATGAGCAACTAAAAAAAAAAAAATACTGATACTGGGGATGGAAGCGGCCGCTGTTGTAGGTAAAAAGTTGGGAAGGTAGGATACATAAGGTTATTTCATTTATATCTGTAAGCAACAATAAACCATTGCTTGACGAAAGACGATTCCTAACGTAGTTCGGTAATACATATTTGAAATGCCGTATTTTTTTTTTGTGATTTTTGTTTAAATTTGATTTCAAAACGTTTATAAAAAAAAATTCGTCCGATAATTTTGGAAATTTTACGATGTCTAGGTTAATCCAATAAAAGTATTATTACCAAGTTTCAAGTCTCTACGTGTATTGAATTGCAGCAAAAAACTCCCAAAAATTTAAATTCCTTAAAAGCTCAAAAGTGTCTCAAAAGTTTTGGCAATGATACCGTAAGAAAGTAAATCAAAAATACATTAAAAAAAAGGTTGTGATTTTTCGATTAAATCAATTTTTCAGGTAAAAACCGTCGACTGTATTTTAATAAAATAGTGAAATTGTGAAATTGTACGTTTTCTTACGTTTTTTCCCACTTAAATGTGTTTATTTAAAAAATGGCGTCGAAAATCAAAAAAAAAAAAACGACCCGTTTTAAGTACAATTTCAACAGCTTGAACTTTTAGAAAAGACGCTACACGTAAATCGGAGCAAGTTTACTAGGAAAAAACGTGTCCACAGATTAGAAGAAGAAAAAATAGGAAAGAAAAAAATAAATAAAATAAACAGCATTGTAAAACCAATAGCTCACTCGCTATTATTACCGATAACCTATTATTACCGCTATTATTACCGCCAATTATTACCGATAACGGACTGAGAAGAATAGCATTGCGTAGGCACTAATCGCCTAAATCAGATTTATTTGCGGTCGCTTTCAGCACAATATGATTATTTTTCATGAAATTCGGTCTCGACAAATTATAGCCGTCCCCGCGCACGCGATGATCGTATTATTATCGCGTATATTGTTGAACCTATCGTCGTCCTGCACGATACCTACGTACGCGGATCGTTGAATTAAAAATAGAACACGATGCACTTCACCTCGGCGGAGGCGGCGGCGATTACGTCAGAGGTTAATTATTTTTAAGAGATATTTCGGCAACGTAATTCTCTTCGACGACGATTTTTGTGCGTCACGGTCATTGTCTCTGTCTTCTATAATATGTTTTAATACAGTTATTGTCTAAAAATATCAAACGGTCCTCTAATAATAATGTTCTCGTATCGAGCGTATTGCAGTCGCCTAACCTAACTCGGATGCGCCGTCTCTGTCATACGAAAGCACGAAATGGCAAATTGTGCTATCATTTTTAATATTATAAAGAATTATCAAACTTAAAGATAGGATGTGCAACGTCGGTGCCATGTTTTCGGTATTTTACTTTCCAAACGAGATAATATATGAGTACCTACCTATGTGGAAATAATGCTTGTATCTCGCGTATCTAATTTATTTCTCCTTTTATGCGATAAATCCATTTATATCTGATTGATATACAACTTATACGGTTCTATGAAATGATTAACGAAAAAAAAAAAATTCAAATTTACTTTAAATTCTCTGAGAAAATCGCTGGATCGTGATTAAAGAATCACCCTGTAGTACGATTTTAACATATTATTTACGTAAAGGTATCCGCCGCAGGTTCCCAATTAGTGTCACAAAACAAAATATTTATTTTTTTTACTCGCTTGCAAATGCACGGCTTACACGACGTATAATAATATGTAAATTCGATACAATATAAGAATAGTATAATACATAAAATATTATACGGACGTCGATTTAAAAAAAAAAAAATACACGCAGACTCGCTAGAATCCGTAGGTTTTAGAAATATTATTGTAAAAACATAAATCGAAAAAAATCAATCTCATACATAAAAATATTATGACGTAAAATACAATGTACAGGCGACTTTTGCAAAAAAAAAAAATTAATTTAACTACCCGGGTATTCATTGTAAAGTCATCAAATAAACTAAAACGGTTTAATTTTGTACTACTCGAACCGTATAGTCATGATTAAAAAAAATCAAATTTACATCGCATAAAGAATAGAACATCCTCTGGGTATCGTTTTTTTTGTCAAATTCTCTACAAACGAATGAAGACTATATTGTACTGCATTCTATTTATTTTTTCCCCGTTATTTTCGGATACTTTCAGTGACTCCTTCTCGATAAAATTAACTCAAATAATCGGGAATTAGAATCGTTTTAAAGTAAAAATTGAATTGCTTTGGTTTTTTGCTGTCAGCAGGTACTAACATATGCAGGGGAGCCCACGAGGCTACCGCTATCTCTCTCGGTTTTATAGGTGAATCAAAGTGATGAAAGTTGAATTGAATATTAATTCAATCATGTTATTGCGGGAGGCGGGCATTTTATTGGCATTAACACCTATACACATCCTCCAAATGAAGCTACGAGATGGCATTTTGTGTATTTGAACCTTATAATATGTGCCTCTTGAAGGTTTCAACCGTCAACCTCTATCCCTATTATTTATATGCTCTACACTCTATTTTTATTATTTCACCATTTTATTTGGAAGTCGTAGGTGTACTATATTGTATTATGCATTGAAGTATTCGATTATTTAATGTTTTGCGAAGCATGTTTCCATAATACAAAACAGGCAAGGAGGAATTTGATTCTAGTGATGGAGCTCTGTAGTTGCTCACGGGTGTTTATTTTTATGTGCGAATTCGGTTTTTTAATTAATACATGCGAAACGCAGTCTCAGTGCTTTTTACAAATAATTTTATGGCCGTTCCGCGCATCTCCTCTTATAGGTCCCCTCAGGTTTTTATTTTGAATTTCTTATTGTTCCAAAAAACGCTGTTTCTTTTTAATGCATTATACGGTTTATTTCGATCCTTTATGATACATAGTATTTTTTGTTTAACGCTTATTGAATTAAACATGGCATTTTTAATATTTCAATAATAACATGACCAAAAAAAAAAAAAAACAAAAGCACGAGGGCTGTTGCTTTTTTCTAATTTATTTAAGTCCATGGTTTTTTTTTTATTTAATAAAAAAAAGTAGTGTAAGAGTGCTACACAGTAACGTATTTCGACGGTACAAAAACGGTAAAATTCTATACACTGAACATGACCGGATAAACTTTATAACTATAAACTTAAACTTAAAACCCAATTACACGCTAAAATAATAAGGTAATTTCGAGTAATAAAATAACGTTTTCACATTGTATAGTAAAAGAATAATAGCACTTATCTACTAAATAATATTAGTTATCAAAATTCGGAATTTTTGGCCATATTATTTGCGGACAGAATTCTTCGATTTGATTATTATTTTAATTCAAACATGTATTAGGTAAATATGAAGAACTAATAGCAAATGGTAGAAAAAGTAGCATAGTACTGTACGCATTTGGATCGTGAGCATGAATAAAGTTAGACAAAAAAACACTAATAATATTGTTTGAGTGAAAGTTCTCACATGAAATATATGGATCCAGAAGATACGAGAAACGAAATACATAACGAATGCTGAGCTGAGGGCAATGATGACTCAGATATAGTGGGAGTTATAAAAAGCCGTATGATAAGTTGTATGGACCGGGCACGTTTGGCGGGCAGAGGGTTAACGTAATACGTGAGATCAATGAAAAATATGGAAAGAAACCATACAAAACATATCGAGAAAACGGTAAAGTGACCACCGAGTCGTGGAAGACCTCGAGCTCCTAAGAATACGGAATGCACAATTTCTAGCCATAGACAGGGATGCATATGGGAGGAGGTAGCGGTGTAGTGAAGCGGCGATGGGCTTACCTACGGTCTGGATGAAGCCGCAAAACCGTATGAAAAAAAATCTAACCTTTTACATTAAAAGAATCGCTGTAAATTATACAGACAATAGAATTTAGTATAATATGTTTTATAATATTATGTACGAGTCGAAAATAATATAATAAGTTAAAACGAGAGAGAGGTTAGTTTCGATTATTAGACATTTGCCAGTTGTCACACACCATGTATATATATATATAGCCAGTATTGTTTTTTAATTACGACGCGTATTTGCGTTTGCATTTTGACGAGAACCGAATGTGTTTATGATTATTATTGTCGTTACCCGGATCCAGTACGAAATGTCAAAATTGTACGTGCACGTATATCATGATAAATAGACGGTATGCCTCAAATAATTATACAATATTATGCGATATCGTAATATTATGCTTTATTCCTCCGTTACATTATGTACAGAGTGATTCAATATAATTTCGCAAATACAGTAACATATAACTAAAAATAAAATAAAGAAATATAACTATTATTATTTTAAATTTGAGATTTAGACAATTTACAATTTCAGAAAAAAAAAAATGATGAAAAGTTAATAACGTTTATTTTAAATTTGTAACACGTAAAGTTAATTTCAATTTCTTTTAATTTTAACACAATGTTAAATTTATAATTTGTACTTACTATTTTAATAAGTAGGTTTAAGTAAAAATATTATTATTTTTTTTTTTTTTTTGTTAACAACTTTTCTATTTAAAATCTTTCTCCAATCGAGGGGTTTTCTATAGAATTTTGGATAAACACAGTTTATGTATTTTTTTTACTCAAGAATATTTTAAATGCCGTAATTTTTACGCTTTTCGTTCAAATTAAAATGCTTTTATAACAAAAAACTACTAAGTATATTAAGTTTAATTTTTTGTTCCGCTAAATACAATCTCACAGCATGATGAACCTAGTATGAAATTTTCAAACATTTCGGCTGCGCCAAAACAATTTTATCCACATAAAATCAATTAAGAACCAAAAAAAAAATAATTCAAAATTTTAAATGGCTAATGAAAGCTCAAATATTTTACTATGTCTAGTAAAAATTTATCTGAGCATTCTAAACAAATGTCAGAACTTTATGATTATTTTTAACCGAATTACAGCGAAAAACCAAAATTAATTTAACCTTGAATCAATAATAGTAGTTAAGTTTTCAAATTAACTTTAATTAAACTCGGTAATTAGTAAAACAATAAACATTTAACGTGTGCCAACTCGATGCATTTTATTCAATTAACTCGACTTGAAATTGTTTGTTAACTTGTCCAGCCTTGAAAATATTATATGTTTGCATGTTAGTTATTATTGCATACGGAATTCTCTCAACCTATAGCTTATATAATGTAATATTCTGTTTTTTCAAATACGCGTTCAAAGTTAGGCCGTTTTATTTCGGACGTAATACAGTACCCGAAAACGGACTACTGCGACGCAAGTACGTCACTACTGGTCGACTGATTAATCATCATTATAAATAGTAATGCCCTTTGAGTTGACTTTTGCACAGACGGCAGCGCAGTGAATATAATACGTATGTACAAAAACAAATTCGATATTACCGGTCCGTGTCCGTTGTGTTCGTAGTTTAAACGTTTGTTATGCGTATTTTAGGGTGACGCAACGTACAGTGCCGTATACGTATACCGTTTACCGAGAGATACTGGACAAAATCATACTTTTAAAAATACTAAACATTGTTCAATATATTTAAACAATATTAAATATGATTGTCGTCAAAAATCAATAAACTACAAACGCGTTAAATGTGGCCGACCGGTCGCAACATTACGGTTTAATATTTTCAACAGTTCTCATCGAATCGATTTTCCAACTTACACAATACAAGTACGAATAATAAGTGCATTTAAGTCGGTACACACAAGTACGAAAATTCACAAAACGCAAAAAGTTAGGATAGGTACATGGAGTTATTTTATTTACATATGTATGTATTACTAATGCAAAACGATTCTAGGCGAAGTTTGATTAATCGTGTTTTGATATGCCTCGATTTTTACGATTCCCGTCAAACTTTTAACTTAAAATGTTTATAAAAAAAATAATACTTTATTGCACTTGGTTTTTTTTTTCCCACTAAGTCAAACTTACGATGAACCTCGTGTAAAATATTCAAGTATTTCTGCTCGGTCTAAACAATTTTATCCAAATAAAACTTTATAAAATCTAAAACCTATAGGTAAATAGCTTAAAAATAGTAAAAATTTTTTGGAAATTTTATTACGTCTAAAAAAAGTTTAAGTATTCTTTACCCGTTTCAAGTTTCTATGTTTATTTTCAAGCGAATTACAACAACAAAAAAAGGAAATCATAAATGACAATAATAATAACACTGTTGTTGCTGTATATTTTCCCATTTTTTTCTCCGAATTTTTCGCCGATTATTCCAAATTATTCAGAAAACTACAAGGCAAATCAAAAAAAAAGACTTTCCAAATGCACCTACATTAGCAACAATTGACTTTCAAAAAAGATCCCGCACTTAAAAACCAGAGCAATATTTCCGGTAGAAAAATTGTAAACAGACAGAAAAATAATAAAATATCATAGTAAAACCAATACAATTCTTACCGCACTCAAAATCGAAAACTATTTATACAATGCAGATTATTACAGGTATATTCACCAATTATTTTTTTTCAAACGCCAATTATCGCGTGTTATACCAACGTCATCGTCGTCGGTCGAGACACGATAGCATTACAATATTATCATTATGGACTATTTTTTAATTATATATTGTATCGCCGATATTATACAGATACGACCTTAAAACCATTTATTTTTTTCTCGAAAATAACTCAATATAATGTGCGCATTGGTCATATTAGTATGTCACAAGGAGGAAACTCACAATTAAAATCGCCTTTGACCTTCGACAAAAGTACAATACGTATTTATAAATTATTAATTTTTTTTAAATCTACCTATCAATAACGTCGAAATTATTTTCCGTAGATAATATTATATACATTTGTTAAAAATAAAAATGAATATTTCATGAATGACGTTGTTGCACGCGAATCTCAAAAAAAAAAAACGTTTACAAATAATTTCACTATACTTTTGAAAAACAAAAAAAAAAACTCCAAAGTTTTTTTTCAATGTTTACGTAATTTCGCTTCGTATACGAAGAAATTAAAATGTATCGTTTTAACGAAGTAAACCGCCTATTAATATATTAAAGTCTTCGGTCCTTCAAACAATAAATTATCATAAATGGTTTGAATTGTTTGACAGCTGTCGTGTTTAGCGTCATTAAAAGAAATAATAATTTTATCGCATACAAAATATTTAAATACCGCAGTTTATCTCATCGTTTGTAACTCAGCCCTATGGTAACTTTTTTGCTATACTTATGATACACAATTTATTTTAAATATGAATTCTAGAATTTACGTTTGTGTCACATGCATTGTATTTTGAATAAAAAAAAACAATTTTCAAACTGTTCAAAAAGGATTATCTCTTATTTTCGTGTAGTCCTGATTTTTCTGAACTTTTTTTTAAACTATTCAAATCTCAAGGGTCAAAAGTTATTGAATTTTACTCGATTTCTATCTTACGAGTTCAGGAAAATCGAAAATGAATTCGCACGAATATGGAAATACTGCGGTCCAGTCTCCCTCACTTACAAAAACCACACAAGCAGACGGACCAAACGTTTCCTTTAATTTTTGAACTTTTCCCAGTTACCTATCCCCCCCAATGAAAGTATATTAATTATATAAAATATAATTTTTTGTTACAAAGTCTACCGTTTATTTTTAAGAGGACACGCTGTGTAAGCGAAATCTTACTCTACTGAATGGGATGAATTGAGTTTACTGCGTGTTCATTTGGACATAATTTTGTATTCGGATTTAAAAGTGCACAATAATATGAAATTGTGAATTTAAAGCACAAGTACGTTAAATGTAAATATATTGACATTTAATTATTTTCAAAGACATTAAGACACTTTATATGCGTTGTTATTAAAATTATTATTAATTATGTTACACACATTACTTTGTTTGAAAAACACATTATTATTTTTAGCACCGAGTGTGGGAATTAATATTCGGCCAAGGGACGTCTATTATTATTATAACAGTGCATCATCCGTAGTGCGTATAAAATTATACCGGTTTGAGGTTATAAAATATGATTATAATATTATCCTTGGCGGTTCGCGTTAATTCATTAGACTTAATTGAACCGATTATTTTACGGGACCGAGGCGCGTCGTCGTCGTCTATAATGGTCTCGGCCGTAAGTAAAGTTTTCATTGTCTTCGTACTGCGCGTTGTTAAGATTTCGTCCACGGGACAAAATATTAATTATTTACATCGGCGCGCTTGACGGTCGCCATCAAACTTGAGAATAATATTTATTTCCGTTTTTGCACGTTAACGGTCGACGATTACGCCTTACGTCTAACTAGAGGACAGATAGATGCGATTAGTGTCGGCGTTGTGCTCTTCTTATCAGTCTGCTATCAGTAATTACTGGATCCAATTCAGTTCCAAACAATTAAATAACAGTCCCATTAAAAACACACACACACTATTTTTTTAAACGCGTATATTATACTCGGATATCAGTGTATTTATAATTTTTAAACCGAGATTTCAATATTATTATCAAACGAGAGTTACTCGAATGAGGTTTTTAGCAACAAAATGATTACCTGTCTATAAGTACTTAAGATATATGATATAAGAGTTTTAAAGTTATTTTACATAAAATGTATAATATGTAATATATTATACTACTTTTATTTGTTTGGATACAATCATATTTGATAAGGACTATTATCACATCATATGGCGTCACACTAATCGTTTCGATGCATATGTAAATGCGTACATATTTATTAGAATACAAGCTATTTGATATCTGATAAGAAACGTCTCCAATTTTGATAATTCTTAACCACATATGCGATTAATGTGGTGATAACAATCGTAATAAAGTATGACTGGATCTAAAGGAAAATTACTTTTAAACGTAATGAAAAGTAACTGAAAAACTGTTATATTCTAAATTTTAAGTACCTACTTGGATATTAATTTTATTGTTAAAATCTCACCTGAGTAACTTGTATTTAATAATATTAACCTAACTTTAAATTGTAAGTAGGTACTCATATGTTAATACAATATATAATCGTTTAAAAAATATACTTTGTGTGTTTTAAATGCGAATATTATTAAATTGTTTGAACCCAAATGATCAAATCATTACTACTAATAGATCGATAAGAAAAGCATGATGTTGTCACTAATCGTTATAACTACAAGTGAATCATGCAAGATGGTGGGGACTGGGGATAATCGGATTATACTGTTATTTATTAACGAAAATGTAAAAGAATTTTTTTCCGTCTTCTCCTTTATTGGGTCTTGTCAATTACAGCTCTTAATTACAACTCATGTACAATACGTATCGAAATGTTTAGAAAAATATTACTCTCTTTTCGAATCCGGATTTTAAATCTATATGCGAACAATTTGAAGTCCACGAACTCATCGTATAGATGAATCGCTATAGTTCGTGATTAAAACAAAAAAATGTCCTGTGTTTTTGACTGCGATTTATATTTTATTGATTCCGTTAGTTCGATGTGATAAAGTTTTCGTTCAATATTGTTCTGGTCTGCTGCAGATTAGAATTTTATTATTAGTATTATTATTATTATTTTTTTTTTTTTTTGAACTATATTATCGAAAAACACAGCTGATAATGGGATAGTCGTGTTGTGAATGATTTCGATATTTTTGTTGATGAACCGAAGCGATATTTTTAACTGTCGGTTTTAGAACGGGTGAAAGAGATGTTTTTTTTTCTTTTTTTGATATTTCCAAACCGTGTTACGTACTACCCACCACTCAAAAAATTAACATTTTTTTTTTTACTCGATATTATATTTCATGAAAATTCCATCGGCCTATACACGTGGTAAATAAAAAATAATAATATCCTTCGTGATAGATGTTTCGTATTTACACGGAAGTTCAATTATAATAAAATAATATTCATTACGCAGCTCAGATCCCCATACGCGGCATCGACTCTGATGACGATAACACGATAACAACGATAATTTGTGTGACCTATCTATACCGTATTAAAATCAGTAGAAAAAAAAAACAAACGAATATGCTTTGCATGATGACGTGGGCCACTAGTAGGTGAAAAGTTGAAAAGATTGAAGTAAATTTAATTTATATCTGTATGCAACGATTAATTATTGCTAACGAAAAACGATTCTGAGCGAAGTTCAGTTACAAGTGTTTTAAAAGGCCGTAATATTTACAGTTTGAAAATAAGTACATTTCGTAAATTTTCCCGTTTTTCATACGTTTTTTCTCGGTTTTTTCATTTATTATGGAAACTCCTGGGGAACTCAAAAAATGATCTCCTTAGAGTTAGATTTCCTTTCAGAAAACGTGCTATACTTGAAAATCAAAGTAAAATATCTGGTAGAAAAATTGTTGAAAGAGAAAAAAAATGATAAAATCAATACATTCCTCGCTCCGTTCAGAATTTAAAATTTCTATCAATGCACTTGTTTATTTTTCTCCACCCCCTGTTATTGTCGATCCACAAATCTTGAATTATTTAAGAATTTAATAATAATAATTACAAATATTACACAGTTAATATAATTAAGAATTATTATACAGTAATTCCGCGGTCAAGTCGGTCAAATACAAAAATAATACGAAATCGAAAAATTAATTATTAAAAATAAACCACATTATAATTTTACTCTAATGATCTATTATATGAGGAACAGCGTTTTCTACTTGACTTAACCTAACCTAAAAAAGAAAAAAACACTCGTAAGCAGCATATCGTCTGCCTAATTCCCAATTGTCCTGACTCCGAAATGGCAATAATTTAAGAGTAACATAAAACGCTTTTGTCGCAAAAGTCTCAACTCCCAAATGACAATATTTTATATGGAGGACCGATTGAGTTACAATTTTTTTTTCGACGTTGTTCAATTTTCGTTTTATTCGTATCAGCACTTTTATGAGAGAATACATTGTTATTATATATATGTCAACGTGTTTTTAAACGATGGGCAATCGCTTATTAAAGTCTTAAACATCAAATAAAAAAATCAACATTTTCAGAACTATGGCAGTTACGAATTAGTATGATAAAAAATAAATATATCATGTACAGTCATTATTTTCGGAGTGAATACGACTAAAAATTCAAATACGATCGCGTTTTACTTTCGACCACATTATACCTTCATAAGCTTTTTAACCTCGGAGTTATTTTTTGTTGTTCCTAATATATATGATATATATTATACATGACGATTTATAGACCCTCGTGTATTGTATGCGGTAAAACACAAATCAAAACTTTTATGTTTGGACGATGACATGTGCTGATAAAAATATGATAGACTTGTAACAATGAATGAAATTGACGGGTATTTCCATACATACATGTATACATTCGTCCTTCAGTTTCACAAAAAAAAAAAAAAAAAAAACATCGCATTTTGTTACCGCATTTCATTTATTACCGAAGAAAATATAACTGCATTACTCAAATGTTTATAGGTAACAATAATTTAAGCTTATATATTCACCGTTTCTTTTCACGAATTTATTTTTAACAACTAGTTCTTACTTATAAATCTAGGGCCCGAAACTTGATGCATTTGTATACACACACATATTATATATACATTTTTTCTCCCTAATACGTTGCACGTCTCTACAAAAATTCGATTCATAATGGAGTACAGAATGGTACAATATTTTCCTTTTCAGATAATTTATTTATAAATGTTTAGTGTATATGTATACTATATATATATATATATATATATTGTGTACAAAACGAGTTCTTAACGTAAAATCAAATCCGTAATTGGAAAATAGTTTTGGAGGGGGATTGAACCCTCAAAATCCCCCTCAGGTATGGTCTTGCGTAAAATTATAGGTCATTCAAAAACTCTGGCTCGAAAAATTTTGTTTTAATGTTATTTGCATATAATAGGTACTTCAAAAGCGAAAATTTTTTTTGTTATTTCTTCGGAGCATTAGAAATATCGAAATTCGATTGCTATCATAATCAATGTTTTCTTACTTATCCTATGTAATAACTTTTACGGTCAGTTTTTACATTTTCGGATAATGCATGGTATTTATGTTGGTAGATTTACAAAAAAAAAAAAAGGTTTTTGAAGACATCAATATATAGTTCTAATCGCGTTAATTACGACTTTTTTCGTAAGTTTTAACACTGCATTCAAATAATTGACCAATAGCAACTTAATTATAATAATATAGTAACTGTAACAATGTACTTTTCTGTTTGGCAAAAATGCATCAATAAATAGCAATTATAATTTGTAACGTAGGTAATAAAGCGGATAATATGACAATATATGATAACATATTACGGTTGACGTCGTGATTTAAATAAATAAAATATAGACCGCTCGGTGTCGGTATAATTGCACGTATCGCGGTTTATAAAAATATGCATCAAGATAAAAAAACAAATACGAGAGCTAATCAAAAAGTATCGAGACTGGTAGTATCACTCGAAAACCGATCATCGAAGAGCAGCAGTATTGTTACCACTATTGCTTCTACGACTTTTTCTGAATACAATTGCTTTTATTGATTCTTTATAAACCTCTTCGGTTTGATTTTACAGATATTTTTGTAAAATATATTTTTCGAGTTTAGCCATTTCGTAATGAATCCAAAAGAAGAACGACATGACAGTTTTGGAGATTTTAGAAAATTTGTCTGCTTTTTTTCAGTTTCAGAGAGACGTAATATTTCATGGTTTATGCCAATAAATTTCAATTGAAAAACTGCAGATGCGCAGTCGAGTGGCAGCAAGTTTAGCTTCTTTTGGATTCATCACAATATCGCCAAATGTAAAAAATACATTTTAGAAAAATATTGTCGAATCAAAACGAAAAAGTTTACAAAGATACTACAAGAATATATGTGATTAATAGAAATCATAGAAGCCAGGGCTACAAATCATTTTGCTCTTCAACGCTCAGTTTTCGAGTAATATTATCAGTCTCGGTACTTTTTGATTAGCTTATATAGCTCGGTACCATATTGCCTCGTATACACACGAATGTAAAGTTTTTAGAAACTTGAGTATTTTATATCAAATTTGGCAGGAAAACAAAGTTGCCATGACCATGATAATTTATTTCTTTGATATTACAAAAGTCAGAGTATTATACATATTAAAAAAAACCTAACAAATTTCACTGTATAAAATATATAATACAACGTTAGATTTCTTTACATTTCCGGGTAATTATTTATCGTATGGCCGAAAGACAACACAAACAACGTGAAATACATATAATAAACACAGTGGAATACAATAAAAAATTATAAATCATATCATAAAATACGTATAATCAAATCATCATTACGAATAATCATCGTACCATGTACACAAACGGGAAGAATGCAATAAAGTTTAATCGGACGAGAATAAATTCCTACATGCACATTTTGATATCGCATTTAAAGGTTATGTAGAATATTTAAATATTTAAATAATATTTTATAATAGTATAGTACGCATTAAAACGTCTCATTTATTAAGATTAGGTTGAAAAGTTTGAATCGACATAATTTAAACATACGATAATTATTAGGTCATCGTGATTGTGTAGGTATACACAAGTGTACTGCAGGTTTCGAGTACATTTTATTTTAGTTTATTCTGAACAGCATAAACGCATAATAATATTAAATTTTATTCTAAAAACAGTATATTCCATTTTAGATCCTGAGTGTAGCGAAGAATGTTTTTGTTTTACATAGATATTTATTTGTTTTTTCTTTTTATGTGGACACTTTTTCTACTAAAAATCTTAATCCGATGTACACGATGTAGACCTTTTTTTGGAAGGAAATTTTCTAGAGGTGCTGTTTTAGGGAGGTAATATTTTGATTTTCTCAAAAGGTTTCCCAGCAAATGAAAAAAACCGGGAGAAAAACATAAAAAACATAGAAAAAACGGGAAACTGGTACAATATTAAACAAATGTTATTAAATAAAATATATAATGTCTACTTAATTATTTAAAAATAATATAACATACATGTTATTGACAAAGCATCACTATCTACTGAACTCCACTCAAAATCGTTTTTAGTAAGCAATAATTTATTGTTGCTTATACAGATACAAATTAATTTTCCCTCTATATTCTACCTTCCCAATTTCTCACCAACAATAGTGGCTGCACCCATCGTGCGAAGTGTATCCGTCTTTTTTAAACTCAGATTCAATAGGAAAATGTTTTATCTATAAAAGTGTTGTTTTAGATAACATTACTATGTGTATTATCGAATATACCGTACACGATTTATAACATTTTAAAACGGAATAATAGCTATGCATATCAGGAAATAGTAAGGTATTTTACATCCGTGTTTAGACAATGTTCCCTTCCAATTCGCCCTAAAAAACCAACCAAAATCAAATTTACTCAAAGTCTTCATAGAAGATGGATTCATGATAAAATAATTGATTCATTGACAACAATTGACTAATATTTTAATTTTATATTAGGCTGTGCTTTTACCCTAAAACTGAAATTAAGAGAGTTTTGCATAAATTATAAGAATAGTTTTGTTATGCTACTAACGGGTAACATTCGTCCATTTAACGAGATAGACTGTGACAGTTCATGCGGTTATCACGTCCTTTCGGTATAATTGAATAATATAATATACTTTATTGTAAAATCGCTTTTCGACGTTTCACCATAGAAACCAAAATACGACAATTATTAATATTACTTCTTATCTGCCGTGCAGTATATAATTCACCAACTAATCGAAACACGTCCGACCCGAAACAAACGTGCGGTAATTTAAAGTAATCGCCGCCCCGCATTTTCATTAGTCACCTGCAGAAAACAAAACGAGTAGGTAACCCGCTGTAGGTGATTTTATTCCCCCCTCCTAATTTTCTTTTGTTTTGTATAGGGCGGAAACAAAATATCCCTATGGATGCAGAAGATTTCGATAAAAATCTATGTATGGATTTATCAATAAACCTGCAGTCCCTAAAATACGGACCCGTTCGTCACATGAACAGTTTAAATATAATATATATAGGAGTGTGTTTTGTTTCCCCCACTAAGAGTATTATATTATAATACTTAATTCCCAAAAATGTTTACGGTACATGCCATTTTCTCCGACACGATTCACTAATTGATATCATCAGTGGCGTGGTAAAAATGTTATTTAAGTATCATGGAATTTTTGGGTTGTTGTTGAATGAGTGGATCCCGACTCCCAGGTGAATTTAAAAATTAATTCTGATATTTCATTATTTGTTTCAACGGTGAAGTGGGATAACTGCGACGGGATTTGAAAAAATTCAACTTAAACTGGTGATATCTCACGAAATATTTTTTTTTTTTAAATTATGATGACCAGTGTAATATAATGTTATAAAAATGTTTTATCTAGATCCACTGTCAAAATTGAGTAAAATTATTTTAATATATTTTTAAAATTAAAAATATTTTAAAAAAACGTCACACTTGCCCCTCGACAAAAGGTAGGTGCATAATAAAACATTAAAACCATTGTTATTTCATAGTGGGGCAACCATATAATAATGTTAGTTTATTACTTGTAGAATCTATAATGATTAAATATTCTGTATTCAATTGCAATTATTTTAAATCGAATTCCTATATTTATTTATTTACTGATTTATTACTAATAACGTCGTTTTGATAAATATTTATCAAAATGTTCACGATGTCAACACGACAAATGTAAACGGTATACGCCAGTATAGCGAGTAAACGTTGCCGCAGAGCCACGATCGCGCGATTCTTCCATGAAAATGAAAAAGGCAAAACATGAGCGAACCGGTTGGCGATTTTCTATCATTCTTTCGTACACCATGAACATATCATAAACCATACTATCAACTATTCTTCCCGTTGGCGCTTTCCCGTTTATCCGTTTTTTGGATCTTGGTTCACCAATTCTCTACGCTAGTCTATCCATCGGATCCTGTGAACTGTGAAGTGATATCTACGTTTTTCACGTCTTCATGTACACAATCCAACTTTTGTTTGGTCATCCACGGCTCTGAATGCCTTCTGAACTCTCTAAATTAAGTGGTTATCCTCTTTTCATAATTATGATATACTATAATTATCAGATATAGGTACCGTTTATGAAATTCAAAACTAAAATAGTAGAATCGTAAGGATATATTAAAGTTAATATCCATGCTTTAAAATGAGAGTAAAATTTTCAAAAAATGATTAATATATATTGTAAATATTTTTAAAGATTGTAAAACAGCACAATCAAATTAACTAAAAATCTTCATGGGTATCAATTTTAGTTCGTGAAAAAAAAAATCACTCTGTATATTATATACTTAAATAGATGATGACGTATCGCGTCCTTGAGTAGTGTTTCTAGTTTTTTTACCTTGTATAATATAATACTCGTACATATAATGTGCGTACGAACGCTATACTTTTTATTCATGACCAAATATTATGTGAACAACGCATATAGAGTAGGTATACAGAGTCTTTCAAATTTCATATTACATTCAAATTTTGCATGTAATCTTTTTTTTGAAAAAAGGTTAACGGAAATTAAAAATTTCAATACCAATTAACATTGAAATAACTATCTAAAATAATAACTTAAACTTCGTTTATTTATAGAATTTTAAATAAAGGTTTAAAAATCAAAAAAGGGTTTTGGTTTCACTCCGGAAAATAAAGGAGACAAATGTAACATTTTAGATTTAGAATATACCTTAGATTTATAATATGATTCCAAAATTTTTTTAGATAAGTCGCATTAAAAACAATAAAAAAAGTATTTCATAGACAATTAAATTGTAACATAAAATTCGAAATACCCTGTATAATATTCATGATGCGTATATATACACGTATATAAAAACAGTCTTCTAAAAAAAAAGAAGCGGTTGAGAATAAAAATGTCATTTATTGTTGTATGTATGTATGTATAATATATACCGGGATAAAGCCAAATAATCCCACTCGTGGTTCTTTTTCCATCGCTCGGATAAATTTCTTTCTTTATAACATGAAGATTTTGTCTGATCGGAATTAGTGTGATGGCAGGTAAGGACATACAAAAATGTGTTACATTTTTCATGGCGCGTTCGAAATATTGAACATTTTTAACTTTTTTTATTTCCATAAACATCATAATATTATCCTTTAAAGAGTATTTCGACGAGGTCCTCGTAGACGTGCAAATATTACATTATTACCAATCTATATCTTTATAAACAGGAACAACGCGCCAATAAAATTATTCACGCTTAAAAATGTTTAAATTCTATGCACAGCAAGAAATGTTTTGGTTGTTTGTTTACGACTTTTCTGTGGGAATTTTCGATAATCTAATTTTCAAGTGTAGCGTAGTTCCTAAAAGAAAATTGTACATAATTGGTATATTAAGAAACCATTTTTTATTTTTCTTGGCAATCGAATAAAAAGTGAAAAATTAGGGTATTAACGGTTTATTATTTCCGGTTTTTTTTTTTTTTTTTTAGTCTTAGCAATTTTTCTGCTAGAAATTTTGCTCCAATCAAAAAATTACAAGATACCTTTTCAGTTGTATTTTGAATTTAGTTGGTACCATTTACGCCGATACTTAGTGAAAATATACAACGAAAAATAAATATAAGAACCAAAAATGTCATTAGGTAAACTTCAATGAACGCCGTCTGGCGTCACTGCACCTTGCATGGAATATGTTTAAAGTTTGATGAAAAAAGTAAAAATCGCGGCATTTTGAACTATGTTAAACCAAACTTCGCTCAGAATCGGTTTTCGTTAGGAATGGTTTATCTATTGTTGCATATTGATAAAAATTAAATTACCCCATATCTCAATGTTCCTATTAGCCACTATAGCGTCGTATTGCGAATAATGAACTGCACGTAGATGTTATCGCGATATATTAACAACGGTGTTAGTTTATATTCATGCGGAAATTAATATTTTAACTAACAGGCTGCAACTGTATGTTTGAATACGCAGCCTAAGCGAGCTCGGTCTAATTTTGGCACTGCATGTATAACATGAAATTTCATTAAAAATTCAACATATAAATATTGTATAACATTCGCCGGTTTTATTGTGCGTTTCAATCGAAAAGACATATTATAATGTAAAGGTCTGTGCACTGTCTGTCCTATCGACATAATAGTAATTATTTTTTTTTTCAATAATGACATTATGTAACTGTTTGGTGTTCACCAATATTTTGATCAAACAACAACGCATTAATGTTTATAACATAATGTCATTTGACCACTACCGATTTGAAGTTAAATGATAATTACGACTATGGCAGTTCTATATTAACAGAACAATGTAAATATGATAAAAACTCTATAAAAAATGAAAAAAAAAAAAAAAATGATAAAAATTGAATGGCTATAATTTATTGCTCCGTCAGGAATAAGGTTCTCTAACATTAACCTACCTATATTTTGGTAAAGTTATAAAAAATAAATAAATTGTAGCTTTTTAATAACCAGACAAGGTCATAAAACATTTTTGGTTAGTAAAAAAATGTTGGAATCCATTCCCCCCAACTCTAATTGCAAATACTTCCCACACCCTCACAATCGTAAACTAAACCATTTTTTATTTATATCATACTTAAATTGGTACTATAATTGTATTCTCCGTTAACTTAAGTTCATTTCACATTATACCTCGTGAAATTTAACAAATGCCCTATCTCCCTTTAGATGTTCCCCACCGAAATTTTTTTTTAAAGTATTATTTATTGATATGTCTCTCTGTTGTTACGAGATAAATATTATTAAAATTATTATTAATTTAAACATTATGAGTATAAAATATAAATTCATATTAGCTAATATAAAAAATAGATACCTACCAAACTATAAATACTTTTAGAATTCTAAAAATGTCATGTCAACTATTTACAAAATAAAATATTTTGTTTATTTAAGTTTCTACGCACGCCAGCAAACATAACATAACCTACCGAATTATTAGATTCTTTCAAAGTTGTATGCGGAATTACAGTTTATTGTTTGAATTCAAATAAAATACGTTTGAAAACCAAGAATTGTCCACACTCACAGATTGAACTTACCTAACTTATTTATTTAAAAAAAAAAACCATTTCAGTGCCAATAATTTACAATGCATAGCATGGTAATTTATAGTGCGTCCTGACTCCCGAATGGCGACAGATGATAATATTATGCAACGATTAAACAAATTAAAAAAAATTGAAAAATTGCAAATGTGCATAATATAACGAACCCCAAGTCCACAGCGTAAAAAAAGGAAAACTAATGAATATATAACGATGGAATTATATTATTCAATACGAATAATATTTTAACAAATAGGTTGTTGGTTTATTATAATAATAATATACACATGGACAGGTATAGTATCGAGTAAAACAGCACTATACCTAATAGTTTGTCGAGAAAACTTTTAATTGTCTGTGTAATATTTTTTTTCCGGTAAACACTTTGGAAGGACAATTAGTGCGAACAGATAATTTTGATTTTATACATAGACTGGTCGTAACGAACGTATAGACGATAAAGTTATGGGTTAGGATTAGATTATCGTTTAGATCGGATAGACTACAAAGCTGGGCACTGATGAGTTAACAAGTTAAGTTTTAAGTCAATATTATAAATTTTAACATTTGATTTTCTATTAACTCGATTTATTTCGTTACTTTTATTAACTTTATAAATAACAAGGTCTTTTTTAATATACCGCCACCGCATCAAGTTAATAAAATAAAGTTATATCGATTTCTTTTAATTTTACACAGTATTAAATTTGCAATCTATACACTTTATTTGAATACCGTCGAATAAAGACACAAGTTTGTCTTGATTTTGTTTTTTTTTGTGGAAAGGCTAAATATATTTGTTTTATGTTGAGCAATCCTATTATCCAAAAATTATATATTAGTTTAATCATGTTCACTATATTATGTCGATAACAAGTTTAGAAAAAAAAATATATCTAAACCAGTAACTTATAACGAGTTAACTACAATTTAATTCTTTTTTTTTTAGATTTTCTTCGATTATTATGAAAACCGCTCAGAAAATCATAAAACGATCTCCTCTAAGCACCAACTATGTACAAAATTCAACAAAAATCGTCTCTGGTCATTTTCCAATCGGAACAAGAATTTTGGTAGAAAAATTGTTTACATATAAAGATAGATAAAAACGAAAACAGCTACTGTGGTAAAATCAATGCATTCCCGGTCTACGTTCAAAATCTAAAATTTATCAATTCTGCGCTCGGAATCGCATTCGTTTTTTTTTCACCATATCAACACCTAATGTTTTACGAAACAATACAATATAATGTATTATTATTATTACTTATTATTCGCCGTTATTTTCGGTCACGATACGTACAACACTGGCGGGAGACGAATAGCGATCGCAATAGAAAAAAAAAATCTCGCGCTACATTCAAAACGGCAAAGTGGTTAAGTAACAATACGGTTATTGTAATAATACTAATATTATTATTATTATTATGTACACGCGTATCCGTATGTTGCGAACCGTCGGAAATTATTACGATTAAAATTTAATTTATGCGATCGAAATTTAGCGCCATCGACGTCGATTAGAATATAATAATATATTAACAACGGTTTACCGGATGAGGCAGCGGATCGCGATAATACGATAATAATAATAACAATAACAATACGTGAATTTGAATTCTTCCTACCGCCCCCGTTTTCGAATAATAATCGACAAAAGAATGGAAATATTATTATTTACGATCACCGCGAGCGAGCAGTTATTATTGCATTATTCACAGACGAGAAATTCGCCAAAGTAAACCGGTACCGATTTCCCCTTAAAAACGAAAACGGTGTATTTTAAGTAATTTGTTGGAGTAAACCGATGTAAGAATATGAGTAACTGGTTCGTTTCGGTAAATATGGCGATCAACAGTTACCGATCTCGGTTTATTATCCCCATTATTAATCTGATATTTCCCCGTTATTTAATTTGTTAATTTCTTACTACACTTTTAGATATCAATTTACATTTTACTATACGCAATCAATAATAAGTTGAAGAAGAGGGCAAATTGATTTATTCATCAATTTCTAACTAAATCGGTTTAAACGGTTAAACCATGACGATTTTAAACCAAATAATCCAACCAGTATCACAAACCGGTTTACTCTGGCGAATTTCTTGAGTGCCTGGCTCGGGAGATTGCAGATTATGCCTAGTAATTTGTTGGCTATTTTTTATTTTCATGGTTATTAGCAGCGTTTGTGATTGATCTACAGATATATGTATCCTAATATAGGTAAATGTTTATCATTCGTGTTAGATAAACCTCAGGAAAATGAGAAATAAGTTATCTGATCTGTTACCTACAGAGATAAATAATTATGAGCCGTTGTTACAATGTTCCGTTAAACACTCCGTATCAAACCCGGATTGAAGAGTATTTAAAGGCCCCGAGGTCAAACTTATTAATGGAACCCACAAAAAAAATAATACAAAAATCATTAAGAAAATGTAAGGAAAATAAAAAAATGACTTTACCAACGCATTAACTAGACGAAATTTGCTTTCATAAAAGATTCTACAATTGAAAATCAGAACAATATTTCTAGTATAAAAGTTGTAAACAGACAGAAAAAAAAAAATAGCATTATATACCTACTCAATATAACAATATGTTTCAATAAAAGAAAAACAATAAATAATTTAGAGATAATAGATCTCAGTTTAAAAGCACAAGTATTTTTTAAATAAATAAATATACTTTTTAAAAAACTTACAAACTTTAATTCCACTATAAAACATTATCAGATAAGGGAAAAATACTAAAAGTAATAAAATATAAAAATACAAAGTTTATAAATTAGTTTATAAATTTATTACTCGTGATGTCCTCATGTGCTGTCTCCGTCTTACAAAACGTACGACGTAGAAAATTTGAGCTCAGCGAAACATCTTTGTTCTGTTAGTTTTAATATTTAGTGAATTTATCTATTATTAAACTTAAATAGATCGGGAAAGGTTCTCCGAATTTTCTCCAAATTTGTAAAATTTTAAAATCATTGTCCACTTTTTAATTGCCATTTTAATGTTAACACTTGTCCACATAATTAATGACTGATACCTATTCAAGGGAAAAAGGAGGACTTTTTTACGTCATTTTAGACCGCTAAGCTAACTAAGTTAGAGTAAAATTAACTCACTCATCCAGGGGTGGAGTGGGACCAAATTTAGACCTAGAGATTACAATTTATCCAGGCAGTCCAAAAATATACGTATCTACTAAACAAAATTGCTCTAGCTTTTTAATTTGAATCAGTGACGAAGTCAGGATTTTGAATTGAGGGGAACTAAATACGTTTTTACCTAATAAATGAGCGAAGATAAGAGAAAATGGGTGGATGGAGTTTGGACCCTACAAAATTTTTAAAAAAGTGTTTGCATCAATATGCATTTAAATTAAAAAATTTAAGAGAAATATATATAAAAAAAAACTTGTTTTGTTTTTCGCCAAACCCTGCGAAGGAACGCGATAATAATATCGACTATCCGCTTTAAGACTGCAATAAATCACAAAAAAAAAAAAAAATCAAAAATGAGTTAAATCCAAGCATTAAATCATTGAGCCTTAGAGAGCTCTTACCTAACCTAATCTAATCTTATTTCGTTGTAGAATAACATATTTTGGTTTAACATAATATCCAGTTCTAAACTTCTAAAGTAGATCAAGTAAACTTTTTGAAATGAATTCATGTATTTACATATTATAAATAACAGTGGAAACATAAACATAATACTTGTATACCAAAAATCGTGTTCGTTATACCTAATTTATTTCATGTTTTATGTAGTTGACTAAATATTCGTCGAATTTTCAAAATTGTTTTCCTGAAAAAGGTCCTTTTTTGAGTTGATGCACTCTTAAACTGTGTAGTCAAATATTATTATAATATTTCCTTTCTCAATATCATGTGTGTAGTATTTCAAACGGATTTTTTCGTTCAAAACACACGGAAAGTGTCTCGTTAATAAAAAAAAATAATAATATGCATAACGATTACGAGTATATTGTATTATTTCGTTATAGCCGTGTTGAGTGCAGAAACGCGAAAGTTTTAACGACTGTCGAGCGCGTCAATCGAGATTATCGCAACCCGTATATAGGTACCTAGGTGATCAATTTTTTCTTTATTCGTAATAATAATAACACATTAATGCGCTTATCGGTTTCCCGTAGTAATAATATTGACATAAACGTATAACAATATTGACGGACTACACGTTTTTACGCGATTACGCGCGTCCGTATAAATCTGTCAAATCCCGAAAATTATAAACTGTTTGCCGAACGCACTTTCGTTGAAACAAAGAGGAGCGGGCAGAGCGCAAAATAATAATATTATTCATTGTTAAATTATATAGGTACCTACACGAAGCGTAATACATTTTCGCATAATAATCGATATTTGAATTTATATTATTTTATTATTTACAACGTCGCTTTCAATCGGCTGTGGATATCGGCGTGCACGATATTGACGTGCGTGATAATTATCAGAGAGAGGGTCTACGCGGATTTCGGAGGAATTTGCTTCCCCCCTCACTACCCTCTCCCGCTATAAATAATATACGTACAGTAAAAAAACGAAGCTTTTCAAAATATTTATATAAATTTGATTTATATAGAGTGATTCAACACGTCAGATTTAAAATCGTTATAAATTGAATTTGTTCTTTTAATGCGAAAAACAATTTTCGGGAGATCTTGTGACGGTTTAATCGTGGAAAAAAAATACAACGCTATTACGACTCCCACCCTCGGTCCGTAAAATTCACCACAATTCGTTCACATATTTTCATTTCTTTTATGTCCGTGACAAGTTGAATATTTCGTTTTAGTCCCGCTAAATTTCAGGGTTTGTTTTGATAAACCTGTGTGTCTTAGCGATCCCCATAGGAATAAATCGAAAGGTATTAAATCATTGTAGGATTGCGGTGGGTAGTTTCGGTCTCCTCGCGACGAGATTAATCTGTTTTGTGTACTTATTTATCCGTGGTGATTACAACGCTAACTAACTCTAACACCAAAAACGCTTATCACAAAACCCCAATGAAAGCCGAAAATCACAAAAACAGTGATGCTGAATAAAAAATGAAGAACATTTAAAATCCAACGTTCTATATTATGAATCACCCTTTACATTGTATCGTTTAGAATAGAATATATATATTGATTTTATATGTGTTTTTTTTTACAATAAAAAACTTTTTAACCTACAGAAATTTCGCTCCAGTCGTTAACAACGGGTGAAATTTCTGCGGGTATAGCGAAGTTTACTAAGTCGATGCATGGGGGACGTCATTTTTGATTTTTCTTGTAGTTTTCTTAATCTACGGAGGGAAACGTCAGAAAACGGGAATATTAAAACCGAAACCTTAACTTAATTAAAAGTTATCCAATGAATCAACCCGTCATTTCTTTAACATTGTCTAGTTCAACTTGTATTTACTATTTAAATATAAACAACGTCTCCTGTAAATATCGACTTTTTTTTTTTGTATTGACTAAATATGATTAGCATTTTTTGAATTCTTAATGGTATATAGAATAATTGTCAGCTATATAATATTCTTCAGTGGTAAAATAAACGATCTTATAAGGTTCTTTCTTTAAAATAGGTTCTAAGTATAAACTTAAAATGATTTTCAATGTTTTGTGCATAGTTTTTATTGTTTCAAAATTCATAATCTAGTTACGTAGATACATAATGAACTAAAACCAGCGGGTAAACATCGTTCGTATAATTTATTCAAAAGTTAGTCGTTAATATTTGCATCTTGTCATATAAGCACGAATCGTGTTTAATATGTTCTACATAAATCGGCAGGTAGGTACCTATACAAGAAAGAATAGTGGCTCGTACTTTTATAAATAATACTAAAAAACAATGTATATTGACATATTGTAATTATTATTTGTTGCGTTGTGCTTTACGAGCTACGAAATAATTCAAGTCTCGATTCTATACATGACGTATATTATTGTATTTACACAGACAAGATATCTTCGTTTAGTATTTTATATAAAAATGTAATAAAATATTTTATATCAAAACGAATAGTTTTTATTTCATATAGATAGGTCAGAACGAACGTATAGATGATAAAGTCATAGGTTAGGATTAAATAGGTTAGGTTAGGTAGACGACAAAGCTGGGCATTGATGGGTTATAATGAACCTCCTGTTAAATTTGCAAGCATTTCTATTTGGTTAAACAATTTTATCCACAGAGTATCTACCAAATAAAAATTAGATAAAGAGCAGACAATATTTGAATGTCTATAAATTACTCAAAAACGACTCAAATATTTTTTAAACTTTAACACATCTAGAAAAGACAAATATAAGTTTTCTGTCAACATTTCAAATCTCTATAAATATTTTAAATTAAATTACAACAAAAAAACAAAATTGAAAATAATAAAAACCTAATTTTTGTAAATTTGTTCGTGCGTTCTTTGTTTTTTTTTTCGATTTTGTTCAATTATTAAACAAGAATACGCGGAAAATCAAAAAATAACTTTCTTTCTCACCAACTAGATTAAAAATTCAACAATGAAGATCTATTGTTGTTATTTTATTGGGAAAATATTTGTGGTAGATGTGCGTAAAAATTTAAAATAATGAAATCGAGCACTGTAAATTTGTTTATAACACCAATAAATCCTTCGCTCCGCTCTGAATCTAAAAATAAGTTAAACCAATACAAATTTTAAAGGTCCTGGTTAATTCTAGTTTTAACTAGTGAAAAGCAGTTTTGATGAAACAGGTTTTTGGAAACTATTGTTTTGACCGTAAAACACAAATATGTCTCTATATAATTATATAATTATAAAAATTAGAATATTATATAGTTCATTTAAAAATTAAAGTTTTTATTTCCAAACAGTTATCGTCATAAACAGCTGAAGTTTTAACATCGAAAAAAAAATACGTCAAGTTAGGTTAATTTGTATCAAAATTATTAAATGAATATTATATGTTAGATTATTAAAATTATCACCGATTTTCAAGAAGGGTAGGCATGGATATATTTCATAGACATCTCGTGTCTATTTACCGAACAACCTTATTTTCAACTTCCAAGTGTCACTATAATAATATTTAAGCTTAAAATGCTTTGACGGCCGACATTCATTATTATTGCGATGATGGATTTCATTGCTCGGGTATTTATTAAAGACGCGTGGAAAATATTTTGCAGGACAACACTCGAAATGTTAGGTAGGTAGAATATAACATTGTATGATTATTATCGTTTATAACAGGAATAACAGATTTTCACACATGTCCGGTCCCGGAACCGTGTTGGATCCGTCAGTAGCTCAGAGATCCCGTCGTCTGATGCCTGCATAAACGTCGGGTTTTATTTCGGAACTTTTCAAACGAAATTTTGAATCCGTTTTCCGCCCGCATAATATTATAGTCCGACGATTATATTATTATTATTATTGTATGTTATGTTCCGTCTTGTTCGCGGTTAATCTTCTGGAAACCTTTAGAAGTTACCTATATTATATACATAGGGTACACAGCTACTAACTAGTGGGGTTTTCTATAAATGTCGTAGGTATGTATAGGTACTAGCCTTTCCATTTTGGCTCTTTATACTAAGTATACCCGACACCCGTTTTATGTGGTTTCCGCGAAGTCAACCCGATAAAATACAATACGGTCTGAGAGGCGAAAGTATGGAATAACGACGACGACGCGACAAATGATCTACACAGGGAGATCAATACATACAATGCGAAACACTCGATTTCTCAGAAACCATTAAGTTTGTTCGGAATTTGTTTTTTTTTTTTTTTTTTTTTATAGGAAATTTAACAATTCAAACGATTTGTAATCTTGCATTACAGTCATTTTTTGTCATCCTTTAGAGTAAAATGTTCACTAGGTAGGTATTCTTTTTTGGTTTTACATTATATTAATATTATGTATACTCGTATGTTTTCAATTGTAAATATTGATACAACTAATTTTTTTAAATAATAAAGAACATATTTGATTATTCGGTAAACTCAAATATTCTCCATTATTAATGGTAACGTAACCCAACGGTCGATTTAATATTACTGTAGTTTGGTAAATCATAAACCTCTAAGCTGACGGTTTTCGTTTTAAATTTTTTCTTTTAGAAAAATAGCCGGTCGAAAATATCCAAGTGAATAGAACGAACGACTACCAGAAACGACTGTGGGTAAAAACAGTAGGTAAGTAATTTTCGGAATTTTATATAGTTTAAGTACACGCGGGGCACATAAAAGTCTCCGGACGTATCAGTATCGAGTAATAAAATTAGTTATTATTTACTGCTGAACGCTGCGTGGTTTTCTAGTTTCTTCTGCATTTTCTTCTCTTCTCCGTAATAACCCTTTTCGCGTTCACTTCCGTGTGGACTCACTATACACTCTAATTATTATGTTACGTCATGTCGTGAAATAATTTTAGTACGTAGTCATATCACTTTTATGACTGAGCATAACTACGTTACGTTACTATAGGCGTTTGCTATGATATTATTTCCACAAGAAACAAATAGCCCATGTACAGATTATTTATCAAAATCTATACAAAAATATTGTATGCATGATTTATGCCCTAATAAACTTTCCTTTGATCGTACGTGATGCCCTTAAAAAAATTATACACACAATAGAAAAACCGGAAAATCACTTAACATACAAGTTTTGATACTTTTAAAGTACACAGCTGGTACATAAAACTGTTATACAAATGTATGTATACTTGAAATAATATTGTTTTAGAGAAACAAAAATAAAAATACACTTTACGTTGTAATCTAGTCCTATAGTAATTACGCGTAATTCTGCCTATAGAACACTTATATCGTGATGATATGTGTTTGTTTTGTTAAGTTTGATGTACAGTTTTATACCGAACTTTAAACGATCGTTTGTTTATGATAATACTGCTAACAGCAGCCGTAAAAAAAATATATTGTGGACATGCGGGTTTTTAATTAAAAATACGTGTACTCGCAAACGAATCGCATATAATGTATAACCTTTTTTTCGTCTCCTCGTAAGAATATACTTTATTTTTTTTAATTTGTGTTATATTATTATTGTCATTTCCGTATAAAAATTGCATATGATTTTGAGAGAATTTAGCAATGTATCGATTTTACTTTGGTGTGTTTTTTTTTTTTTGTCAATGGAAATCTTGATCTGATCAACAACTTTATAAAACCTTTTTCGTTATATTTATAATATAGTTAGTGCATTGGAGAGATCAATTTTTGATTTTATTTGTAGTTTTCTTAACAAATCGAAAAAACAGGTCATTTTTGGTACTTTTATAAATTCTTGGGTACAACATAGGCAACAAGGGGAAAAAGAAGAGCTTACTTCACACGTAGGTGGCCCACTGCTGTAGGTAATTAGTTAGGAAGGCAGTAAAAGAAAAATTTAATGTATATATGTAAGCAAAGATTAACCATTGCAAACAAAGGAACGATTTTAAGCGGAGTTCGGTTAGTAGTGTTGCTTTGTCAACAATATATATTATGCCATATTATGGTAAAATAATTACATATGCATTAAACATTTTCTTTAATTCTATTTTTTTTAATTTTGTACCTATTTCCCTGTTTTCCCTACGGTTTTTCCTAGTTTTTCTCATTTATTGAGAAAACTCCTCGGTTGAATCAAAAAATGATCTTTTTAAAGTATCATCTCAATCAGATTTCCTTTTAGAAAAAGTGCTATCATTGTAAATCGGAGCAAAATTTCTGATAGAAAAGTTGTCCACGGAAAAAAATAAATAAACATCGTTGCAAAACCAATACATTCCTCGCCCCATTCAGATTTTTTTTTAACAGTGGTTTATCGTTACATAAGGTATAAATTAAATAACTATATCGTTGGAAGATATGCTTCCAACTTCCCTCCTAAAACTGTAGAATACCCATCATCAAAATCAGACTATTTCCGTTATTAAATTGTTTTGGACGTTTTTAGTTATTTCTGAGACTTTATATAAGCATACAGAGCGTTTAACACGGCGTAAGACACTCATTATAATAGAAAGCATTGACTTTTTCGGAATTCATTTTTTAGAAAATTTAAAAAAACAACTAGATAGCTTTAAAATGATATATTTCCATTGCATTTTTTCATTCTTATTTTTGTATCTGAAACCGTTACTGGGTTTTGATTTTAAAATAGCAAAATATATAGAAGATTTCATAAATCAATGAAGTTTTAATTTAAATAAATTTCGATGCTAGCATTCGTAATTTCCGCCGGCTCGTTGATGAGATGTTCCACTTATACGTTTATTGTTTTGTGAGTAGGAAGAGAGTAGTCGGAGAGCATAATTTTTTTGGTGACGTAACGCCCGGTATTTGAATAGTTTTCCATTGCTCTTCCTCTGGAATATCTAATCAACGAACTGGCGAAAATTAAAAATTTGAATAACAAAATTTATTTAAACCAAAACTTCGTTGATTTACGGCATTTCAAATATAAGTTTCTATACGAAAATCAAACGTAAGTAGTGGTTTCATCCCCTAAAATAAGAATGGTGAAAAAAAGACGTTCGTAAAACATTTTAGAGCTGCCCGTTCCTTAAATGGTCTAAAACTATTGTCGATTTTTATTTTATTTTTAGTTTTCTACATGTTTGTTATGTATGTATATTTTGTAGCATGGACGTTTTGAAACATGTATCACGATAGAACCGCCGATCGGTGAACTGCAACGATGTATAGAAAAAAAAATGCATTCCTCACTCCGCTTAGAATCTAAAAAACAAATAGCGTTTACACAATATCCGGAGTTTATCGATGTTACAAAAGTTTTCTTTTTTTGTTGGTGTTGTTGCTGTTGTTCGTTTCGAGAGCGTATACAAGAACTTTATTTTTTACACTAATGGCAATGCGAGCAGTGTATAATATATCGAGGGCCGAAATCTTTCGGAAATATTATTACTGTTATACCCGCGCGCGAGTCATTAATCTTTTGGCCGAGTGTTTTGCCCGCGGTAATTCGCCAGACTTTGACACTCCGTTGTGCGTGGTTTGCAGCTCGTCCTACGTGCAGTCTATGTAAAATAATCCAAAAAGTATACCTCTGAACTCTTATAGTTACACGTGAAATACATCGCGAAAGATTGATCGCCCGTTGCGGTCTTTTGCGGCAAAGTCGACAATATTATTTTAAACTACAATGAGTTAATATTTATTTATCTTTTTGTCGTCAAATAATACATTATGGCGTTCGGACCGACCGTATTCAGTGGCGTAATTTTATGGGACGGGAATTACAATTTTCTTCTTCTTTTTTTTTTTTTTTTTTGTTCATTTATATTTCAAAAGTGTCATTGTACTCAAAATACCATATTTCGGGAAAAACTTCATAGCATCGGTTAATATAGGCGGTGGAAAATAAGCCATATACTTTCCAATTTTTGGTTTTAATTTTTAAAGTACCTACGCATAAATGTATCGATACATTTTCTAGGTTATTTAGGTAGTCGATTTTAAATTTTCAGCTTCGAAGAGCTCAACAGTTAAAATATTATTTCGTGAAACTTTCGTGAAATAATCACATTGCATTCATATTTATTTAAAATTAATATTATTATTAATTTATATTGATTTTAATTAGGTGAAAAAAATCGACTTTTTAAATTACTAATAAATTATAATAATTGGTCAGCACGTCCAAACATTGGCAATTAATATGTTTAGTTTTCACCACATATTAGTTTTAAACGTAATAAACGTTTTAAACGTTGTCCGTAAATCCGGTTTTTTCCCTTAAATGGATGTCGGGCAGTAGATTAATGTTGAAAGTCTTATCATTGAGATGGTAATTAAAATATGAAAAATAATCAAGAAATTATACAAAATTGGAAAACCCCTTTAAAATTATAGATTTTTAATTACTGAAAATACGTATAGAGTTTATACAAACATTTAAATAATAATACACAATGCTCACCAAGTATTCTATGCAGAGTAACATATTTACTCATATTTACCTTGGAATTTTCTTTTTGAAAAATCAAAAATGCATGGACACATTCAATTTTACAACATGTTATACTACTCGTATTTTTTCACCGTTGTTTTTGATTTTATTGTGGTTTCCCTCACCTCATAAATTACGCAGCTAAAATGATTTCCATAATTGCATGATAAATATACGAATGTTCTGAGTTCTGACGTAGGTAAAAATATATAAGGTGTATGTGTAATGTATATATATCGTGAGATCGTTCATAAAATAAGGGGCTGGCGGGGAGGAGTGGTTGAAGATCACTATAGGTAACTTGCCATACATAACATCGTCGTATAATAAATCCATTAAAACTTATATAGTTTTAACTTTTGACATTATACAAAATATATTATTATACGCTCGAGCTGTAAATTATAACTCAAAGTTATATGCGATGAAATACTGTTAAAACGCTGGTAATTGGACGCCTATCCGCACACCGTATTCGATAAAAGAATCGTTAGACTCTGCAGAACCGTAGCCAAATACGACGGGCTCATTAGTTATCATTCTAATCACACCACAATCGCTTTTTGTTGTCCTTTTACAAATTAACTTCATTTTTGTTTTTTTTTTTTTTTTTTTAAATACTGCTGATAACGGAATTTTATTTTCACGTACAAATATTACTTTTCTAACTCACAAATTCACATAATCGATAATCCAAGATTATGCCACCGGTTGTAATAATATTGTATGAACGAATTATTCAAATTTCGATTGTACATGATATGAATGTTATCAGAAATATGAGGAGCGAGATTATGTTGTCATAACCAATGAAAACGTCGTATTCAGCTGCGGCGCTATAGCGGCTATAGCGATTATTATATCACTCACTATATCGATGCAAAATAATTGTTATTTCTACAAGTCAAAAGTGGAGGAGGGGTCAATTTTTGTTTACAAAATTATTAATATAATTATAAAATTACAGGTAATTTGATTGTTCGGTTTGCTTTTGTCGCGACAACTTCCGGTATAAATACGTCTATCGCGTATTATTATTGTATTGAGAAAATATATAATCTATACGAATAATTCATAGTATAAGTATATTATGTGGTAAATAAGAAAAATATTATTGAGGTTACATGATCAATGATTATTGATTAAAAAGCCATCCGTTGATGATACTTATAAGTTATTAGCTTATATATATTTAGCTATATTTAAATTAAAAAATCACAGAACTACTAGCTGCGGCAAGAGTTTCTAAGAAATGAAGAAATATGTAATAAGGTATGAGTACATTTGGTAGTTTTCAAGTCTGAACGAATATTTTTATGAAATAGAGTAAGATTTTCTTCAATCGTTTTCATGTCAAGGTTTTTGTTGAAGGTCAATAGTTAAAGACAAAGTGCGGAGCGTTAGTTATTTTGCGAAGTGTATTACTCATGAAAAGCTTGAATTTAGTTTAAAGCGAATTTATTTACAGGTCCCCGGAGCTGTAATACTGTTATTAAAATTAAACAAATTAAGTTTTGCAGAGTGTAGAAATTGCAGAGGTTTATAGCAGTATACGCAACAGAAAAAAAAAAATAACGACTACTCGATGATACCTCTACCGACTTTATAATATAATATTATTATCAAAACACTGCAGGGGCAGTGATTCACTTGGGATGGGAGGACACAGGAGGTACTGAGTACTTACCCTGTCTAATTTTTAAATTGTTCACATGTTTTACCGCATACTACTGTCTTTTTATGTATATATGTATATATTCGTACAAAGCACATTGCACTGGTATGCTGTTTCGACCAATAGAGACGGAAGGGAGTGGCAGCAAAATATTAAATACCTTACTGCGAAACTATAATATAATAAAATACAAAACTAATATTTCTCGAGAGGTAGAGGCTTGCAAACATTTTCTTCTTGGGTTTTTAAAATAATTTAAAAATACATTTCCCGTTAAATGAATAAATTATTTTACCGACAAAATCGGTAATATTTATTTTAATTTCTTACGGCGCACTGGCTAGAGTAGCTTAAATATTTTCAATATTATTATTTGATATAAAAAATACATACAAATTTGTTAATAATAATATTTTTTTGATGAATTTTATTATATTTTACACTAGTTTTCTAATTGTAACGCGGATTAAAATAATTTAAAATTAAATTGTTTAGTAATAGTTTGTTTAATAACTTTAGACTACTAGGTAACACATTTATTGGAACGTATTTAGAATGTCGACTGCGAATGTTGCGCTGCTAAGTTCTCGAGGGTCTTTAACTAGTTTACAAAGTTTACTCTTACAAAATTAAAGCCAAGTTGAACAGTTTTTAAAAAAAAAATTGAATTTTCAATTACGTTAGTTGTAACTAATTAACTTAACCGCGTATAGTTTAGGTTTTTAATTGAGTAAACTCAACTTTTTACAGTTAATTTTCTTAAACGTCCAGTCATTTTAGTGGTGTACTAAAAAATGTTCAATTGGAGGTAATATGAATAACAATAATGCTTCCTTTTATAAACATATAGGTATGGTACAAAATAAAGTTGCTTTCCACGTCTATATCTGTATATATCCGCTAACTCGTCCTAAACTACGAAATGGTTTTTGATGCGGTTTTCACCATAAGTTTCACGTTGTTCAAAAAAGGTCTATAACTAATGAAATTTACTTCTTATTTAATACTATCTCCTAAAATTTTTTTTTTAGGTACTTTCAATCCAAAGACCTAATTATTTTTGTTGATTTATGGGTTACTTTGGTAACATGGATTGAAAAAAAAAACTGTTATTAATTATTTTTTGACAAAATTGCTTTCCGCGTCTGTATATCCATAATTCATTATTTCGTTTAGATTTTTACTTTTAATCGTTATCCTTATTTTATCATTCAATTATGCCACGATGAGGCCGGTCGAATATAGGTGGTATTACCGGAGATACAATCAGAAAACCTTTACGTTTTAACGATGAAACCCAAGAAGAACAGGAAATCAGGCTATCTAATTCTATAGAACGACGTAATGATTTGAGTAGAAATAGAGAACGTAAAGTTCGTGATAGTCGTGATAGGGGTAGACAGATCACAGAGAGCTAGGAAATCGTCCGAACCCTCGGGAGCTACCATATTTACCATATTTTGACGAGAGAAATTCTTTATTTTTATGAACTGAAGGCTTCACATTTTCATTGTCCGATTTACTCGAGGAAGGGGGAGGGAGAATTATTTCATAAAACGTTTTAAATGTTTTTATTAACATATGAATACGGGTCAAGGTCAATCGCGTCCATTTAAAGGCGCTTGGAGACAATATTATATTTTATTTTATTATGTACGTTATATTAGTACCACACGGACTGGCGACAGGCCGCTATTAACCTTCCTTTCGACAATTATTATTACTATTTTTTTTTTTTTTTCAATATCGTACCATATTTTATACGAAAAACTCGTTCGGCACAAATAGCGAGTACATTTTGCTCTCGGACTTGTGGCAGATCGGTTCCGCCGGATAATAAAAATGTTTTATAATAATATACGCGTACCCGACTCCAGAGAGGCCTTCAGTTCACGTTCAACGACCATCGCGCATAATATGATCACAATAATCGGTTCGGTGTGTGCACACCACTATATATTATAATGTCATTTTTCGAAAACACGATTATCGACTTGAGAAGAGAGCACACTACTGCTATACTTACTGTATGTAATACAGTTCAGTCGCATTCCGAACGTGACGAATCGGTCGTGATAAAACACCTTATAATTACATGTCCCCAGTCCCCCATTCCCATCGCCAACAAATTTTACCAAAATGTTTGTGCAAATATTTTGTACGGATTTTTATAACCATTATCAGAATTTTTACGACAGCAGTTTTAAAGTATTAGCAAAAACAAAGATGGGGAGGAGAGGACTGAGAACATATTATGTCATCATGGAAGTATCTGAGTTATAGTTATTTTTTTGATATCAGATTTTAACACTTAACTACTTTATTTATAGCCGAGTTCATATGGATGAAAAATTATGATAATTATAATACGAGCAAACGCTATATATAATATATTTACAGGTTGTTCCATTTAAGTGGGTACACTTCTACATCTTGAAAAGTATTAACTCTTTCCGAATTTTTTTTTTATAAAACAGCTCTACAATTTTACATTCATATTATTTTTTGTCACCCTTATTTTTGGGGCGTAAAACCATTGCCTACTTTTGATTTTCAAATAGCAACCTATATTAAAAGTGTCATAAACAGATAGAGTTTATGTGGTGGAACGGAGTGCAGTGTTTTAATAATGTTTCACTACTTTTTACCGACCCAAAATTAAAAGTGAAATATCTCGTCAACGGATTAACCGAAATCAAAAATTTCAACATCAAAATTTATTTTAACTTATACTCTATATATGTATGGAATTTTTAATATAGCTTTTCATTTGAAATTCAAAAGTAGGTAGTGGTTTTACCTCCAAAAATAAGGGTGACAAAAAATTTTATAAACGTAAAATTTTAGAACTGCTTTTTTATTAAATGTTCTAAAATACAAATGCCATACAGAGTTAATACTTTCCGAGATAATGAGTGCCTACTTACTTAAATAGAACACCCTGTATATCACGTTTGAACTTTTAATTTCGAACATAGCTATGGGATTTTTCTAAAAGTTAGTATTTAAGGACTAGGCCACTAGGGACATACTGATTTCGTTGGACACAGTCTCTTTTTGAAGAAAATTCAGTAAGGGTTGAAAGAGAGTGCCTAAATTACGCATTTTCGTGTACCGTTGGGAACATTCTGATTATCACCATGCAGTAACATTAATAATATCTATGGCGATGACACCGTTAACAACGGGTTTTTGTCCTTTCATTAATAGTACTTACCTATTTAATGAAACAGTTATAAATTTTAAAGTGATTGTAAAGTCTTTTTATTCTGTAAAACCTACAACACACAAAAAATGTTGTAGAAAAAGATTTTATTTGATATTTTAAGGGAATTAATTAAAAACTTTAAAAACAAAAAATTGTTAATGATATTTTAGTATTATTTTTTTCTAGATTCTGAGCACAGCAGGTGATTGTATCAGCCTTTGTTGATTACTATTGGTTTTCCAAAAAAATCACTTATGTGCTAAAATCTATAAATATTAAATAATCGAGAGGGGGGGCTGTTTATTTTAAAACATAAAATTTCCTCTACGCAAAGTAACTGGATTCAAAATTGTAAACAAAATAAAATAAAATATTTCCCGTAAAGTTTTTTTAATTGGAGGGAATTTTCTAATTGAAAATAATATTTTGTTCAGAGACTACAGACAAAAAAAATAAAAATAAATTGTAAAACAGGAACGTGAGGACATATTGTTCCTCACTCCTGAACCTAACAATAGACTAGAACAACTTTTCTATCAGAAATTTTGCTACGATTTACAATGATAGCATTTTTTGGAAAAAACATGGGAAAATGGGGAAAAGGTACAATAATAAACAAATATTATTAAAGAAAATATATGTATATGTAATTATTTTACCATAATATTACATATATATTGTTGACAATGCAACACTATTAACCGAACTCCACTCAGAATCGTTTTCTCGTTAGCTGCAATTGTACCTTACGCACGGATTTAACTTAAAGTACTAGATATCCTGAATCTTCCCTTCTAACTTTCCTCTTAAAACAGTGGTACACCCATCAACAATATTAGCTTTTTTTCTTTTACTTAATTAATTACCATCCGCGTCCATATTATATTATATGTTTGTCAAAATTGTCGGTCAGCCGTGTTGTTTTTGTTCACCCGTGACACGAAACGCACGAAACGGAACGCCAGCCACCAATTAAAAAAAAAAAAAAAAAACCGGTTATTAGCAACCGTTCGTGATGTTACGGAGGATGTCCCGTCATAATATAATAATGGGATAATATTATTATGGTGAAGGTAAACTTGATGCAGGTCAGGGGCACCATTGCTGCAGCTGATAGTTATTATTGTGACTTTGGCCCAGTGTTGCCGAGAACAAATTTATAATAATATAATACCTAGATATCTGATCAATTGAATGGTGGTTTGCCGCGTTTTGATCGCCTATTTTACCTCTAGACACCTTGGCAACAAACTGTATGGACTCTAATAATAAAGAGCAAAAGAAAAAAAAAATACATAATGTTCGTTTAAAAAAAAAAATTAATTATAATTTTCATCCGCAGTAATCTCTTCGAACGTCTCCGACCACGGATGACGGGCGTAAAATAAATAAAAGTTCTCTCCGATCGTAATCCTCTGGAAATCACGTAAGACACTCTCGGCAAACCACACCTAATCGCAACGTCGCGCGTCGAGGAGAATTATTAATTGTAGGTAGGCATGAGATAAGAACGTTCGTCTATAGTAGGAAATCCTGAATGGGTAGGGGACAAAATATTACGCATTAAGTAGATATTTATAATTATTATATGAGTATCTATCGAAATTATAAGTTTAAAAAAATTAAAATTAAAATGGTTCAACGATGCAAACTAGCGAAAGAATTGTGGAATATGTATATAGCTATATTATTATAGTCGAATTAGGTGAGTCCGAAAAAGTGGAAAAAAGCGGCCGGTAAGGTTGTTGATAAAAAGGTGCCGTATTTATGGGCATGTTTAAAGAAGAATATATTAATGATAAGGTCATCAAGAAGATAGTGGATTCGCGTTAGACTAAAGCCGGGGAAGAAATTAGATTGAAGAAAAAGTGACTGTATCTCTATTAGGGGTGACAATTGAGAGCACGTAGAGTACATAAAAAAATGATGATATATAATATACATATAATTTTCTCATAAACAGTGTATATAAATGACCTAATCTTCATGGGTGACATGAGAAACATTTAGACGATTTTAAAAGGGAGATTTTAAGCAAGAGAACTAAAGAGAGACCTAGGATTATATCCTCCAAAGGATTATGTCACAAATTAGTTATAAGAACTACAATAGAAACTAAAGGAAACTGCTAAGGGTCGGTTTATTTGGTTTCAATAACAATGACAAGGTTTAACTTTTAAAGGAAGAAAGTGACGGATATAGGCTAAACTATCTCGCGTAAAAATAAAAGACAGAAAAAACATTTTTTGATTACTCAAAATGTTATGTTCTGAGAATTTTTAATTCTCTCCTCTTTTTGATAATAGAGTTGCGTGGACTTTTCGTCACTGTTTTCAAACCCGAAAAGTTACGTTTTCCTTGACATTTTTTGTTTTTGTATTATTATTATTTATTTATCAATAGTAAACCAATACTATTGTGCAGTAATACCAACGCAATAGTAATCATCCACAGAGGGTTATGCCGCAATAAATTATAATAAAATAATAACTGTGGCAATATAATATTGAAAACAGACGGATTTTTAGGGCACCGGGTTAGGTCGGTTAGTTAACATTTAACGCTTCCGATTGTGTTAACCGTATATTACGTATAGGTATCATATAGGTAAAGTATATACAGAATGTCACGGTTAGAAAAAACTAAAAACAAAAAAACCAACGTTGTAATCCGTAATGACAAGGCGTCTATTCCGGTGTGTGGTGCTAACATAATACGTTTTTTGCCCAGTCAGATTTCTACATGACGAAACTTACCTATAATAATATGTAATAATAAATTTTGCAATAAATTTTTGTTCGCCCCATTATAGCCACTTGCTTTCAAATCGGGTGTTGTCTCGCGCGTCGAAAAACTCGATTAACTATATGAATACACGTGTTTGGAGAATATCGAATTATTATACGTCTATATTATTAACATCCTAAAAAACAAAACCTATCTAAATTATGACGATGGAAAAAACTTTTAAGCGATTTTTGGGGAACGGAGTCGACGGAAATTAACCGTAATCCACGGATCCAGGATCGAATTGCAGTCAAAGTCTGAATGAAGTTTACACCTACTCTGGATAGAACCCTTTTAGTAATTGAAAAACAAAAAAAAACCTCAAGAGGTCGAATTTTTAAAAATGTCAATAAATGCTTTAAATAACTACCATCGAGTGAAATATACGAATTTCTTAAGAGACGACATAAACAAAATGAAGCTTTTTACTAATCAAAAAAGTGTTTTGTAAGAATAAAAAACACGTCTTTGTAAATCTAATATCTATAGTTTTTTCGTAACACTCAGAATCTAAAAAAAAAAATTAAAAATAAAAGAGATGGACTGTTGTGATTTGTGATCCCTTCGTCCATCGGTCTGGGTTTCAGCCTCTCTAGCCCTCCCCCTTAACCCAGTTCTATGCAGACATTTTGGAGATTTGTCCCCGAAAATTGTTTCTTTAAAATTGTGACTGTATTATAATAAAATCATTTTACTATCCTTATAATTTTTTTTTAAAAAAAAGGATCGTTTACAAAACTGAAAGAAATATTATGACTCATCGATAATTAGTAAAACTATATGTTTTACGTACTAACTATTGTAAACAGGAAGTTGGTAAGATAAATGGATAATTTAGTTTATATCGTTGTAAATAAAAAACGATTTTGGGTGGAGCTCAGTGACCTTGACTATAAGATTAAAGTTGTTTTTTCTCCGTGTAATCAAGAAATCTCAAAAATCAACAATTAAAAAAAAATTAATTATGAAAAATTTAGCTTCGAGATGTTTTGCAATCTGGTCGGATGCATCTGTCTATACGTTCGGAATGTTTTATTTTTGCATGCCATATCGTCATTGACTATTTTTTCATACCGTGCCATTTGTTGTCGGTTTTTCCTTATATATTATTAAAAAAATAATAATAATAATAATAAAAGACAAAAGTAGGTATTATAAATTTAAATTGGATGAAAAATATATTTTATCAGAAACCTCTGTCGATATTATTACTATTTTTTTTTTTTTTTTTTTATTGGAGCAAGTAGTATCTTCTGATCGAAATTACTTTAACAGACGGCTAACACCCACACAATCACATCATATTATATACATATATAATAGTAAAATCAATACATTCCTTCGAGCTCCGTTTAGAATCTAAAAACGTCGGACACAAATTGTTATTATCTAATACCCGACAAAGTCTTACGGTAAGTCGGTAACCTTATTTGAAAACAATATCTCATATATTAGAGGAATAATAATGTATAAACAATAATATAACAACTCTTAAAAAAAAAAAAAAAAAAAAAAAAAAAAAAAACAGAAAAAATAAGACCGATTCATAAATAAAAGCTAATTTATTGTAAAACAACGTAAAGGATAATATAAGAATGGAATATTGGCCATTTTTAAATCGCATAATATACGTAATTGTTTTGAGATGTATGTTGAGCAACCATGTGTTAGCTAAACAATATAATTACTTAATAAAAATAGGACGAGGGATTCTTCGGTCTATAATATCGAACTGGGTTACCTTCCTCTTGATGGTCGGAGGGTTTTGTAATCAAAAATCCAAGAATGGTGACGAGACCGATGATAAATTAGAGATTAAGATGTTTTACATTGCCGACAATGTTCGAACGCCACACAAGAGGGGTGGGAGAGTTCAAATTGTACAATGAGTATAAATCATAATATTTCAAATAATAATTTTAATAATTTGACAAGAAAATTAATTTTAACCACGCTAATGGTTAAAATCATTGTCAGTCCTAAGCCTGTAAGTGGGAAGGGAATTGAATTTCTTTAAAACCATTTAATTTAGTTAAAAAGTGCAATTCGACCATCCCGATAAAGGAATATACCATCCCTGATGTAAGTGTTCTCACGCGTACCGTGTAATATGTAATCATAATACGTACATCTATGTAGATTATATTCTCAATTACAGTTATTTCGTGGCTCGACGGCCAGAATTTAAAATCAAAGAAATTATAAAAAAAAAAAAATTAACCACAGTTTTGAAACGCACGCGCGTACTCCTGATTAAATTTCTTCCACTTTTGCGGGTTTATAATTAACACGGATTCGTTCAAGGGTAATCAAGAAACTATTAGGTATACGCAACAATAAACAATATGTAACTCGCAGCATAATATACCACGTCTAAATTGTAAGTGGGTACATAAAAAATAGAATAAATATGATAACGAATTCTACCGGGTGTGCCCGCCGCCAGTTTACCTTCCGCGCAATTAAAGCGACCGGACGAAAGCGTCTAGTGTTCGCGCGCCTAACATTTATAATATATTATGTAAAAAATATTCTCGTGGTAACATAAAACGATCGTAATTTATTTTTACACCGCCGGATTTGTCGAGACATAACAATATGCTTTGAAAAAGCCCGGCATCCTTCGCCCCCAATAAGAGTAGAGGAATATCCGGTGTAAACGATTTATAAGGTATACGAATAAAAACAATTCTGAGTGGAGCTCGGTCAACCTGGTACGGTCGTGACTGTTTTTTCCTCCATAAAACCGAAAAATCCAACGTTTTCCAGTGTGCGGAACCGTATAATAGAAATTTAAATTTTATTTTCGAACCCCTACAGCTTCAATATTTCAGATCTAAAGATGTTGTCCGCATATAACCGGTGTGCCGTCGTTTTTAACGATATTATTTTTTTCAAACTATTGCTTGGAAAAATTTTTATTGGCAATATAATATATAGAAAAATATTTCAAATTTATACACCACCGAGCGGAAAATCCTCGTTTTTCGGTGTGAAAGTTTTCGAACACATTTTTACTAACCGAAAAAAAGTGTTTTCCGAGAGACAAAAAACTGCACATCTCGGTCAAGCTAATAGCTTTTTCGCTCAACACTCGTATATATAATGTATATATAATATATATATATACATTTTTTTTTGCAAACGTGTCTTTTTCTAAACGTGACGTTTTTATAAATTTCTCATAACCCTCACGATTTCATATTTTCTTTTCTTTTTTTTTTGTATTTTTACTATATACGCAGCACTAACCGACTATAATATCTAAACCAATATTTTCTATAAGTAAAATACTCGATAAACAGTGTTGAAACTTATCTAGATAAACGTTTGATTATTTTATATTTCATTTAGAGTAATATTGCCAGGTTATCTAAATATTTAAAAATGTCACTTGTCTAGTTAAATTATTGTGTATCAATGTACTTTTTTCAAGACTTGACATTTACAAAATGAAAACTTAATATTAAGTACCAAAATTAAGTTACTTATAAGTTTTAACTTTATTATATACCGATTCCAAGATCAGATTTGCGGAAATTTTTCATTCAGAATTTAAACAAAACTGTTTTATACAAGTAAGTTAATTGAACTCCATAACAGTTCATAACGTTAGTTTGAACATTTCCATACTTTTATACTTAGCTGGTACAATTTTAAAATATTCTTATTGGTATCTGTTTTTATCTAGATAAAATATGATTGTATTTTATCTGTTATATGGATAATTTCAGTTCATCATTTATCTGTATATAAAGATGTTTAACGTTTTATCTTTATCTTTATCTGGATCAATTTTTATTATATCTGTGTCTCAACACTGTCGACGAATATTTATTACAACGTGAAACAGCGAATAAGGCCTACCATAGGTATTATAACCGGAACCTATATCTATATTAAATTCATCGATAACTGCGGTAAATTATTTTTTTTCTAAATCTGTACGATACCGGGGACACAGACAAAAGCAAAAGTCTCCCGCGGTGCCGTCCGACTGTATAACCACTTTTACTCGGCCAAGGACGCATAATGCGACTCGATGTCTGATGAGACATCACATTTATGATCTTCGTAATCCGTATTATACGACTAAGAAAATAAAAAACAATACAAGATCCCCGTCGTTGGTGGTACAGATTAGATTATAATACAATTTCGATTTTCGAAGAACTTCTTTTGCCGTGAAACTTATGATTTTTTTTACGTCTTATTCGGTGGTCCAGATAAAACAGCTATCAACGACCTTTCAATGTTCATACAACGTCAAGTTATTTTTATAAATTATAGTCCCGTCCCCTCCCCCCATCTCACAATCCAACTATAATATATTGTTATTACACGTCACCTATGTAATCTTAAAACGTCGTGGCGGAGTCGTGTCATTTTAGGACTTACTCGGTCTCGGCCGCCGATCGCTTTACAGATATGATATGAGATCCTTCAAATTTATTATTATCATTATATTAGTCAAACTCGAGTAGTTTTTTCTCCACCCTCCCGTTTTGCAGATAAAAATTATTTTCGAGACTATAAGTGGTCCACGAAAAAAATGCACAAAGGTTTTTGTTAACGGCACGCTATTTTTCAGCCCCTTGGATGTCCGTTTTAGACGCATTTCTCTTTTTTTGAATTTTCCCCGAAAACTTACACTACAACACTGTATTGTGTCTAATATATAAATATATATATATTATTTTTCAGTTACTTTTGGCCACTTAAGTTATTCCTTCTGGATCAGATGAGGTCAAACTCGGGAATTAAAGTTGTTTTATCGAATAGCTGAAGTAATACCGTTTTGGTTGAATTTCAGTATGAATTTCACCATGTCACTGAGAAGACTTTTTAGCTTTGAATATCTCGACAGATCCACCAAATGATGACATTTTGTATATGAATAGTGTATACCTACCTAAGTATCAAAGGCTTTTGGAAATTTCAACTCTCAATCCTCTCCCAAATAATTTTTATGATCAAATCTCATGTTCTCACATGAAATACCAGATTTCGAATACCCATAAAATGTAATTAAACTCTGGTGACTACGAAGAAAAAAAAAAGGAAATATTGTAACGGCAACATGTTGACTGAGAACAATTTTACTCATGTGACAGAGTGACAGGAAGTTCACGGGTGTTTTTTTGTTTTCTGTAGTTGAGACTCGATTACCTGGGAGATTCGATTTACGGACTGTGTTTTTTCCGCAGTGATTATATTACTTTTATGATCGAGGTGATCGCGAACCAATGGCAACTATAGTATTGATTGTATAGGAAACGTCTGGATTCATCATCCACGCACATCATTAAAATTCCAATAAAACCGACGTGAGACGAACCGATAATAATGTTATTAATCTCATTGCAGTCGTATAATTGAAATTTCGTATTCCAAACATTCAGTCGCGCGCACAAACCACGGCAAGGCCGCCGTCGCGTCGTCAGCGGCGGTTGGCCGTGATTTTCCAGACTTGTTACAGACAAAACGCGGATAACGGCTCTTTTTTCTATTTTCTTCCTCCATTATAGTTCTTGTTAATGCTGAGATTATCTCGATAAACGAGATTTACGATTTACAATTTAAGATGGCGAATGAATCGTATTGATAAGTATCCAAAACAACGATCTGAGGGGGCCTCAAAAATGTTTTATTACAACACAAATACAATCAAAATATAATATAATACATTATTTATGTTACTTTCTCAAAGAAAAATCGGAGAAATAATATATCTGGAGGAGGCGTGGGCCCCTTAGCCCCCCCGGACTCGTCCCTGATAAGTATAACCCTATATAGAGTAGCTCCGTTATAGACTATCTCGTCGTCACCGAGCTCATTTGCTTTGTATCGCGAATAACTATTATATACTATTTATACTAAATGATAAGAGGTACTTATGATGTAGTTTCAAAACAGCATTTTATTATTGTACGAACAAGTGGTTTCTAGCATGAGTTTCCGTTGAATGACAAAACGTCTATGACGTATGTCGGCGTATATTTTCATACTAAGTGAAAATAAAAAAAAAAACTAAAAAAGAAAAAAAAATTGAGACGAAATATTGTGGTACTCCTTTGACTTGCGGCTCGGAGCTACAGTTCTACCCCTCTCCCCCCCCTCTTTTTTATCCTGTCTTATCCCGAGTACTGGTGAACACTGGCTCTTTCATACGAAACTCAACGCGATATTATATTATTAAATTCCTATAGATACACTTACATACATACATACATACATACATACATATATATGTATACTATTGTTAACAATGCTTCTCGGTTTTGTGTATTACATGCGTATATATTTCAACACGATACAATGACGTAATTTCCTGTATAGCGCACGAGGCAAACTTTTGGACACAGATGATATTAATATATATTTGTACCGACGCGTTTGTGTTTACATGCGATCGAACGTCACCGGTGTTATGTGCGCGCAGCGAAGGGCTCTGATTATATTATCACAATATACGCGGTTCGGTCACGCGTAAAAACCAATATTTTCCCCTCAGACGGCGGTGGCCAACATAGGTATTATTATTATTATTATTATTATTATTACGGTCGTATGTTATTATGTTCGCGAGCTCGCCTTTAAAAAAAAAAATCCGTATATTATAACGTCTATTTTTCTACAGTTTGATATAATAGGCGGGGTGCAGTGCGAACGGGTTTATTAGATTCTGAGCGAAGCGATGAACGTATTGGTTTCGCTATGATGTGTTTTTTTTTTTTTTGTCTGTTAACAACTTTACTGTACCAAAAATCTGGCTCCGGTCGAAAACTTGAAATTGGAACTTTCTTATGGCATTGTTACATTGATACATTTGGTACATTTCGAGGGTCATTTTCTTGATTTTTGCAGTTTTCTAAATAAATCGGAAAATCACGCAATTTTTGTTAATTTCCAGGTTACCACCTTAGCATCGTGTGAAAAAATATGACTAATAATTCTCTGTTCAGAATCGTTCTTCGCTATCAATGATTTATCATTGCACCCAGATGTAAATTGAATTATCTTATTATATTAGTTATATATTAAAATATCCCATTCCAACTTCTGTATAGTGGCACATTTTGAATACCTTTCAATAGTATCTGCTTTAATTTTTTTTTTTTTTTTTCATTATTCGTTATTGGCGAGTATTTAATTTTAACAAAAAAAAACCGACATCAACGTGTGGCCTTCTATTACAGCCAGTATCGTTTAATTAATTCGAATGTTATTTTCGCGCGTGTATTTCTATACACGTTGTTGTCATTTAATTTGTTTTCGTCGGTTTGTGAAAACTCGAGGTTGTTAAAAAACCGACCTGAAAAATCTACGGTAGATATGTATGTTCGCAGAATACAGAGCTTTTCGACAATTTTCACTAACCCAAAATTATACGCATGCAATTTAACGAGTAAATAAATAAAAACATTTAACATAGTTCGGAATCCTGCAAAAAATATACCGATATAAAAAAAAAATTGTTATTGGCAGACACATTCCGCGGCGTGGCACCTTCGCGTACCTATTACTATTATTTTAGTCGAAACAGCTGATGAAACATCTCATGCAGTTACGATGTCTTCCGGTCGACAACAAACACTTCGTGTCGTAGATGTGCCACTGTTTTAGATTGGGAGTTGGGAGTATAGAATATAATATTATAGTGTTTATAAAAAGGTGGACATACTTTGCACGATGGGTGAGCCACTTTTTTATATGAGAAGTTGGGATGGAGGATGGATTTAGTTTATATCTGTAGGCAACGATAAACCATTACTAACGAAAAACGATTCAAAGCTATGTTTTTTTTTTATATGTGTACGTACATTTTCCAGCGTTTTCTGAGTTTTTCCCAATTATTACGAAAATCGCTAAGAAAATCAATAAATTACCTAAAGCACCACTCAGATAAAAATATCCTCTTAGAAAAAATACTACGCTATGAAAATCGGAACAAGATTAATAGTAGTTCACAGATAAAAAATACATATTATTATAAAACCAATACATTCCTTACTGCGTTCCGAATTTAAAATTTCGTAAATATGCGGTAAAAACTCCTAATATAAAAATAAAACAAATTTAATTTAATAAAATAATAAAGTAAAACAAAATTATTAAAATTTTTAATACTCGTATATAAATATATAAATAAAAATTTACATTTTGACTGTGGTCTACCTGATGATGAATTTTTAATTCGAAACCGGTCGTATAATGCACTCATCATAATACTTCAAGCGACGCATTTATTTATTTATTTATTTTTATTTCTATGTGCGCATTTTTTATCTACATAATTATTTACTATATTCAAATTATATTTGTAATTTATTTTTAAAAATACTAGTACGTGGGTATAGTATTTTTCGAGATTTCAGACAAAATTTGCGTGCTTAAAATTGCACAGAAATGTCTGTATAGTTGCAATACAAATTCTACAATCGTATTTGTATTATTTTTCGTGGAAATGGTAATAAAATCTCGACCCCCTCCCACTGATTACACTACTGCCTGCATCATTCAGACCATAACTATACAAACCTGTTCCCGCCGAAAACCCCTACGGTCTAAACATTTGGAACGCTGGAGTCCCTGCAGAAAAATGACGATGAATTGCGTTCAGACGTAGGTGATACGGTGCTGTAATAATTTATGCGTGCGTTGGCGTTACGGCGTAGTAGAACAAAAAAATACTGAAGAAACGACGACTATTCGTCTACGCGTGTATTGCGTTCCGGTCAAGTATACATAGATTTTCTATTATCCCCACCCTCGCCGAAGCAAGGATAACGCGAGACTAGGGGACGCGGGAACTTTTATTCGTTTCCATTTACATTCTGACAGAAACACAAAACAACAGCGCTCACCGGACGTCTTCGCGAGTAAACATATAAGAAACTGCGCGCAATAAACTTTAGAATAAACAATAATAATGTCGTCATGTCCTTTGAAATGGTTTTTGTAACCCTACCTCCCCCCCCATCTCTGTTTCCGAAAGGAACGGACCGAGGAAAAATCAAAGATGTTGTATTTATTCAATAATAATAAAATATTTGCGAGTATTATTATGTTCCGTATGTACGCCGCTAATAAATAATTGTGCATGCATAATATAGGTACGGCGAACGGCGCGTCCAATTATTATTTATTATTATTATTATTATCATTCACATTGATTTACTAGCTTCATTAAAATACAATACCGACGATAGAATAAAGTACTTTATATTAATTTATCGCGTTAGTTGAAAAGTGTTATTTTTTTATATAATAAATTATCCTCCCGAGAACGTTCGAGCTCCCGGTTTTTCGCCATCGTATCCGTTGCACGTTATCCAAAGTGGGAACTGTGGTCCGATTTCGATAATTTTCTTATTTTCTCCTTACCGCGTGTGTGGGATATGGATTTTGAAAATTATATATCTAATACTATAATTTGAGTTTGTATGCGACATATTTTTAAAACTCATTTTTTCGTGTGGTAGTTTTTGGTTACATAATTAAAATTCAAAGTCCATTGCGTCCTGTAGGAACTTTCTAACAAAAAAAAGCAGACGTCTCTACGAGACAGGAGCGTTAACCCTGTAAAATATGTTGTCGAAAAACCGTTTGTGCAAAAAATTCTTCAATACAAAAATTAAAACTGAATGACTGTTTTATAAAACTTATTAGACATTTTAATTATAAATGCTACCTCATTTACAATATTTGTCTACTACAATAAATATATTTCAATATCTTAAAATCATTTCCATTCAAAATATACGTATAGGTAGTATTGATTTATTTTTAAAAAAAAATATGTATATTTTTACATTTTAATAATTTTGGATAATTAGGTAATGATGACAGTATCTCGTTTTCTATTTCTGACATACCTATTTGGTTCCCTGTGTAATATATTGATACTCTCTCACCTTGAATTTTCAGAATATTCACACACGAGTTACCACTGATACCGATAATTCTTTTTTTTGTTTTATGAAACACGCATACGCAGTATAGTGATTTAGACAATAATCAGTTCTACTAGTAATTCATGATCACGAAATCAGAAATTAAACGCTAGGCGTTAATTATCGTCAGTTTCTGATCGACGCGCAGTAAAGTGATTAGAATTCCGAAAAAAGATTTGAGTTCAGCGCGAAGTGTAAACGAGATTGGTAAAGTCACTTTTCCAATCTTTAATTTTAAAGAATTTTTTTTTTTTTAATATGTGTAAAAAAAAACCTAAAATTAAAATAAATGCCTGTATAAATTGTTATTACCTAACTCTGAGTTGCTCATAGTGCCTAAATGATTTTATTTCATACATTTATTTGGTGAACAAATCCGGCAACGTAAACTCGGTAACCTACAACTACCGCCGCGGTTTTTCGTCTACGGATGGATTATTAATTATTTTTTTTTTTTTCTACTTTACATCTGTTCCCCGAATTCTGTATAATAGACAAAAATCTCCGGAAACAAAGAACAAAGTTCGTTTTTCTCAGTGGTGAGACTATAATATATTATAGTCCGTTTTAAGAATAAAGCATTTTTATAACTGGTAATAAATAATAATATAATAATCGAGAGCGCATAATAGGCATTGTGTTTTCTGCGAATCGATTGTTTTTAATTAACGTTCGATTGGGTAGGCAACTGCAAAGACCCAGATAATAAGAGAGTGGCCAACTGATTAGATAGTAGCCATTCATCGTCCACCCGTAGATAATATTAACACAAATACTAAGTATTTGTACGTTGGTATTAAAAATAATTAGCAGGAGTTTCATAAAATGTACACTATTATTTATTCGTTTATTCGATTAATCATATTTATGTATTACATTCTATGTACACGTTTTAAATTTTAATTTATACCATAAACATATATTATGGAGAATATCTGGACGACAAATGGCGTCCATGATAGTCAGTGATAACAGTGAAACTAATAGATAATATTCATCGGGTAGGCCTCAGAGACGATAAAGGAATGGATAGAAAATAGCTTAGCATTGTTAGTTCTTGAATGATAAGAAACTGGGGCGATTTTTTTTCTATTTACGGTACAAATATTTTGTGTTCAAATTTGACCGCAGAAGTTAAAAATAAATGATAATTTAAATATTATAATTTTAGCACAGAGTAGATTAATCTATTTTATAATCCTAGGAAAGTAACTTTATTAACCACGGAGGCGGTATGGTTAATTGGTATGATAATTGACCTCAATTGACTGCCATTCCAGGAACCGAGTCCCTCTTGATAGTTATTATACAGCTATAATATAGATATTTAGTATGGGCATGCCTTATCGATTTCCTTATCATCTATGGTCGGTCACTCTCTTACTATCTTAAGTTCCTTTAAGTATGCGTATATTATTGGTTATGCAAATAGATATTATGTATCTACACGAATGATAGGTACCTGTTCTTATAGATTACACTTTAATGCGTATTATGCACAGAGACCATGTCGTTATTTTAATATTTCAGTTGAATTGAATAGATAGTAAAATTATTATTTTGTAAACGCACTGATTTTGCAATCGTCGCAATCGTTTAAGGAAGTCGATCCATCATTGTAGAATTCTATGTACACTACTTAGATAATATTATACTTATCTCAAAAATATTATTGTTTTTTTCTCCGTAAACGTATTCTCCGATTTTAATAATAATTCATATTTCTATATACGCAACTGTACATTATACGCGATAAACTAGATCAAGTTGGTTTCTTTGTTTCTTAGCAAATTTCAATTATAATACAAATTAATTAATATCTCGCAATTTTGTGCACGTCAATTAACAACAAGCATACACCTACTTGTTTGTTAAAACTGAAACTATATTATTATTATATTATAATACTTATAAACAAATAAATTGATTGAAAATGATTAATATTGGCAATTATTATAAATGTATAGATTATACTGTTATAAATATTATTTAACTATAATTGCAATAATACAATTTTTACACTATTTATCGGGGGGGGGGGTCTCTTTTTATGTATATTTTTCAATAAAACCCGTCACGCCGTGTTTTGTTTTTTTTTTGCTACAGATTTCCTGTTGGGAGCCGTGACTCGTCCCGTGATGACTCCGCTGAGCGATCGTGTATTGAATTTCGTGACAGAACATATGGCCTATTTCCCTACCTTGATTCCTTGCTAGATTTAAGCGAGGAACCAATCAGAGAATAGAGTGTTATGTTATGTTATGTTATATGTTAGTTTGTGTGCAAATTAGAAAACCAGTTCGACAACAATCCTCGTGCGACGTTAACGTAATCACGCAAGCGAGCCATCGCGGTTTTCTGCAAGCAGGCGATCTAGCAATAACAAGCGTCGTGTGCACCGGACTTAACAGAACAAAACTATTGAGGTCTTTATAAATGATACACGAAATTTGGTAGATTATCCTGCGTAAATTATTTTTTCTCTCTAAATTCGATGCAGTTTCTCACGTGCAAAAATTTGTTTTGGAAATAAAATTAGAATACATGGGCCGCCAGTTGCTCATATTACCTACAGAATTGTATAGAATATTAATAGACATGTTTAAAATGCAACTAAATAATATAGACTATCTAGTTAATAAAAAGGGTTTTATAAAAGTGATATAAAAATTCAATTAATATTTACTTAACTACAAAAATGGAATAGATTAGTTACGAATACAATTGTTGGTATACGCATAGATGTATTATTTCCTTTATGTTTCTATTGTTAGTTTGTTACTAATATTGTATAAATACATGAACTAAATGTAACAATTGCATACTTGATTTACTTTTAGAACTGGCTGTGTTAAACCAACATAATTATTATTTATATTTATTCTAAAACGAAATAAGAGCTTTTAGTGATCAATAATTAAATTAATTTTGTTTGTTTCATTCTTGAGTTAAAATCGTTTTACAAAGGATAGAAAAAGAATAGCGTAGTCCACTCATCATAAGTATTTTTTGAGCTGTTGCAGTCTTGAACTGGATAGTCAATATTATATGCGATAAGTGTATAATGTTTATCGAGTTATTCGATAAAATGTATGTTTTCGACATAGTATTTTCGTGGAAGATATTCATTAGAAAAAAAAAAAATCTTATCGGTACTTATCAAGTAAAAACTGTACAACTACATTAACAATGATGTAATGCACTCAGAAAAAAAAAACTATAAATAAAAAATTTAAACTGAATTTAATGGGAAACGACATTGAAACAAATAATTTCTATACGGACTATTGCATAAACTTACACGAGTTACAAATTAATACTTCCAAGTTTACGCGGCAACCCCAAGTATCGCCAGTATGCGATCGATTGTCGAAATAGTCAATATTGTCTATGAAGGTATACGTAGAATTGTTATTTTGTTTTTGTTATCATTTTCGTACAATTATTGTTATGGAAATATTATTATCTAGGTATGTGATTATATTTCCATTAAGGCTTTTTGAACGTCGCCGTCGGCATAAACATGGCAGGTTGCAAGTACCTAATTATTACTTACGACAAACAATAAACACATAGATACACATGTCGTAAGTTTGTTAGATAATTATTATATTATAAACTATCAGTCCTAAACGGTAATAAAAAATGATTAAAATTGTTTTTTTTTTTTTTTTTTTTAAATCCGCGATAACGAGGTAATAGATAAATAAACGAAATTTCGAATTATAAAACCAAAAATCAAGCGTCGTCCACTATTGAGGGGTCGGATTACGGAATAAAATGAATATAGTAAGCTAAATTATGCCTCGGAAAATATTCTCGCCGTGAAAGTCCCGTCAAAAACGGTTTAGGCCGTTTATAGAGATTACCCCGGACAAACAGACAGACAGACACTTCAATTTTATTTATATTTGTAGATATAATATAGCGTTTTTAATTTAATTGTAAATTATCCGCTATTACACGCGAACTCGCCTCTCGCACTATACTGTTGTGTACACTCATCGTAATTATTAATTAAGTCAGATCTGCGCATAAGTATATAGGCATAATATTATGTGTGCATGTGTTTGAGTATTGAGTGTTATACTAATTCGTTTTAAATATTCCATTTAGTTCATATTTATACACGGATTATGTAACTAAAAATAGTTGCTTGATTGGTAAGTAGGTACGTCTATTCTAATTCGAAATATAACCTGCAGCAATACAGGGCGTTCAAAACGTCTCTAAATTTTATAAACATTGTGTACATTCAGATAACGAAATAAGTAAAAGCCGATAATTTATAATTATTATAACAATACGCGACGAGTTCAACGTACAAATTAATATTTAAAAAAACCATTGATATAATAATATTACAAAGATAAGTTAAAACTACGACATATAGTCGAGAAACAATGTATAAGCATATTGTATTATAAGTTATTATAATTCATAATATCTGAAATAGTCACAGATATTACTAAATTATCAATCTAATATACCATATTTTATATATATAATATAAATGCACTTAGCTTTTTAGGTATTATAATTAGACTGCAGTTGTGTATTTATTATTTTAATACGTATTTGTTAATCCATTATTATTATGCAACTGCTAGCCAAAAATAAAATTGGAGTTCTTAAACTAAAACTAATTATCGGATAGAATTTTAATTTTAAGTATAAACCTATTATTATTTTTACGTAGGTATTACTATTTTTTGCTTATTGTGTTTTACGCATTATTTTAGACTTGATTAATAAAAACATTCATGTTATTAGGAAGTAGTGGAAAAAGTCCCAACTATAAGTTTGTTTTTTCTTCCGAAGCTATACAAATTTAAATTTTTACTTCAACATAAAAAAGACTCCGTGACCTTGGATTGGAGTTTTATTTTCTTCAAAATCCATTTCAATGATCACGAAATGTATGGTAAAAACCTGCGGTATTGTTTTCTTGAAAATATTGCCAAAATCGAAAAAAGTTTCAAATCGAAAATGTTTGTCGTACAATTTTCTTCGAAAAATGTCTCTTGGCTTTTTTCGTTTAAACGTAAATATTCATCGTGAACTAGAACTAATACACGTGTGATTCATTATGTAATAAAATAGCAGTTTCCTAATCTTTAAACCATAATAAATATAATAAATATCTACATAACATTTTTATAATTTTAAACGCATTCGAATAAATATAATAGTTCAAAATCAAGTTTAAGTTGATAGATTTGTTTGTTATAAATAACTAGAACAATATTAAGTAAAACAAATACATGTATGTAAATATTTCATAAATACAGGTACGTATTTAAATAATAGTTATTATATTCCTTTGGGGAGGGGGGGGGGGTAACAACAAATTGTGAACAAATGAAAGACTGCAATATTATCAGGTAATGGGATTTTTTTTTTTAGTAAAACTCACGAGAATCACTGCCCATATTCACGATGATTAACTGTATTTTGTACAGTACAGCCAGCTGTATGTTAGGTAACCAAAATTTAATACCTACATAAATATCGATTTACCATTAACTACCATTATAATGTTGTGTATAGTTGTCCCTAATAACATCATCAGACTGATGCAGGTCACAAAAAGCATCACTATGGTATGTAACTATATAGACGAAAAGTATCATTTTGATTAATCTTAAACGGGATATTAACTATTATAAAAGACAAAAGTATTTACAAAGATAAATAAAACTAATTTTTTTCTTTAATGGTTTTGGTCGTTAAACGATAATATTATGTAAAACAAGATCAGTTTTATTTTATTATAAATATTATAGTATAAGATTATAATATATTCATCAAAAAATGATATTATTCGTGGGACCGGAGATATAACGGTGCTGGTTTTATGAGTGATACTCTGCAAATCCGGAAATTTAGATCAATAATTTAAGAATTCTACGGTAGTTTAATTTTAAACTCAGCAAATCATTTCTCGCCCGCCCCTGAATCTTAGATATAATCCAAAAGCGACCGCTTTTCAAAGACCGCGTTCGTTTCACCACTGGTCTTTGAAGTAATTTATTAACAATTAACTCATTAAACTATATTAATATAAATTAAATATTTTACTTGTACCTATTATTTCAAATAAGTTCAAAAATAATAATATGATTACATTTTTTCTAGATTTATCTAGACGGTTTATCTCAGATAATTAATTATCTTTCATGTATCTATAATAAAGAAATATACCCGTCTAGATAATTTATTTAGATATAACAAAACACTGATATACGCTCTTCCGTCGATTTTTGTTAACGCGGGCTCTGCGTATTTATCGTTCTGCGAGTATATTTATTTATATTCATCTACTGTTTGTAGTTTTTTTTTTCGCAATCGTTGCGTGCGGAAAACAGTATGATATTGTAGTTTGATTCTTTAAACAGTAATACGGTTGTTTCGGACGACCAATCTAAAATGCCGTTCTATTTGCACGGTATAATTATTATAGTAGGTATATTATACTATTCCGAATACTATTATTGATAACCGTTTCGATTTATGGTTATATTGACGCATTATTATTGCAATATAAATATTTGTGTACCGTAAATCGAGTTTCATTGATTTATTGGGGACATTTCCCCCCTCCCCCTCATAACCCGATCTTTGATTATTCGTGGTTCTATTCACCAAACCAGGAACCTCTATAGTTTTTATACTCTTTAAAAATGGTCAAATATCCTGCTTTTCGTATAAGCATTAATATAACATAACAACTGTTTAGTGTGGATAAGTTTTTAAAATTTTTGCTACATATACAATTAATAAATGTGTCATTTCTGTACTATAAAAATTCGTGATTTTATTTTATTTTAAAATGATTAAAACGCATTAAAACAATATAATTGTTTGAAATAAAATTGTTCAAATAGACAGATATTTGTAAGTGAATATTCTTTTTGACAGCTTTACGGCAACGTTTCTCAACCTCTCACCCTTATCCACGATAATCCGACACTGTGTCGCCCTACCATTAAAATATGCACAGTGCATTCAATTTCTAGGTTTAAACAATTTAAACTGTAAATTGTAGAAGAAAATTCTGATTTTATTAAAAAAAAAGATGAAAACTAATAATTACATTTGAATAAATAGAAATAATTTAATGATAACTACTTCGTGGTATGCCCGTTTTGTGTGTACAATTTGAGTATCAGCAGCAGTATTGTTAAAGAGTAAGTGAGGGAATATTATGTTGTTCAGATGGTGGTAATGGAGATGACAAGACTACATGTTAATGGAAGCTAAGACTTTTAATGCATATGGTACCTAGATCTTTTAGAGCTATAGAGCTAAAGAACTTGATGGGTGTATCGTTAATCATACAAGTAAAGAAAATGGGAGTTATGGCTTCGAGAGAATGATATAAACTCACAACTTCGACTATGCTTAATTATTAAACAATTGCAATAATCAATATCGCCAAAACTGTTTGTTTGCTAAACTAGTAACGAAGTTGCTCAAAACTGCATCGCCATAACATGCTTATTATTGTTAAATAATTACTCGACAAATCTAAATAAATCTAAGAAATTGTATAATCAATTTACACATATAACTAACAGTATATAGTAACAGTAAATTTATATAGTCACAAAATTTCTGCCATCTGGGATTATTGAGTTAAAAAAAAAATTGTTTATTTTAAACCAGGAGTGTTTATAATAACACGAGCTTATAGCTGCTGTATACGCTATATGCAGCGCAGTTATAATAGACGGAAATTATAACAAATATGTAATTTATTCTATACTAATTTCCTGCAAAATACCTGTGTATATATATATATATATATGTACCTACTATACTAATTAAATACTAATTACAATTTTACAGTCAGACGGGTTTTTTTATTTAACGACTGCTGCACTTTATCCGCGGTGCAGTCACTGTCAAAAACGTCTTATTGTCGTCGTCTGTCAACCGATATTATATTATTGTAATGGACGTTTTTAATTAACGCGTTTTTCGATAAAAGACAGATAATTCAAAATAAATTAAAACGCATACGTCATAAAGGTAGGCGTGGAAAAGAGGAAAAGGGTTACATCCCTCTTTCCATAACGGATTAAAAATGAAACAACTATAAATATTTAATTAGTACATTAAGTATAAAAATTATACATTTCAGCTGAGATCCTGAGAAAAAAATCGCTTGATTTATTGAATAGAAATTGGGTTTGGCGGGTCCGGCTTTTAAATTTTCATTGTCGAGTTAGGGAACAACAGAAGACGATTCTACGATTTATTCATGAAACGAAAATATTAATTTGCTGCGTACCCTCTCCCGTTGAAAATTCCTGGTCACGCCACTGCGTAAAGGTGATGTACGCGCGGAAATCGAATAATTTATAATGTATTAATATATTTTATGGTTGAAAAAAAAAATCAATAAAATTACGAATTTATTAAAGTATCAATTCTTTTCCGATTATCATTATATTTAATTCAAATAATTAAAAAAAAAAAAAATTATCGTTTTCCATTGTGTGGCGCAGATGCCCCGCCATCACCGCGAGCTTAAAGAGATTCCCGCGCATAATAATATTTAATAACATTCAATCGCCAAACACCGATCGGTTGTCAACCCTACAGGAGATAATAATATTATTCGTGATGTCTGTCAGTGTACCTGTGTACAGGCATTAGGTACAAAAGATCCATAATAATATTATGATTGCGGCGGCGGCAGCGGCAGCGACGGTGACGTATTATAATAACGCAACAAAAACTATTATTATGACTCGAGTGCTGTTGTTGTTATAATAATAGTAGCTGTAAGCGACGACACCCGGTATTAACAAGTGAGAGAGAGAGAGAGAGAGAGAGAGAGAAAAGAAGAAAAAACTCACGCGTTAACCAAATTTTTTGTCGACGATAATCGACCACGTCGAGGCGTTAAAATGTAAAAGAAAAAAAAAGTAATAATAATCGTACGTATTCAGTATTGTCGTGTAAAACTACATAATAGATATCGTTATTTATCGCCGTTTAATTAAAAAAAAAAAAAACAAAACAAAACAAAACGAGATGGAAAAATTAAATACCACCCCGAGTCGACCTTTTTTTTTTTTTTTGATCTTTTACCAAACGGCGGGGTGGACAAATGATAATATTATCACGATGACGTGGCGGACCGTTTGATTTCCGAAAAATTCGCAGTTCGCGGGTGTTAAACAAACGCAATAACTTTTGTTCTGTTCGATATTATTGAGTTTTTCTTTGTTGCAATAATTCTTATATTTTAATTAATAACAAATTAAATAAGAATCTTAATCATTTCATAAAAAGATTAAAAAAGTGGTCATTCTAACATGTTTGTAAATATTCAGCCAGGTATTTTACTGAGTTCAGCCATTCTATTTGGAAATCTTGGATTTTATGTTTTAGGGTGTTTTAGAGTGTAGATTTATTCGTGAAAAAATTAGACAATTTCTTTGACGGCTTTACGAAAATTCATCATAGTAGTTTGAATATAATACGTTTTAGTGTACGGTTTTGTTAATGTATCATAATAATATTATATGGGACGGACAAAATTATCCAAGTCTATGGATGTCTTACAGGACTTATCCTGTGTCCTGTGCCTTGTGCACATATATGGATATAACTTATCTTTTCTATCGTCATAATTTAATATCTATCATACGACTTATCACTAAGGCTCGGAAGATATAGGGGCTAGAAAAAGCAAAATATGCACGAAAAAAATTTTAAAATATGCATGAAAAATGTAATAAATATGCACAAAAAAAAAACGATAAAGATTAAATCGCACCGTTGCACGAAGTCGTTAAATTTATAATAATAGACCCAGACGATAAGAAATAACAATACATAACTACGTTAAATAACATTAAGTTTTGTATTCAATGTTATTTAAAATACATTGGTTAAGAAAGAAAAAACACAATTTTTTTGAACAAAAATTAAATACGCATAAATATGCGTACAAATATGGGAAAATCGATGGAAATCGATGAAATATGCATTTTTTCTCTAAAGTTAAAGACGTTTTATACTTCTGTTTTGCCTTTTTTAGCATTTTAAATTGTTCAGGTCATTTGTTTACTTTCTGAGGGCATTATTCCTATTGTTTGTTAATTTCGCGTTAGTTTTATTCATTTATACACGAATAAAAATTATAATTTACACTGACTGTAGGTATATACGTCATACTAATATTTTACATCAGCGTTTAAATAAAATATTTTATACAAGCTGTAGGTATGTACGAGTTAGTGTGTAAGTACACCGTTTGATTAATCGTTATTCGATAAGATAAGGCTAAATTATTAATTGCTACACATCTGTATACCTAATGAATTTTCAAAACCTGTAAACAATTATAGGTTATTTAGTTTAAGTAACTCTGGGATTTTAAATGCATTTTCACAGGTTTTATAATGATTCTTTGGCATTTCCAATGCCTTGCGTATTGTTTGGTTTGGGGACTTTTAAGATTTTACGGTTAAATTCACAGCCGTGAATGGTGATAACGATTCTGTTTTAGGCCGTTGTATCTTTTCGGCGTCACTCGTAATAAATGTTTAACATGACGTCACATACAAAAAAATTTATCGCATCATTTTTAAAAACTATTCGACCGTCGAATTTATTACATTGTACACACGTTTATTACATTTTAATATAGTAAACAATAAAATGGAAAATATTCTCCGTACGATTTATCAGAATAAAATAAATGTTTACACACTATATTGATAATTTTATTGAAAACTAAATAAATATTATACAGAATAATAGTCGCGCGTTATACATGAAACGATAAGGTAAAACGTTGTACTCTTCCTAAAAAGTATGCTAAAATCATATCGATTAACCGAAAATGGCTGACTAAGATATCCTGTCAGAGTTGATTTGTATTAAACTCGTGTTTAAAAACATTGTTCTTATCAAAACGTTTAAAAAAATTGATTTGTCGATTTGAACAGGTGTTTTAAACATGACAAATTTCACTCACGTAGAGATTTTCGTAGATAAAATAATTGACAATTTTAAAGCAGTAGCTTTTTAATTTTTTTAAATTAATTTAATTAGTGGAAAATCAAAACGATTGTCTCTTATCGAGACGTACGCGGAGCGGATTGTCATCCCGGCTGGTTTTAAACCCGTTTAAATTTCGAACGCGTTCAATACTGTTGAAAAAATCACCGGGAAACAATCCGTTTTCAAACGTTTAAAGCCGTTTTTAATTTTTCGTTTCATATCGGCCGCATTATTGTTTGTACCGAACGACTATTTGGGTAACCGTGCGTCGGGTTCCGATCGGAACACCGATTTTCATTATTTCCCGGGGATGAAGCTCGTCGATCACGGCGTTCCGTACCGTTCCGAACGTACTTTCTCATCGCCGCCCGCGAATAACCGAAAACTAATTAAAAATAACCAGAACCGCAGCGTTGGCCTTACCGTTTTTTCCGTGGCGCGCACGCGAAACACGTCCGCAAAGCGTCCAGCATCGTGTCGCACTAGTCGGCCGGCACTGCGCGACGGTACTCGTATTGCGTACTATTGGCACGGCGGGTCGGGTCGTCGGTCGCTCGGCCGACAACTGTACACCGGCGGTCCGTCGGAGAATGAGGAGTAGGAGAAGGAGAAGGAGATTTTCGCGTCGGCGAAAAGACCGCGGGAATCCGGGATTTCCTTCGGTATTATTTCGTTTATCACCCGGACACCGGCGTTTACGTAGGCGACGGGATCGCACGCGGGTGTGCGCCGGTTCGCGGACGGGCGTGTGCGGCACGCGCGCACCAAACTGACGGACGGATCGCGCGCGAAAAACCGGCACTCGGTCGCCCGTATTCTATCTGCCTGCCTCTAAACGCGAAACGCGAAACCCACGTCGGGACCGCGTGCGTGTGAAAAATCGTTCGACGAGAGCGTAGCGGTATTACGTAGATAGTACCCACCTATGATGATGATGGTGATAACAATAATAATAACAATAACGACAATATTGCGTTATTGCGTACGACGGCCGCCGCGACGACGACGACGACTACTAGAGGAAAACGACATTGTGGCGGCATAGGTGCACCGCGAGTAACATACCCACACGCGTCGAGTCCGTTGTGCCCGTCTACCTGACGACGCGGTTACTGGTACGTGCGGTCGCGCGCGCAACAAAATCATGTTGATAATAATAATAATAATAATAATGATAATAATAATGATAATAATACGGTATCGGGTGGTGTATAATAGTAGTAGTAGTAGTAGTAGTAGTTGTAGTAGTAGTCTGTAGTAGGTAGTGGCGGCGAGTCAAGTACAAGGTCACGGCGACGCGCCGCCCGCCGGCCGACCGGTTTGCGCGACCCAGAGCGTACCACTTTTATTTTCATCACCTGTTGTATCATAACGTTTTGCGAAAAACGTCGTGGAGGAGACGAAAATGATAACGATAACAATAATGTGTATCGTGTCCGGTAACCGTCTGCGGTCTTCGTCCGGACCGGAGGTGGTTCCACAAATTTTTTTTTCCCTCCGTACACCACTAATATTTTATTCTGTTTTTCGCGGATTCCGCCCCGATATTATTTGCCATCCCTATTTACACATGATGCCCCTCAATTTTTTCGTTCGACGAAATTGTACACTTACGGGCCAAGAATAAACGCCTAGGAGCCGTGTAGACCCGTTTGGGAATAATCTCTGATTATTCAGAGGAAACGACGTCGTCATCGTGTCCGCGCGACAATTGCCCGTTTTCGTTTGGCCGGGACGATATTCCTGTAACGTTATAGTTTCGGCGTATTTATATTATTATACAACTCAAAGATAAGAACATTATCCGGTGTCTTGTCGTTTTTTTTTTTTTAGTAATTTTTTTTTTTTTATACGAGACATGAGATTGCGTTATTTTTTTATTCGACGGTTAGAGTATAATAGTATACCGATATGAAATCAGTACCACTCTCTCGTGTAAAATACATAAGAATAAAAGTCTCTCAAAACAATTACGGAAAAATATTAACACATAATTACTTGAATTTGTATACGAAAAAAAATTGTTATTTTTTTTTTCATCTCTTGTTGAAAAAAAAAACATTTTTTAAAGAAGTAAAGAATTACCGGCAAATTTCTAGAGTTGGGCTAAAGTCGTCTTTTCGCTTATTCCGATTACAACGGTCTATACTTATATTAAGTTATAGTGTACCACGCCTTGAGTGAATTATTCGGTCGGTCTGACGTTTAACAGGAGTCAATAACAATCAAAATAAACGAAAAATAAAAAACTGGGGGGGAAATTTTCGAAATTTTTAGAAATTACCGATAAAGCGGATAAAAACCGGCGCCTATTAAATATACCTCTCTAAACGGCCGCGAAATTATCGCCAGGTGTCCCGACGGATGTATCCGATTTGATTCCCGAGCTGATACCCGGCATGCCGAATCGGTTCCCGTTTAATATCTACATTTATACAATAAACACAATTAATATGTCGGTATAATGTGGTAAATGACTTTTATTTAACTTTTATCAAACTACGGCGGGTATTTCACAGTTATCAAGGTAATAAAATAATGTCATATTGGCGTATTCCCAAAATACCGCGATCGATTAAGATTAACGTCAATCCGTATATGGATGCACGTATCTGTATGGCTACATAATATGCCGAATGTAAAGTACAGAAATGTTTCTGGTATACAACCGTGAGTAATTCTATAATACGACCGTCTTGTAAGCCTGTAGGAATGGGAAGGGAAATGTGCGTGTTCGACGATCTTACTGCAGCTGATAGTGGCAACCAATTCGGCTGACCTTCGTAAAAGGCTGGAACCCGATTGAGCACGGTCGCAACGAAACAACAGAAACCCGAAAAACAACACGATTGAGCACGGAAATAGGCGCGACGTTGCCACTTTGTACCGTAGAATATTATTGTTAAAAAATAAAATACATTTGAACCATAAACGTTTATAAATAAAAATCTTTTATTGGTTTTTAATCACATATTATTACGTATTAAAAACAGCGTTTGCTGAGTCAGTTGGTTTAGTATATATTAAAATTAAAATTTGTTCCCCTAAATACCGAATGTATACAAAAAAAGTTCAATGAAAAGGGTCACTCGAGTACAATCACTTTTTGTGCATCGCCATTTCACTAGTTGCCTCCCGAGGTCAAAAAGGTCGATAATTTTAATACGAATCGCCTCCCGGGTATATACGAGTCGCTTCCCGGCGTACCCTAAACTTTATCGTAAACGAAAGGGGTTTACTACTAGTCGCTTCCCAATAGGCAGGTAATCAATGTATACGTGGTTCACAAACGATTCAAAAATGTTTTAAATCTTTTATCATGAAGTAATATTACGTTGGTTGTTACTTATTAATAACCTATCATTGGATTTTGGATTTATACATTCAAAGTCGTAATCTATGACTTTTGTGCATTGATAAGATTGTCCGACTAATATTAAACATTTTATCTCTTATGTAATGATTACTGTCGTTAGCTGAGCTTCAACACTCGTTACTCTATACGATTTTAATTTTACAAAAAGTTATTAAGCGATTTTAAATTTTCTAATAAGTTTTTAGAATGGATCAAATTGAAATGCGGGAGATGATCGGTGAAAACGTGTTCAAATAATTAATAGTTTTAAATTAAATTTTTTAAAAAAAAATCAGCCTACAACGGGGAAATTGTACGACAAAAATTTACAAAACTGTTTTTAAAGTAGACGAAAATAATTAGGTAATATTGAAGGAAAATAAGTTGAACCATAATAGACATTATTTGAACGAGTACTGTTCATGTACATGTTTTTTTATTAACCAATTATATTATTATTTTTAATAAAATTATAAAGGTTATATTAAATTCAGTTTAGTTTATGAACCACTACTTTATTCAATATGGGAGGCGAATAGTGGGAACATTTTTGGGAGGCAATTCGTATATAATTATGAACTACCTAATCGTCGGAGGCGGTTAGTGTACGTTAACCTTTTTATTTACGATACGGATAGGAGGCGATTCGTACATTTTGGGAGACAACTCCTATGCACAGAATTTAACAATTCACCTTTTTTTTCTCGACTCAATAAACCTGTACTTGAAACCTCCAACATTTGCTAACCTCTTCTTTCGGATAAAATAATTTGCATTTCATTATATTCCATCATAAATATCGTAAAATTTGCAAAATACATACTATTTTTGAAGGAACACTAGCAGGAGACGACAGAACAGACTGACTGTGACCACTGTGTCTTAATTACAGCGAAGGTACATACAATAACAGTTAATCACAATTTAGCGCAATCGTTGTAAATAAAATTCTGGTTTCCTATCTGTCCCAGTGTATTTTCAACTTCCGTGGGCGCCCCATCGATCAATAGCAAAATCTTTTTCGGCTAATTTGTTAGTTACCTATTAGTAATCTACACGGCATACGTACTAATGAAAATCTGACAACGTCGTACGCAATATTTGTTTATTTTATCGTGCTCGGTCGGGTCGTCTGGAAAAAGGTCGGCCAATAACGACCGTGCTCAATCGGGTATCACCGTCATGAAATGCCCTTTTTTCCAACGGGAACCAATTCGGATACACCCGCCCCGACCACATCTCCCAAGGCTCCCCGATTGTAGGTACCGACCGTGATGATAAACGGCGGATCTTTCATTCCCGCGGAGGGGATGTGCGCTGCACGGTCGCGCGTGACCAGCGCGCGGACGGGGGAAAACGGCGGCTCGGTCCACAGCCGGATCGGCCGGCGTTCAGTATGCGCGCGCGAAAACCGTAAAGACGAGAACACTAAACAAATACCGGCGGAAACGGCCCCGTTCTCCCGCGGGACAGACTGTACGCATTCAAAGATGAAAATTATTACGGCGGACGCGAGTGTTTGTACGGCGCACATCATGAAGTCGCCGGAATGCCGTCTTTGCCGAAATGCGGAAATTCGTAACCGTGGAGCTGCCGTCGACGCGATAGTTTCCAATGTTTTGATTGTTTATTTTTTTCGTGTTCCCGATCGACGGCGGTTCATCGACGCGTTAGTCTCGGAGGCCCGCGTAACCATCAGTACAACACAATACATTAGTGTAATATTCGGGGCCAACACCACCGTTATCGTGTATGTTACCTCGTTTTTTTTTTTTGTTTTTTTTTTCGGATTCCTCGTACAAACCGAAAAATCTATTAGTTTTACTAAGACGAGGCGGGGTTTGTTTTTTCTTCTTCTTCCCGCTCGGGAACCCTTTTTTCGCGGAAATATGCCCCGGAAATCCTTGTACATACAGTCGTCGTTAGATTTTCCACGGCAATCTGTTTGGAACGTAATCTTTCTCATGTTGCAACGGTTTTCCTGCGAAATTTATTTAAATATATCGAAAAAAAAAACAAACATACCGATTTTTCGACGGAAAATTGCACGCAGAGATTATATTACACATTGCACATTATACGTGTCGCGCATGTTACAATATTTTTTTCATTTTTTTATTTTTTTTTTTTGCTTTCGGTAAACCGTTTACGTACTTTATAACTTATTAGATTAGATACAATTAAATTTGTTTGTTTTAAAACCTCGTCTGCGAAAACAATTAATACGAAATTAAACCTTTGAATATTTGAATACACGGTACGCAAATTACGAATTGAATAAGGTAAATGACAGTGAAAAATTCCAAAGAAACTCTCGGCATTAACGCGCCAATTTAAACGATTGGCCGTTATTATATTAATTGTATTTTGCTTAGGTATTTCGCCGGGACGTTTCTCAGTTTGATTATAATTAAACTCGCAGTTCTCTCGCAATGTCTACGAATTATTCGTTTCGAAAATCTATACGATTTAAAATAAAATTTTAGATTCGAGCGCACCGAGTATTATGTTACGGCGATACGTGCATTTTTTTTTATTTTCGTTTTTCAACTTTTCTACCGGAAATCTCTCTCTGAATGTCAAGCGTATCGTCTTTTCTGATAGAAATTTTTATCATCTAGCCGGTGCATTGAGAGGTCATTTTTTAACACATTTCCTTGCGCGGTTTACTCATTAAGAGGACATTAAGAGACGCATCTACTGTCTCAGTCCGAATAATGCATGCGCAGAATAAGTAAAACTGGCTTAATTTTGAATTTAGATTAAAAGTATCTATTG